CACTTGAAGATCTATATTAAGAAACTGATACTTACTTTCACAATGCACTCTCACACTGAGATGGTACCGTTAAATAACCTGGGGCGGTGTATTTGTCCTTGAAACTTTCCAAAAATTCTTGCATTCTTTCACCCCCACCCTAGAACATTGTGTTCGCATAACGGGACGAAATAATGCAGAGCTCGGTTCACACTAGTGCGAAAATAGTGTTAAACTCACCATGTGAAACAAAAGTGAATGAATATTAAACAACATATAAACTTAAAAAAAAAAGCCCCGGTTAAGCCGCAAACCGGTTAATCCGCCCCCGGATAATCGAGAGTTGACTGTACTGCCATACATGAGGTTTGTTCAGAAAGTTTCTGTAATTCATCAATAATAACTTTATTTCAAGACTTACAAATCAGTTACACTCATTCCCATCAAAATAATTTCCTTAAGCAGCAATGCACAACTCCCACTGTCTTTTCCACTTTTAGAAAAACTATTCAAAGCATGTTTGTGGAACAGCTCTCAGTTCATCTGTCATAGGCATAATGATGTCCCCTGCTGTTTGTAATCTTCCTATATTCAGGGCAATTCTATGGAAAATAAACCGAGAGAAATGGATAGAAGAGGTGCATAGGGAGGCTCCTTGAAATTCTATGGCCATCCCAAAGGATGGTATTTAAATTATTTAAATTGAACGCCCATCTTCAGTATGATTTTGTCGGTGTTCTCTTTAACTGTACAACTATCCAAGCTAAAGCACTGCAAAACCATTTGAACAATTCATTCTCAGTACCACTATGTTTAGTATCAAGCATTCTCATATGCTTTGAAACATCACTCCCTTGTAAAGCTTGTTACTCAATTGGATTCTGGTATTTTAGATATGTCAACAGAGTGGACAGTGGAATTCCATATGCTTGCACTTTCTTTTTTATTAGCTTCCCTACTCATGTCCAGTTTCTCAGCAATTGTCTTTCCTGAGTATTTTCTCTTCTTTTCAGTCTTGTTTCACATTAGTGGCTGGAATAAGAAATAAATACCTACCATACAACAGATTTGACCAAATATACTGCCCCTAATACAACAAATATTCTTCCTGACCCATACTATACAGCAGCAGTGTTCTCAGGCAGTTATGAATGGTTGTGACTCACACAATAACTTACTACTCAAACTGGCCACATGATCAATGTCACCTGCATTCTTTCACAGCTGGAAGAATTTCAGGGGTGCCTAAAGTACTATTCAGATTCTTTTTTGTATATGTAGCAGGAGTTACACGGAAATAACTTCAAACAATTCAGATTTTAACTCACTACTGGGCTCGAATGCAGTTTCAAATTAAAAAGTATTTGTTTTATTGCTAGTGGGGTGGGACTAAGTCCCTTGTACTGTGGCCACTTCTGACCTATTGTACCAGCCCCAGATGATAGGTGAGGGTGATTGTGGAGCAACTGGTGGAATGAAGATTGGCAGGGGAAACTGAAGTACTTGGAGAAAACCTGCCCCAGCGCCACTATGTCCACCACAAATCCCACTTGACCAGACCCAGGATCAAACCCAGGCCGCCACAATGAGAAGTCAGCCTCTAACCACTTGAGCTATGGTGTGACCAAATTAAAAAGTAACTATATTTTTAATTAACAAGATTAAAAGACATAAACAATCTTATAATCTAAGCTGGGAAATTTAATTTATTTGAATTAAGGACTGTTCTGAAGTAACCTATTTCAAATTAGTGAGGCTTTACTGTATACAGTTATAATGGTATTCAGGACAGTTAACTATATAAACAAAATACTCCTTTACCTCAGGCTGGAGTGACAGTTTGAGGAACTCTTCAGAAGTTCCTGCAAAAGCATTGAGTGCTTTTTGCTTGTCTTGTTTCCATTCACTTTCAATGTGTTCCCACTGCAGTTTCTCTGTATCATCAAAACACTGAAAACAACAATCTAATATTAATATAAAACAGTAGCAGAACACAATATATACACTTCCAGTATGCAGGTAATCAGCATCCATACTTTTTACGATACCTATCTGTTTATACTCTACAAAGAAGCAAGGAGACTGAGGAATGCTCTGGTATCTAAGAAAGAACAAAAGAATGTAAAAAAACTGATGAAGTTGATTCTGAAAGGAAAAGACAAAGAATTAAATGAGAAAAAATAATGAATAAATACACAAAAAAAATAAATTGAATGATTAATGGATCTGAAGTTTCCTCAGCTGCACTGCTTATTCACAACTGTAAAATCTAAAGGAATAAAACACCTCTTGCCTGAGGTGAGAAATAGATACAATTTCTGAAGCACGCTGCTTTTGAAATACTACATGAGGAAAGAAACAGGGCTAGCTTCCAAAAAGGGGTATGTTTGGAATACTGTATGATACAGTCCAGAAATCCTAAAATATACGACCATCAGCATTCTTTAGAACTGAATCCTAAGTAACATTCTAAGTAAAAATAAAACACCTCTTACCATATCCCAAAATTGCACCTTGAAAATTAAGAAGTCCATCTTTATACAAAATGTGTATTAATTCAACCATTAGTTTCTCTCATGAACAACCTGTGAACTCATGGTAATGAAAGATACAGATTTAAACACTTTGATTCATAATCAGTGAATCATAGATTTTAAACAAGAACCAATAAAATTACAAGCCGGAAGGTCGCGGGTTCAAGTCCTGATGAGGTCATTGGATTTTTTTAAATTGACCTAATTCTTCCAGCCGCACTATGGCCCTGGGGTCGACTCAGCCTCTAACAGAAATGAGTACCAGGAATTAATTTTATAATTTTCCTGGGGAGTAAAGTGCGGCTGGCGCGTAAGGCTGACAACCTTACTGCCATCTTTGAGCCGATTGTCTAGAGAATGTGGGACACTCAACGTCTCACAACCCTATGGGCTCTCACGGCCTGGTACAGGGATAGCTTTACTTTTTTACTTTTTACTTACCAATAAACTGATACTGTTACATTTTTATATAAAATATTCACATAATTTTAATAGTTTGTAAGAATGATGCTCTTAACAACATTCCAGTGATTAAGAAGGTTTTAAGGAGCAACAGCATCAAAGTCAATCTGTGCCTGAATAAAACCTCAAAGTAAAAATTGCATTACATAAATCAATATTAAATGAGACAAAAATGTACATATTGTGACAAGACTACTTAAACATTGTCTGTTGCATGAAAATGGCTCGATAAACAAGCGAGTGATCATTAGGCAATGGTCCTTGACAACAATATTAACTGTTGGAAGTTATATTTTCTATGCTGCCTGTGACGAGGCTGTATAGTAAGGGCCATCGGAAAAAGTTAGCCAGTCACAGCAATTTGTTGCCCCTGTTAATTCTCACTGTCCTGTCTTTCCGAGTACATAAAACAGTGTGAGAAAGAGACTTCCTAAAATGTTGTGGTTTCCTCGCCACCTGCAGGCCAGCAAGGTCAGGTATCCAGCAAAAGGCAACTGATTTCTTTGCCTTACGGAGACAGGGCACTTGACACAAAACCTTAACAACCAGATGGTCTTATATGTATCCATGCATGGGAAGGGATATTATCGAGGATAATTCTGAATGGACATGCGTTCAACATTTAGCATAGAATTCAGCTGTACATAAACTTTTATATTCATGGAGGCGGCACAATATAACTTGGTTGGCAAAGGTAGAAGTTACAACTCACGCACTGGACAATTTGAAGGTTCAAGTTTGAACATAAATGCCCGGGTGAATTTTGAGTCTACTATGAAAGACATGACATAAATGTATATTCAGTTACTACAGAAGCTGAAGATGAACACAAGCAGGCACACGCACACATACATACACGACTGCACACATGCATACACACCCACCTATGTGCCCATGCTCTGATGTCCAGCTCATGCCAGTTATGGTGTGTTGGTTAAAATATTACACCATAAAATGGATAATGGGTTGTGTTAACAACTTTCCCACATAATTATCCATGCACAGGCTTTTCCAAAAGGGAAGCTTCTACACACAGACTCTCAAAATGGCTGATACAGAAGGCATTAATGGCAACACCAATCCCAGTATTGTAGACAAGGCTTACGACAGTTTGGACTCTCCTGCAGAGTGGTACACTAAGCCACCATATTCTTTTTGAATAGAAGGCATTCTGGTCCATCACACTATCTGACATTGAGCAGAACACCACCATCAAGTGCAACCAATTTGATTTAATTGCATAAACATCTTTACATGTTTTGGTTTAAAGCGACCATCATCAGAAGGTGCTCAACAGGCAAGGAAATGTTTTACATTTATGAAGGTCAACAGTCCGCCAGTTAATTACATTTACAATTACAACTGCAGTAAAAACAAAAGTTACTCGACATCTCAGTGTTGAAACATGCAGGTGTTAATGTATTAAAAACGTTTTTAAAAGATCTGTTTAAATTATTTTGCGATATAAGTACATCCTAGAAGGTGTGTGTGAAGTTACAAACCTACAAGTCATCATCATGAATTTGAATGTTATCTATGTTTTTAATATGTTTTAAGCTTGTAGCATGTCTATGACACGGTTTGCACTATGTATGACTAGTCTGCACCATCATACTATGACAGTAGCAAGTGAAAGAAAGAAATATGTTTCAAAATCAGAAGCCATAAGGTTGCTTAATGTACCACCAAAATCATGGGAGGGGACCAGTAATTCACAAATTTTTATCCTGCAATTCTGTACCATTGTGTCACTCAACACAGAAATGACAGATCATGTCAAGAAGTGTACTAGTATGAAAATAAATAATGTACCACAAAGTATCAAGTATCACTGTAATGATTTGTACTTGTGGACCATGGTGAATAAACATGTAGAGCAACCAACCAATCAACTGTGGAGTGGCAAGAAAATGCACGTCCTACAGCTGGAAGTAACGAAAACTGAACTCATGTCAGTTCTACATGTGAACTGTTGTTAGTGTGGATTCAAAGACAGAATAGAATGCCAGCTTAGTGTAACATCTTGACTCAACAAGAAGCTGAAATTTTAAGTTCTGCTCGAGGTGATGTGTTCAAATAATGCAGAGGAACAGATTTTCTTTATAGCAAAGGTCTTCATTTTGCAAGAAGTTACTATCATACTTCAAGGCAATGTCAATGAAATACCAGTGTATTTCCATAAGCCATACAGTTACACAATTTATAATGCAGGCACAATATCTGTTGCCGTAAAAACGTTGGGTTTGGAAATGATGAAAGTCACTATAATGTTGACAGAGTTGGCACACAGCATGTAACTATCACCATATGTGACACAGAATTGAAAACTGCCTATGGTAATAAGTTATCTAGAAGAGGAAGTCAAGGGCATTGCTGAGAAAGGCTTGTGCTGGAGCCATTAAAGGTCATTTACACTGGATGCCAGATCTGTGATTCATGCAATGAATACTGACTTGTGGTCATTACTTGGAAGGATGGCTTCATAATTATGTGTTCTAGCAAATAAGCTTTTTAAAGATCACTTTATATAACTGTATTCTGCATGGCTCTTGAAAGGGGACTAAGTTCTGACATCGTGACAATAAAGAAGCCTAGTGTAGAACCACTGTACATATGGCTCAAGACCAGGATCTCCATAAGTAACAGCGAAAGGGTTTTAAAAAGTGTTGTATATCTGATTAAATGGATGACAGGGAAGAAGGTTGGGAATGAAAGTGAGAGTGTGATCAGTTAATGTGAGACAGAAGATGGGAACTGTGAAAAGAACATAGCAAGACTGATGAAGCTGAATAAAGCCTAGTGTGTGTATGAGGGAAAACAAACTCAATAAATTTCATGTATAACATGTTTTCTTTCACATATTTGAGGATTATGAAATGAATTCAAATAAAAACTTTCCCCACAGACAAGTTTCCTAATACAGGAACATCTTGCATTCAGGATCATCTTCCATTTAGATAAATATGGTAGTATGCTTTAGTGCACCATGGAAAGATGACTATTGTTATAAATTATTACAGTGAAAGAACTGGTCTACCAGAGAAAATTCTTAGTCTTATCCAAACTGATCTTACATATATCTAGCTTTTAGTCCATGTTCCCTATTTTAAAAAAATAAAAGTAGACTTATAAAATCTCCTTGCTGTGTGTGTGTGTGTGTGTATTTCCCCAGATTAACTTTTAATGGCTCAACAATATTTATGAAACTTGGTATTTATATAATGTCACCTAAACCCATTTCAACACTGTACATCACAAATCCCTCCCACTAGCAATACCAACATTACAGAATTTCAAATTGCTGAGGCAAATCCATAATATTGCTTGAAGGCCTGTACCAATCTTCATGAAACTTAGTACATATATCATGCCACATGAACCATCTCAATGGCATGCCTAGTAAATCCCTATGATCAGTAATGCCAACATTACAGCCTCTCAATTTGTTGCTTACAGAAATCTATCAGGTGAGAGCAGGAGTATTGATTCAGAAACTGTAGAAGACTAGAAAAATTACTGACTTTTTAATGAAATTGATGGTTATGACTTCTGACAGTAATAAAACTGATGAGACAGATCTATTTTTCATTCGACAAGCTAGGAAAAACTTCAGTGTTTGAGGATATGTTTACCATGGTGGTATAAAATCTAAACAGTGGGTTACTGTTCTCCTTGCAGGCAATGAAGACGGTAGTAACAAAATGTAATTGGAAATTATAAAAGTCCACATCCATTAAAGAAAGTCAAGAAACTCCTACTAAATATGAAGCTAATAGAAATTCCTGGATGACCACCAAAATACTTTAATGTTACCTCACGCAGCTGGTTAGAAAACTGTGTGCTAAAAATCACAAAATATTGATTTCTTTCAATCCATTGCTCATCTGAAGAATATATTTTTCTGAAACTTCAAAGTCCTATTCCTCCCGGCTTTGTTTTTTAGCTTCTTGGGGTGGGGTAAGACAGTACACTTGGCATGTCAGCCACTATTTGGCCTATTGTACCAATCCAAGATTATAGATGATGATGAGTGTGGATCAGTCGGTGGAATGAGAATTGGCAGCTGAAGTACTTGGAGAAAACATGCTCCATTGCCACTCTGTCCATCACAAATCCCACCTGACCTGACCTGGGCTTGAACTCAGGGGGCTCTGTTGGGGAGGTAGTAACTCACTGCCTGCGCCATGGCACGGCATTCTCCCAGCTTACTATACTACCCAGCCACAGCCTTTATATTTGGGAATCATCCATGCATTCAAATGCCATTATAGCAAGCAGATTAAGTTGAATGTGTGGCTTGTAACGTGCTTAATAGCACAACCTTGGAGACTGATAACCCTGCTATAATCAAGAACTGTTTTGTGAAGCATGGTTTCTTGACTGACAATATGTCAGCAGCAGTGACAGTGCAGTTGAACTCACTGAAGATGGAAAGGATGACTGGGACAGTCTTGGAGTGCAGTCTGAAGACTACCTAACATGTGACAGTGTTCTCGAGGTCTGTGGAGTCTGGAGTGTTGACCGGGTGTTCAATCAACATTTGACTAGGCCAGAAGAACCAGAAGAGGAAGGGAAATTTGCAGAATATAAAGCACACATTCTTGAATGCACTGAAAGGACTGGAAGCAGCCAGAAAGTAAATACATCAATCGGATACCAAGAACAATATTATTGTAAAGAAAAGAAAGAGAAGACTGTTACTTGAAGAAACAGTGTAACTAGGTATGTACCACATTTGCTAGCTATATTTGCATAGTCAAATGTTCAAACATGTATATTTTAAATGACTGCCCAAAGTTATGGCATAAAGAAGAGTGCAGTTTTATTTTCTTTGTAACAATCGTCTTTCCCTGATTTTTTTTCTCTTGACTTTAAATTTGTTTTAGGCAGTCCGTTGAAAAGTGTAAAATCAAGGTCTCATTGTATCACCATCTTCTAGGATGTGACTTCATGTGGTAAAGTAGATAGTTACAAACATTTTGTTCTTAGCACTAGTCTTTGTCCACCATTCCCTGTACCACTGTTTGCTTTTATCTGCATGACTGACCTTTCTACCCTGATGATGGAGACAGTGGATTCCTCTGAAATGCTGGTAAAAATTTACTAGACTACATGGCATCACATCCCAGAATATAGTAATGCAGGCCTTGTAAATGGCCTAATATTTCCTCTCAAAATAATGACAAGTACATTAACTTGTAATGTTTGAGTTACAGACTTCATATAAGAGTACTGGAAAAGTTCAAATAAGTTTTAACAACAAATATTTTACAAATATTTTTATAATAATATTCCATTCCACATTAATTATGTGTTAATTTATTGCGGATATAAATCCAATTTTGATGAACCTAATCAAAACTATACATACAATAATACTTTCTCTTATTAACTCACATATTACACTTCAGAGATATACAAAGTATAGTTTCACACAAGTGGAGACCAAAATGGAAGTTTCCAGATCCCCCTTTAGCAACATTTGATCAAAATCCATAAAAACTGGATACGAAAGATGAAAACAAACAGAAATGACTGCATTCACTTCAGAGACTTCATGCAGCAAACGCATAAAAATACTGCATTTGTGCATACACACAGATAAAGGAAACGTTCCTGTTCCTAACCACCATACCATGAAGAACAGAAGTTGGAAGATGAACTCCATATTTCAGCATCAGCACAATGTCATATATCTAGAAGTCAATTACTTTCTTGACTACACTGTATATGGCTGTAAAAATGAACCGAGAAACTAAAAATTAAATTAAACAATGGNTTTTTCTTCTACCCTGAAGATGGAGGCGATGCGTTCCTTGAAACGTCGGTTAACACCACATATACACGGTGCCAAATCCCAAAAGACTGCTTTCTTCAATGGGTACTCAGTTCTTCTGGTACGACAATAAGGTGTGCGTACTTACAGTTCTATGAGTCTCCTCAATAATTGACAAAATGGCATTTTCCTTTTCATTTTTTAGGAAACTCTGAATATCTGCATCAGGAATTGGCTCAAGAGGTTCAAATGTTGTTCGAGCACTCAACACCTCAAGCTTCTGTGACAGCTGTGGTAGATCTACCCCCTTTGAGCCTAAGAGTAAATGCCTGAAATAGAAAGGTTTATGCTCAAGATTACTGTCNAATAATTTTGTTCTGTTATTTCTAGGTTATTTATTGCTGTTTCAGCAGTTACCAGTGTTTCACATGAACACTCTACCTGCATATTCAGACTTGAAGAGTACTGCTTAGGATCTTCACACCAACTACACTTGAACATTGGTAATAGAAAGTAGTTTCAGAAGTGGTGTTTTGAAGCATTTGATTGTGGATTGCATCCAGAACTGGGGAAGTGACAGAGGCCTTCTACAAGGCACCCAAGAGCTCCTCATTGGGGAGTATAATCATAAAGCTCTAACGCCCTTCTACTAAAATGTGGGCTGTGACTTTCCTCCTGGTCCTTCAGTTGTACAAAAGGTTTGTGACTGTCGGATTCTGATATGGATTCAAAGTGGGAAGAGAGTGTCAGCTATCTGTAAAGTTGTCACTACAGTAGTGCTGTCTACAGAGAGCAAAAAGCAAGGGAATATGCAATGGCAATTTCCACCAAGTTATCACTATCTAGTCCACATAACACTAGAAGCAGTGTAACATGATACGGAACTAATAAATTGTTGCCAACCTGCCTTCTCAGGAACCTTAAGATGAGTCTTGCTTTGGTATATCTCTTCGCAATGTTCTCTTGGGTTGACTATCATCAGAGTATCTGTAAAAATTCTTCTGTCTACAAAGGGATAGGTGGGTAGCATGGCTAACTTGATCATTTTGGAATGCTTTGTTCAGTGAAGTGAATTACAGATGTTATAACTAGTTGGTCACTGCACTAACCCTACAGAAAGTAGAACTTAGGAAAGATAAAATCTCATGATACAGTATACAACTGGCCCTTTTCAGAAACAAACTAGTGTGATAAGGTTCTTCAATATACACTGTATAAAGTAAGTAAGTAAGTAAGTATGTAAAGTAAAGCTATCCCTGTAACAGGCCGTGAAGGCCCATAGGGTTGCGAGACGTCAAGGCTCCCACATTATCTAGACAATCAGCTCAAAGATGGCGGTATGGTTGTCAGCCTTACATGCCAGCCGTGCTTTACTCCCCAGGAAAATTATTTAATTAATTCCTGGTACTCATTTCTATTAGAGGTTCAGTAAACCCCAGGGCCTAGTGTGGCTGGTAGGATTAGGTCAATTGAAAAAAATCCAATGACCTCATTGGGACTTGAACCCTTGACCTTCCGGCTATTCACTGTATGAAGGATAATGTAAATAAGAAAGTGATCACTTGTTTGGACATCATCAACCACATGACAAGAAGACTGTAGAGAGTTTTGGGCAACAGAATGCAAATCAACTGTTAAATGTGTACTACGCAAATGATGTTTGTTGTTCTTGTTGTTATTGGAGAGGGTGGGTTTCCCCATGCACTTAGACCAGATGTTGGTCCATTGTGCGTCCCCCTGTGATATTCTACCAGTCTCTATACCCTACCGGTACTGGGGCGTGCCATCAGTCCCGACTCAGCCAGCGAGTTCGGCCTCTACTGGCTCAGCGGTATCTCGATGCTTCCCCCATCTACCAGAGACGTTAGAGACTACTGTTGGTCGGGAAATGTCCTGAATTTGGCTCAGAGGTCCCCTTGAGACATGAGGTTCTTTTACGTGCCGTAAAGCTACAACACGAGACCCACGGCTTAAAGTCCCTCCCGGAGGACTTGTTCCCTGAATTTTCCGCCCTTAAAAATTCCACGACCTCCGCCAGGTTTGAACCCGCGTACCTTGAGGCACGAGGTGGGAACATTACCCCTAGACTACGGAGGCCTCTTATGCAAATGATGAATGTGTGGGTACACTGAAATCATTCAAAAGGGTTGAAGTATGTGTGAGGTTACTCTCTCAGTAAGGCTGCTCCTGCCATAATGGGAACACCAAAGGAAGTAATGGCCATTAAAACTGCCTATCACTAACAAGGAGGCTTGGAGCTATGTAAGGGGATTAGTAAGAGTACAGTTATCAAGTGGTTCATTTGGTGGGAGGTACAAGTTGCATACTGTTGATTTAATGGTGGTTAGGATCAGACATCCAGCTGTGGCTTGTAGTACCAAGCAGAGTAACCCATATTGAATATAATCACTTCACATGCTTATAGGAGTGCCACCATGCTCTGGTGCCTGCAATATTATCTTTGATGAGATATGATGAAACCACAGAAGAAAACCTCATGCTTTGGCCAGAAGTGAGTTTCCTGCTGGCAAGACCTGCTGGGAGGTCAAAGTTTGTGGTTCCACGCCACGGGTGTGTGTGTGTGTGTGTGTGTGTGTGTGTGCGCGCGCGCACACATGGAGAAGAGCATCAGCAATTTCCAAGTGGCTATTAAATCTGACCTTGCCCTTAAATACAGACTGTAATCCCTTTCTTGAAGACACAGGACCTATGGGCCTTCACTAAAACCAGATAACTGATGTACTCCCTGCTTCTAAATGGACAGTGACAGTACCCATCACAGGAGGTACATACGCCTGGACATCCTGGGCTCCAGTTTGTGTCACTCTTGACCATAACTCTGTGGAAGCTTCTAAAACTTGACGCAATGTCCTCTCAACCTTTGGTAGATCACCACTCCCTTCCACTTCAGCTGACAACTGCTCAGCTGCATGAAGCAACTCACTGAAATCTGACTCTGCCATAATACTGAAATCAATATAAAGAAATATACACCTATATTAAATTCTTGCTCTCCATTACCAGAGACTAAAATATTAGTTGAAACAATTTACCTGGGGCAGTATCATATTCCAAATTTGTAATTTTATAAGTAGGAATTCAAAATGAAAAATTATTTCTCACAACACCTAAGAGTCTCTTGTGGAACTCGTTATTCTACAGAGAAGATCTTGTGTTTCACTGTTCTAATACATTCAGTCACATTTTATACATAGTGCCACATTATTCCATGCATATGTATATGCCATTAAAGAATGTGCAACAGAGAATATAAATAAGGGGTATGAAAATAGAAATGTGTATTATATTCTATTCCCCACCAATGGTATCTCCACCTTATCGTGGTGGTGGGGTTTTAGAGCTCCTGAGACCCTGAGAGCTATGCCGGCGGTAGCATAGCTACTGGTAGAGCCACCCATGCCAGACAGGTATAGGGGTAGGAGCCAGACAGAGAGGGATACCCTGCTCCTCCAGGTTGGGGGTTGGGCATGAGGCTAACAACCTCACACTGTAAAGACTAAATTGTTCAGAAATCCGAGGAAAGAGTAACCGGACGGACCTATTCAAGAAAATGTTTAAAGGATTCGAGAATTGGATCTTGGAATGTACTATCTCTTTACAGAGCCGGAGCACTAAAAATGCTACTTGAACAACTAGATATCGCTGCTATACAAGAACTGAGGTGGTTGGGTAAAGGAGTCATGGAAAAGAGGGATCATGTTGTATTCTGTAGCTGTCAGAAGAAGAGTCACATGTTTGGAACAGGTTTTATTGTTAATAAAGAAAGGAAGCATCTTATTTTAGACTTCCAGGCAAAATCTCACAGAACATATAAGCTACGAATTAAGGGAAAGTTTTTTAACTATAGTCTTATTTGTGCACATGCCCCAACTGAAGATAAAAGTGATGAGGAGAAAGACTCCTTTTATGATGAACTGGATGAAATATATGGCAAATGTCCAAAAAGGGATTGTAAAATAATCATTGGGGACATGAATGCCAAAGTGGGGAATGAGGATATATATAGATCAGTTATTGGAAAACATAGCCTACATAACAAGTCAAATGATAATGGGATTAGATTAATGAATTTTGCATCCTCAAGAAACATGGTAATAGGTAGTAAAATGTTTAATCATAAGGATATACATAAGCGAACCTGGAAATCCCCTGATGGAAATGTGTTTAATCAAATTGATCACATCCTAATAGATGTAAGGCATTGTTCAGATTTGATGGATGTTAGGAGCTACAGGGGGGCCAACACTGACTCTGATCATTACTTAATAATATCAAAGATTATAAGTCGAATATCTAATGCAAGGAAGATACATGGATCCCAGGCTAAGAAACTGAATTGTGGAAAATTGGTGGAACAAGGAGTTGCAACCAGATATACTGAATTAATCAGTGAATGCCTGGAAGGTCTCTCTGATTGTGAGGATGTCAGTGAAGCCTGGAGGGACCTCAGAGATGTTATTATAAATGCTGCTCGTGCAGTTTTAGGAAGAGTGGAAAGGATAAAGTATAAGAATTGGTTTGATGGAGAGTGTGAGCAAGTGACAAAAAAAAAACAAGTGACAAAAAAACCAGGCATATAAGAGAATGTAATACAGGAACCATACTCAAGGGGCCATCGAAGAATACCGTGAAGCGAGAAGAAAAGGGAATATGATAAACAAGAACTGATTGAACTGGAGCATTTAAGAAAATCAAACGAAATTAGAGTCAATAAAAAAGGGTCAAAAGGATTTTCAACCTAGAAAAACCTTATGTAAAGATAAAGAAGGCACAATATTGAGTAGCGGTGAAGCAATATTGGAAAGATGGGCACAATATTTTGAGCAATTATTAAATGGTAATGCCTCCAAACAAGTAAAAGGTATGACCACAGACTAGAATCAAGGAAATTTTGAGGCTGAAGAGCCAGTGCCGACCATAAAAGAGGTAGAACAAGCTATCAAAACATTTAAAAACAATAAAGCTCCAGGAATGGATCTCATCATGGCAGAATTAGTTAAATTTGCAGGCCCAGAATTTGCTGAGCACTTACATCGGCTAACAGTTAAGATATGGATAACTGAAATAATCCCAGAAGAATGGAACCTAAGTACTGTATGCCCTACCCATAAGAAAGGCGATGTCATGATATGCTCTAATTATAGAGGAATTAGTATGTTGTGCATACCATATAAAATATTTTCCAACATTCTATTTAACAGATTCTCTCCCTTTGTGGAAGGCATAATTGAGGATTACCAATGTGGGTTTCGTCAAGGAAGATCAACTAATGATCAGATTTTCACTATTCGCCAGGTCCTTGAAAAGTGTAATGAATTCCAAATTGAAACACATCATCTTTTCATTGACTTACGATCAGCCTATGACTCCACAGATAGAGATAGTCTTTTTCTGGCAATGGAAGAGATGCACATTCCACGGAAGATAATCGCCTTAGTCAGAGCTGCTATGAGAAAGACCCAATGCCAAATTAAGATTCAGAATATGTTGTCCAGCTCTATAATAACTAGAAATGGAGTTTGACAAGGAGATTCCCTAGCCTGCCCTTTGTTCAATATAGCATTAGAGAAGGTAGTTAGAGATGCAGGCATCAACACAAGGGGAACTATATTCTACAAGTAAGTTCAAATTTTGGCATTTGCAGATGATATTTATATAATTGGTAGAACACAAAATCTATGAAAGAAGCTTTTCTTAATTTGGAAAGAGCAGCAAAAAAGATGAATCTACAAATTAACCAAAATAAAACAAAGTTCATGCCGGTAACCAAGAAAGACTGTGCTAATGGACCTACATATATTGAAATTGGCTCATATAAATTTGAGGTTGTATGTAGTTTCACTTACCTTGGATCAGAAGTTAACTGTAAAAATGATATCAGTGATGAAATAAAAAAGCATGTACTTGCAGCAAATAAATGTCTCCGTGGCCTTAGGAAACACCTGAAATCCCAATTAATACCCAGGAAAACCAAAACTGTGATGTATAAAGTACTTAGAAGATCAGTGCTATCTTATGCCTCTGAGACCTGGCCACTGTCAAGATTGGATGAAAGACTGTTAACTATATTTGAAAGGAGGATCTTGAGATATATCTTTGGACCAGTGGAAGAAAATGGAATATGGAGGAAGAGGTATAACCATGAGCTATACAAACTATTTAATGAACCAGACATTACTAGATTATAAAGGTGAAAAGGCCTGAATGGGCTGGACACATAATATGTACCAGCGAGAATAGAACCATCAAGAAAATGCTTAATACTAAACCAGAAGGAAATAGGAGAGTGGGAAACCAAGGTTAAGATGGGAAGAATGTGTGTGGCAGGACATAAGAATTTTGGGTGTAAAGAACTGGAGGAATGTAGCATCGAAGAGAGAAGAATGGCAAGCAATCCTGAGGAAGGCCAGGGCTCACAAAGGGCTGTCATGCCAGTGATGATGATGATGATGATGATGATGTTGATTATATTCTATTAGACAGTATAGCTGCAATCAAAGCACTTGACAATTATCAGATCAACTCACATCTGGTCCTAAGTTAGTCTGGAACTGTAAGCAGTCCCTTATGAAACTGGCCAAACATACTGGGACTACTGTTATGGATGCCAGGACACAGAGAAACTGAAGGGAAAGAAACTGCTGACGAGTGGAAAAACAAATTCAGAACATCCACCTCATCTGGCTTGTGGAATCTCAGAAAGAGCTGTCAAGTAGATCATCTGGGACTGGATGAACAGAAAATGTAATACTCTCAGTCCACACAAACATATAGAAGGTACCCTTGAGAAGCCCTCTGCTAATAGGCGTTGAAAACTATTAAGACCTGAATAGGAACCAACTGAGTCAGGCGACAGGACTATTAATAGGACACCCTAAGGGATACCTATTCAAACTGGATTTGGCACATAGACCAATGTGTGAATAGCATCATGACAGAAAAGAAACATCCTTACATGTTGTGACTGCTAGATTCTAGCAGAATAAATATTTCAATTTGTGAAAGCTGCTAAGAAGGGAACACACATCACAAGACACGGTCTACACAGAATATACGAAAAATGACCCCCATAGTGGAAGAACCACACGCAAGTTTTAATTATGACACATAAGATGAATAATCTTAACAAGTTTTAGTATGTGTAAATTTATTATAGTTGACAAATACGCACTTTTTAAATAATTTTATAAAGGCAAGCAATGAAATAGATTGCGTAATTAGGGCACCTGATGATGGCACTATGTTGCTGAAACATGTCGTGAAGTAACAGGTGAAACTGAGTGCACTACAAGACGGCAACTGTATACATATCATGGATATCCCTAAAATAAACTAACACAAAGTTACTGAAACTCTGTACCTAACTAGTGCACTGAAACATACCATACCAACAAAGATTAGTTAATAACACAAACATATATCACATGTTTGAAAAAGAAGCAATTGCAACCATGAACTTCAATTCTCTGCATAACATATATATCAAGGAATGTTTTGGCATCTTCACCGCTCGGCAACTCCTGAGACATCCTAGCATGCTATCATGCACTATCTTCAACTATAACATTTAATAAGACATCATGATGCATACTCAAATCACTGGTAAGATAAGGATCCTGATGCTTAATTAATTAAGCACCATGCCACAGAAATATATGCAGAAGTGAGGTATAGCTCCACCTTTCTTGACTTTCATCCTAGATGGTGGTCAGTTTCATGACCCAGCCACTCTACCTCTGTGGCAACAGCACCCAGGATCAATTGGGTAGTATCCTAGATGGGCTTCTGAGACAGTCTGAATGCTGTGGAGAATGAAAAAAATTCCTTTTCCCTGCCAGGAGTCAAACCCTCGCTGTCCAGACTGCCGCTATACATAATCACTGAGCCATCCTAGCTTCACCAAATCATTGGTTCTGACCGTAATAACCAATACCATGTTAAACAGAAATTGGTAGGTGAATGTCTACAACTTATAGGTATATTAAACAAGTTTGAGACAACTCTATTTCACTTAATAACATAAGAACAATGTAATTAAATTGCAGAACATAGTTCATGCCTCTCCTACGCTGCCATAACCCTAAGTTTCCTGATAATCTGAAACTTTATCATTTGTATCCTTTTCCACTGGGGGATACGCAGTAGTGTAGTTGGTTGAGGCACTATGCCACAAGCCGGAAGGTCGCGGGTTCAGGTCCCGATGAGGTAATTGAATTTTTTCAATTGACCTAATCCTTCCAGGCGCACTATGGCCCTGGGGTTCACGGCCTGTTACAGGGATAGCTTTACTTTTTTTACTTTTATCCATTTCACTGAAGTTAGAAAACCTTAAGGGGAGAAACTGTTGTGAACCTAGGCTTGCACTGAAGGAAAATATTAACACGGATTTTAGAAAATGGGCGTAATATGTACAATCTATTGAATAACTTAGAGTAAAATCCATCAACAAAAGTTTTTACGGCCTACTAATGAACTGTCTACTTTCACATAAACATTTCTCGAAGATCTAGGTGGCTCTGAGTTTTATCGAAAGATCCTCTTCCATGGATTAGGTTAGGGATCCTTCCTGGTTAAACTGGGTTTTATTAGGTAAGATAAGCTTCACTTCTGCACTTTCAACTGCAATTTTATATTTTGGTTTCTGAACTTTCGCCTGTAACTTTACATTAACAAGCAGACGCAATGCAATTTCTTTACTTTCAACATAACCTCCACACACCAACAAAATGCAATTCAATTTAATAACCTCGCTGGGACTAATACTAGCGGAAGATAGACTGTACACTGGCCCTACAATAAACAAACACAAACTTATCGAAACTATGTACCTAATTAGCGAAGTGAAACATACTAATATTAATCATGAAAGTGTCAACAAGTGGTACAAAATTACCGCCGTTTCTAACCTTCTTACCACTCATAAAATACCGTACGCAACTTCAGCAGCCACGGATTACTCGAGCAACTCGATCTAACTCGATTACGGATTACGAACCAGCCAGAGCTACTCAATTTTATTGGCTGGCAGCGTGGCGGCCATGCCTTAACAATAGCATTACTTCTGCCATCTATTTTCAGCTAACGTAACTAGATACAATAGGGCCGCTAGTACGTAGAGTCCGTGGAAAGAGCTCAATCCGTAAGAATGTATACTAGCATTTACACAAACTTTCTTTTTTGGGGGATGGGGATTATTGCTCTCATGGCGCTCGTGGCCCACACCAAGAGCTCAATCCATAAGTACGTATGCTATCATACCCCCACCTTTGAGGGGGGGGGGGTACTGCTCTTCCCCCCACCTTGAACTATACTTGACGAGAATAGCAATAAATAATTTTGCAACCTGATCTCTTGCACTGCAGTGGTTCTTCCTCCGTGTGTATTTTTTTTTTTGGAATTGGGTTCAATGTCACTTACCTCATATCCATTTGAAGGAATATGGAGTGATATTGAAGCCAGTTCCAAAAAAAAAAAAAAATACAGGACAGAGTAAGAACCTCTGCAATACAAGAAATCTGGTTGCAACATTTTTTATCTGCAGAGTTTTCCACCAGTGCCTGGAAAGTACGAGCATTTCATTTTCATCAGTCTAACACCTCCTTACTGAGTTGTGCTGTACATTGGGAACCATACCATACACAGAATACCTGTGTTTATGAAATCTGTAGGTGGGGAAACATGAAAGAAAATTCTGTTTCCATCAGAGATGGAATTTACACTTGAAAGCCAAACAGAACTTAAGTTTTTTCACTTACATTAATGCATTATGAATCATGTACAGCAAGCAATAATACTCACTTTTTCATTTATTATTAATTTCACTGGTATGAAGAAATTCAAGAATCTGAAATTCACTCTTGTCAACAAGATTGCATTTACTGATTACTGAAAATCAGGTACCCGTTCACCTTCACCAGTTCAGTACTGCACAGAATAATATGGCAAAAATAANAGAGTGTGCGTGAAATTTTGCTTTCTGTTAGGGAAAACTGCACTTCACTCTTCAAGTCGCGGCAAACATTCACGCGGTTTTCTCTTTGGTCATCTCCAAGCAAGCGAGGAACAAATTTTGCAGACACCCATCTCATGTGCAAACCTTCGGTTAAAATTCGCTGGACCGTGCTCCATGAGTGGTTCGTTTCCTCAGAAAGTTGGTCAATGGTCTTTCGACGATCTTATCAATTTCACGCACACTCTTTGTTCCTTCTGGTCGGCCATCTCACTAATCGCCAAAGGGTTGAAACAGGAACGCACACAACAGAGCACCACAGACAAACCACTTACCTCAGACTGACGCCAGCTCACTAAAAGTCGCAGGAGACCCCCAGCTAACACCACCTAGCAGCACAACTCGTAACTACAAAGCATGCAGGCGCAACAGGTCGTTTCCGGTTATTTTTGGGTCCCCCCTCGTATCTTACAGGAATATAATGAACACTGAAAATCTGTTATCTATTCATCTTCCAGTTCAATTCAATTCAATGAATTCAATGATTATTGAAAACCTTTTATTCATGTCCATAAGTTCAGTACTGGATGGGAATATACGGCTAAAATAATAACGTATCTTAAAGAAATGCAGTAAATATTGAAAATCTTATATTCATGTGCACCAGTTCAGTACTGGATACATAGCAAGAATTATAATATATCTTACAGAAATATACTGAATACTAAAAATCTGGCATCTATTCATCTTCCAGTTCAGTTCAGGAGTTAAAACTGAAGAGAGGGGTTCAAAAGAAGGGGTATGTAATGAAGGGTTGGGAGGCTGTGGGTGTGTGTCTGTGCAACAGAATCTGAGCCACATGGAACTGCCACTCTGTTAAGGCGTACCCTTTCACCTGTAGTGAAATCACTTTCTGCAAAATGTCTGCTGCACAAATATTTACAGTACAACATTCTATAAGAATTAATAGTGTAGGATACCCGACTCTTCTTGCCCATACAATAGCCCTGTAAAAGTATTACATATTGTCTCGAAACCTTGAAATAATTCATCAGTAAACATTACAAACATGGTGCATGTGCTACATTGTGGGGGTTACATTTAATACATTTAATGCAGGCATTAGCTAAACTTAATTTAGTCATTGGATTAAGCAACACACGCCAAACCATTACACAATGAATTAAAACAGATATACCATGCTGAATTCCTGGGGAAGTGGAAGAATTTAATTGCTCTTTGCCCACCTGATGACAACCAACCAGGGGCAGAGCATCTTTCTTTCTTTCCATTTATACTGCAAGGAACAATACAGACATTATAACACAATCACAGTACACTTAGAGTTTCTTGAGATTTTACAGACCTTCTTTGGGCTAAACAGAAAGATTCTTAATATGTCAAAACAGAAGTATGTTTTCCATGAAATATCGTTAACAAAGAATTTTGACTTGATACATATTTCTAAATTCATTCTGCCTAGTAAGCTACTATTCATATACAGAAACAACGTTAAGCTGTAATTTCGTGCATAAACATCAACTCTTGTTTCAAAACATCGAAGCAAATTTCATTTGGAGATGTAAAGGAAACTAAAGAAAAGTTGTTTATACACACAATCTGCTATTGTTAAGGTAGAAAACTGTGATAGTTGTGATAAACTGAACATGTACCTAGTATAGAGGAGACAAGAAACACTAGCAGAATTTTAGTGGAAAACCTCTTGGAAAGGGATCACTTTATAGACAATTTGTATTTTAGAAAACAGATTGAGGATTGGTAGATGGAATATGTTCATTGGTTGGTTTTGGTGTTTTGTTCAACCAGAGTTAAGTGTAAGGATCCATATGTTGTTCTTTGTCCTTCCTCTTAACAGGAATTGCCGAAGGTTGAGAGGGAGCTGATGAAGCACATCAAATTGTACAAGGAACAGCATTAAGAAGCAATTTATGATCCTTGGGGAAGCACTCATAGACATTATTAGCAAGCAGTGGGTGTTACATAAACAAAATAAAGAACAGGAAAAGAAAGCCAAGGTGAGAAAATGTCACACATTGAGATATATGTATCAAGTTTTTCATGGGTGACACTGTTTTGTGACAGGCTATTCTGTCAATTTCTGGGGGATCCTGAGCTTTCCACCTTCAATCACCAAGTGACTGACCTTAAACCTCTTCCTCATATGTACAGTTTGCACCAAGGGAGTGAGAGAAATCCTTATGTTCTCACTGGTGGACCTGAAAGTATGGGTTAACTAATGGGAGTCAATGTTCAGAAATATGAAGTTCTTTTAAAGTCACTTATTTAATAGGCATAAGGAAGAATGGCTTTCATTTCAAGATGAGAATTCAGGAAAATTTCAATAATTGAGATGTGAATGAGAATTCTCTCTAATATACCTCTTTTTTATCACTGTAATAATTTAAAGCCCTAGCCACTTTTCCAGTATGCTACTGACAAACCTGAAATATGTGCAGAGAAAAAGTAATTTCATACTCCTATTACAAATGCATGAAAGAAAACAAATACTGGAAACATGTTACAATGTGACATTTATTGACTTAGTGTCCTTCTTTAAGCCATCACCTTCATTCAGCTTCATGTGTCTTGTGTTGACCATTCCTATTGTCTGTCCCAGTTCTGTTGTCTTCACAATTCACATCTCTCTCAGATTCACTACTAACACTCTCATGTTCACTGCCAACATTCCCAAATTCTTCAGCCTCCATTTTATCAGATATACAGCAGTCTTTACATCTTTTGATTCACTTCTCGAGGGATCCATTGCCATGATGTCCTGGTCCTCTGAGATCAAATCCACTGGGTCCCTTTGTTGTCTTGAATGGTATCAGAACAGGTCCCTACAAAGAATCAAATTATCCTTAAAAGGCTTATTTACTAGAACATGTGGTTATGAAGTGTGAAGTGTGTGACCACAAGGTCAGTATTCACTGCAGGAATCAGAGATTTAACATCTAGCATTACCTAATTTTAAATTCATCCAGCACAAGCATTCCTTGTTTTCTGAATAATACTCTGGATTTTCTATTCAAGACCTGAATCCAGTCCCTCATCATTTTATTTAATCATCCATCCCATAATTTATCTGACTGTTGGTCCTAGAGGAAGCTGTGCCTTGACATAATTTTTCAAGTCAGTATCACATACATTAGTAGTTACATGCTGTCTCCCGACTCTTTCAATATTACAGTCATACATTTTCATTGCCTGATGTTTTTATGGCAACAGATTATGCACCTATATTATCAGTGGTGTAACTTGTTGCAAGGTGAAGACTTTCACTGTATAGAAAACCTGTTCTTGGCATCATTTGTGCACGCCATCTAGCTTGACTTAAAATTGCAGCTGCCTATTTTGTAATGGTTTTTATGTAAAACTGACAGTCCTTTCCATCTCTGAACCTGTACAAATGACAATTTTCATGTAGAACAGGTATAAGTTATAGTCTTTGCTTCCACCTCTAAATGACTGCCTCGAGAGGCACTACTTTCTTTCTGTTTCACAGTTGTTTGTTTGTTCTCCATATTTAACCACCACAGTCTTCCCTTTCACACTAGTACTATTCCCTTGACATGAGTTGCCGTTTATATTCTGAATGACACTTGCACTAGCACAGAATATTGTGATAATGTACAGGGTATGGACAAAAATATGGAAACACCTCGTGAAATGCATGCCGGAATTGAAGAGTTTATTTTAACGACGTTTGTAGGTGATGCTGTCATATCTGCCCATTACCACTACCTGTACAACCTCGGCAATATGTTGCAAGTTTCATTTGTTGTCAAGACAGTGTTCTGTGCAGTGTTTAGAGCATCATGTCAGAGCTAACAGAATTTGAACGTGGGCAAATTGTTGGGGCCCGTATGGTTGGTGCTTCCGTAACCAAGGTAGCAGAGATTTTTGGTGTTTCGCAAGGCACAGTATTCAAGATTATGACCGCATACAGGAAGACTGGAAAAACAGCATCCGACAAACGCCAGCGTGGCCAGAAATGTGTGGTGAGTGATCGAGACAGACGAACATTGCATAGGATTGCGATGAAAAATAAGAAGACTACAGCTGCAAAAGTGACTACTGAACTGAATGTCATGCTCACAAAATGTCAGCACCAAAACAGTAGGAAGGGAACTCCACAAGCAGGGTATTTCTGGACAAGCTGCAATGCCAAAGCCACTCATCAGTGATCAAAATGCCACTAAGAGGAGAGTGTGGTGCCAAAGTCATAAAACCTGAACTATGGAGCACTGGAAGATGGTCATTTGGTCAGATGAGTCCACCTTCACACTGTTTCCGACTTCTGGCCGAGTTTACATCTGGAGAATGCCATCACAAGCTTACGATCCAGACTGTTTGCTGCCAAGAGTGAAAGATGGCGGGGGTTCTATCATGGTATTGGCAGCTATTATTACCCTGCAAGGTCATGTCACTGCCAATGTCTATGTGACCATTTTGGGTGACCAGGTCCATCCCATGGTGCAAACTATGTTCCCCAACGGTGATGTCATTTACCAAGATGACAATACCCGTGTTCACACAGCTCACATAGTCCAGGACTGGCTTTCTGAGCATGAAGATGAAGTGTCGCGTCTGCATGGCCCCCACAATCGCCAGATATCAATATTATTGAGCCTTTGTGGTCTGTTTTGGAGAGCAATCTGCGTGCACGCTATCCACCTCCATCATTAACAGAACTTGCCAATGTTTTGCAGGAAGAATGGTATAAGATTCCCTTAGGAATCATACAGGACCTCTATTTATCCAATCCAAGGCAACTGCAAGCAGTTCTGCAAGCCAGAGGTTGTCCTACACCATATCAGTAATGTGTCTTTTTGTTGAGTGTTTCCATATTTTTGTCCATCCCCAACTTGCCAATGTTTTGCAGGAAGAATGGTATAAGATTCCCTTGCAAATCATACAGGACCTCTATTTATCCAATCCAAGGCAACTGCAAGCAGTTCTGCAAGCCAGAGGTTGTCCTACACCATATCAGTAATGTGTCTTTTTCTTGAGTGTTTCCATATTTTTGTCCATCCCCTGTATACTGGCAAACTACTGCTATTGTTTCATAACTTCGGTGTTACTTTGGGCAGCCTTACAGCAGTTAACTGCTGCAGATTTTGAAACATACTTTGTCTCTTTCTTGCTTGCTCCTTTCATAGCATGACAGTATGAACTGTGACATGAACACACCAGTAGCTTAAAACAGTTTTAAATCATCTAATACGAGGGGAAGTCAATAATTAACCGCAATGCAGTTGTATTTGTGTTTCTGTTGGCAGCACTGTCGTTTTCCGCAGCATCACCATGCGTGGTTTCCTTGTCATTATTTCTGCGCAGGTTTGATGTTGCTAGGTCAGTTCCATCGTCGCTACCTTGCCGTTCATCATGGCTGTTCCACTTTCTGTTTGCGCCAAAGAAGAGCAACATTCAATGATCAGGTTTTTGTGGTCGGAAGGTGTATCAGGGGCCGCAATCCATCAAAGACTTTCAGCACAATACGGGAACAGTGTTTTGCCGCAACGGAGTGTCTACGAATGGATTGAAAAAATAAAAAATGGTTGCACAAGTGTTACGCATGAGGAAGGAGCCGGACGACCATCCACGGCCACAAATGAGGACAACACTGAGCGTGCACGTGACATGGTTCTGTTAGACAGACGAGTGACTATTGATAAGTGGCAAATCGTCTGCAAATTAGTCATGGTTCTGCCTACAAAATCATCCACAACAGACTTGGGTTTCATAAAGTCTGTGCAAAATGGGTCACAACTCACAGTGTTGCATAAACAAACGCACTTGGACATCTGCCAACAACATTTGGATCGCTATGGTATTATCGCCCTTCTTAATCTCGGCCAAAAAAAGCTCGACAAGTCAAGAGCAACATTATTTTTTTACTGCTTGTGGGGTGGTTCTAAAACCCTTGTACTGCAGCCACTTCTGGCCTATTGTACCAGCCCCAGATGATATGCGAGGTTGATTGTGGAGCAATTGGTGGAATGAAGATTGGCAGAGGAAACCGAAGTACCGAGAGAAAACCTGCCCCAGCACCACTTTGTCCACCACAAATCCCACTTGACCAGACCCGGGATCGTATCCGGGCCGCCGCAGTGGAAAGCCAGCGACTACTCATTTATTTACTTATGCAGCTGAGCCCTTCTTGAGGAGAAGCCAAATCTGCAGCTCCTCAAGAATTTCGCAACATTCTATGGAACCTGAAGGTTCATTACCATGTTCACAAGAGCCCTCCACTGGTCCCTATCCTTAGCCAGATCAATCCAATCAATGCAGAACTACAGTTGCTTTGTCCTCCTCCATTTCTTCCACATTAAGATGTCCTGCTGCTTTTGAAATAAGCAATACAATAAGTCCCCATGCCTGCATGTTGTTGCAGCCATTGTATAACAAGTTCCTATAAGCAAATTCTGCAATTTTGATATATCCTTAACAATTTGTGTGTTCCTTCATGTCCTACAGGAAATTAAGCTAAGAAGCAGTTTCTGCACTACCACAGAAAAGAGATTAAGAAACTGAACATGCTAAAAGTATGTAACTTTTTCACCAAAAGTGCAAACTTGGAACATGTGTATGTTAAAACTGATGGCAGGAAAAATAATCAGAGGCATGGTCCAAAATGTACTATGGTAGGTACATTTTGCTACACCATTTTTAAATAATGACATCAAAATTGAAACTAGTCATTGCTCAGTGTACACATTCCATAATTTAACACTTAAGCACAGTAACTGCTGTTCACTGAAAGACACGTTTAAGTACAGCCCAACAGAAAAATGCAAAACTTACAAACAAAGTTTACAGCCCTACAGGAAAATACATTATTAATTGCCAATTTGCTACTTACTTTGCAGTTTTCAGTAACGGGTGATTTGAACCAACTAGTTTACGCAAATGGAGAACCACATTTGCAATTTCATCACTCAAGAGCCAACATAAGCTCAAAAATGAGGTCAGGTAGCTGACTACTTTCTCAGCTTCTGACACAGCCTTATTCCAGTCAGGCTTCTGATTGTGTGCTAATTTACCAACTGCACTGTATTTGCTTGTTCCTGTACATAATTCTCTTGGATTTGACACTGTCATGTTAATTCCATTGTATTTCTGAAGTATAGACACCAAAAACAAGTTTCCATTTCGTGTTCTAACAGTGTAACAAATATCACTGACATTTTTAAGTAATATTTTACTGTACATGTTCAGAAAGGCTGAAGACATTTTGTATGTTCGGTATACCTGAGAATACTAGAGAAATAATCACCTGAGAGGCACTGGTATGAAACGAGGTCACCGCTTATGTCGGTGAAAGTTTATATAAGGCGAACGGCTGTCCTCGTGTTCTCATGGCATGTATTTTAATACAACTAAGTTCCTTCTGTCGGCACTGAAAATAATGACAGTAGGTCTGCAGTAGTAATATGAACCTTTACAGGTTATGTGAAGTTTAAATTGTTATACCGAGCGTTGTGATGTGTACGTAATATTGGGATTGTAACGAGGGCAGGACGAAAGTCTGTCTTTTCCCCAATACACACACTGTAAAATCTTCATACATTTTGAGTTTAGTTCCATGCAGAGGCATTCTACGTATCTCTGAAAGTTACGTAACAGTAACGAAAGTGTGTGTTAAAATGCTACACCAGCAAAGACACTTTTATTAGAAGGTAAAAGCTGTCCCTGTAACTGGCCGTAAGAGCCCATAGGGTTTTGAGACGTTCGAGACCGGTTACCAGGTTGCTACGTATCACATTACAGGAAAACAACCACATAGATTTCTACGGTTCTACGGTAATAGCGTTGCATGACCTATTCCCGTCAACGCCCGTGAAGCTGAATTTGCTACTGCAAAGTTGAAAACTGATTCAAGCAGGAGGTGAAACATCACGGCCCGAGAACCGTAAATTGATTGATTGTATTTGGATAGCTGATCAGTGGAAGGAACCTATTATTTTACCAATTTAAATGCAGGGTTATAAGACTGGCCGTAGAAATTATCGAGAAATATCGCTGTTACCAACGTCATACAAAATATTATCCAGCACTGGCATCCTTCTATCGAGGTACAAAAATAGTTAGATGTTCCCAGTTTTTACCAGTATTGCAAGAGAAATTCTGGAATAACATTTTTCACAGCTTCCAGGTCGCCTCATTTGAATTATATAACTGGTCAATTGATACAGAAGATAAAATTAAGCAGCACTTTATTCACTATTACAAACTCTTACAGCAAATGATCAAAAGCAAGAAAGATTATCCTTTCATTCTTTTTTTAGCATTGGCATAATATAATGGCGCACCTTCAGATTTGATGAAATATTTCTGCCGGGTGTTGTCCTGTCCTCGCTGGCTGGAATGGGATAGGGTGCTTAGTATATTTTTCCATTCCGCTTATTTTGGCGTAATTCAACCAAGTCTTGAAGGTCCAGCTTCACTAGAGCGGATATATGTTCGACTTTGCAGATCTCTTCTATGTGGTTGAAGTAATGGCAGAGATCCTCATTGCTTTCCTCGAGGTGTTCTGCAACGGGTTTAAGAAGTGAGTACAAACCTTTCATGGATAAGTCGTCACAGTCGTTGAACAGCTTGCAAATATACGCGTATTTTTTCTGTTTGTATACTTCCGGCTTTCCAGAGCTCACCAATAAACCTTGCGTTCTTGATATATTTTTCTTTGTCTCTGATTCTCATTATAGCATCTTTGAAGCATTTTCTTTTCACCAGAAGTTTTGGCTCGTTCAAGATCTCCCATTATTGCCCACGTGCCTGAATCTACATTTGGGTACATAAACAAGTCGTTACACCGTTTCATTAAGAAGTTTCTCATTTTCGTACCTATTTCAGGAGGCAATTTGCGAAACATTGCCTCACTCAGGTTTGCAGTAACTTCTGATAAGTCTGGGTAGTTTGTGGCCATGTCGTGGATAATGCAGGCAAACCCCTCAATATTAGTGATGGTAAGAGGTAATGCCAGGATCTTCGTTAGGATTTTTTAAAAGAACCTTTTCTAATCTGGTAGACTATGCTGCATACTACTCTGCATAGCTCTTCTGTCATTAGTCCTTCCTTGCTTGTGCTGCTGTCATCCCAATTTTCAAGATCCCACTCGCCGCTGTTAAAATCTTCCAGATTTTTACTGTTGATACACACAACAGAATTCCTCTCTTTTGTCTCCTGCATGAATGCGGCATCTTTGTGCCTCGCGTCCTCTGTGCAGTTCTTCTGGACATCCAGCTTCATTTGTAACCCCTTTATAATTTCATCTTTTTGGGAGAGATCACTGTCTGCTTGTTCTTGTTTTCTCTTCAAATATTTTATTACATTTTCTTTTTCCTGTAGGAGGTCACCCAACTGCCTGACTCTAGCTCTCAATTCATTATTGTGTATGGTCATGTTACGAAGATCCGGCATGTTTATGGTGTTCTGCGTTCCCGCATTGATTCTACTTTTTTTTTTCGTAGCATATACGCAACTTGCTTTCGTAACTTCAATGCTGAATGGCACATGTCCTCTCACTGTATGGCTTCTTTTTGGTGGTCCTTAACTTCCTTAACTTAACTACCATCGGATCCGCAGAAAACACCGCCTCTGTTGTAGCGAGAAGTGTCTTGCTGTAATGTTGTACAGCAACAAACGTTAACATTACTATTTCCTTGACCACATTATGTGACAGCGCGTAAACACATCGTTGCCGGTACCGGCCGGGACAGCGATGACTTAACGCAACAAGAGAGTTGCCGGAAGCGGTGTTGTCATTCGGTATGGCGCCAAGGTTGCAAACCTTTACCAGACAACCGGTGAAGAGAACAGCAGCACAGTAGACAGAGAACTTAGTGGTGACCGTGGTGACCGTCAGATCAACTCAATGCAACAGGATGCTGAATATGATCTGCCATAAGCTTTGTGTTCCATGACATGCAGATTATTTATTGCTTATGTATTTACTGTTACCCGTGGAACACTGCTACATGGTTACTTATTGTTTACGTATTTCCTGTTACTCGTGTAACACTACTACATGGAATTTCGGTGTAGATCAGTAACCGTGATATGTCGTGTTTTTTGAACGAAGGCCCAATGGTTAGTTACCACGGATAACAGATATAATTCTAACTCGTCGACGCCCATTTCCGTTTCTCTGAACCAATCAAATTATTGCATTTGAAAGAATTGTCAGCCATATTCAAAGTAACGAAATTTAACCGAATCTGGTTTGGCGTGTGGCATCAAATTGTCGTAGTTTATTGTTTGGTCACGCTTTGAATTATTATACTGATAACATATAATAAATATGGCTGATTTTATTTCTGCTCGGTGAGTAAATTTAGATGTTCTTATCAGAAACATGTGTATTGTGTAATATACCATCTAAAATTAAAAGTTAAAATCAGGATTTAAAAGTACTTAAGGCAGCACCGAAGGATTTTTGTAAGATATTGTATGTGGGCGGATCAAGATTTTTGGTTTTTATTTGAAAAGCTTCAGTATAGTGAAATAAAGGACTTAAAAACCAGGGAGGTATGCAAGATAACAAAAATGCATTTGTGTGCTTATTCCTTTTCAGAAATTGTGATGATGTGACAACGTCTGTTAACAGCATTGTAAGGACCTCTATGGAAAAACTGGCAGCGATTTGGGAGGAGTGTGGTTTCGGTGATACAAGCATACAACAGAGATGTGAGGCAGTGAAGAAGCATGTTCAGGTGAATATTGCTTTAAGATTCAGTTTTAAATTTTTTGGCTCCATATTTTTTGCAGTTCAGAAATATTTGTATTTTATGCTTTTTATACTCTAGAAGGTGTGATTAAGAAAATGGTTATTGGATTTTTAAGCAGTAAGAACATACAGAAAGAAACTAGCTTCTGAGGTTGTTGGTTCTGAGATTTGGTCCATGAGTGGCTGTACAGTACAAAGTCTCAGAATAAAAATTATATACTTGGAAGAATTTTCAATGTAATTTGATGGGGAGGCGGCTAGGAATCTGCCCCTTGTATTTGGTAGAAAACCAGAATTAAAGAGTATGAAATATACCAAAATTGAAAATTATTTTTGGGAAAAAAATTCTATTTGAAATACACTGTTTCTGTTCGTTCGGTAGATTTTTTTATAAAATTTGTGATAAATGGTCATACATTTTTACATATTACACTGGATAGAACTGAAAAATAATCTTTTGCAGGTCTTCAGTTTTTATTAACAGTCATTGACAGTTTTGTGTATATATGATTTTTAGTACCGAAATCTGTTCTGTCTTTATTTTTTTTTTCAGTCTCTCTTTGATGAAATGCTTGAAGAGGAACAGGAAAATAAGAACTTAATTATAACAATGATAGAAAATTACTTGAAAGAGATAGCAGATTTGAGCAAGGTAATATGAATTTTATCATTATCATCAACAAATGATGATGATAATGGTTGTGGTGATACCAGTAAATTTTTGGCATCCACAGCACCAAAATTCATTTGTGAATTAAAAAGTCAATACAGAATTGCTATATTCTAACCTGGAAGAAAATTAAGAGGCCTGATGGAACATTACTCTGGTACATTACCAACAGTATAAGACAGGAATTTGATAATGTCTAAAATATTTTTAAGGGACATGGCCATCTGATATTGACACAGAACCTTAGGAAATTAATAGATTATTCTCATCATATAATGGGAGCCAAAATTGTCAAACCAAAAATTTTATTTAACACGTTTTAAACAAAATATAGTGTGGAACTGGCTGTTTGATAAACACTGTTTATTATTCCTGTATATAATGAGTCCCATGAAAATGTATTTGTATATATAGTATGTCTTCCAAATCAGGTTATTTCTCTATGTTGAATTTGTGTGAGGTTTTTCTGTTTGGCAAATGCACAGACTAATGATATTTTTCATATTCAGGATCTGAATCAGGAAATTTCTGTCAATGGCTATGAAAACTTGCCATTATGTAATGTTGAACGTATACTGAGATGCAAAGTGGAAGAATATCGGAAAATAAAGCAGTCACGCTTGCATAGATTGGCAGAATTGAAGAGCAAAGTAAGTACGACACAGAATGAGACACAGCGACATTTAATGCTATTTCATCACAATTGTCAGCAAAATGTACAATTTGGACAAGGTTCAAGATATGTAAGTTGCAGGGTATTGAAAGAAGACAGTTATCCAGCTCATCAAGAGATTGCTTGTTGTGGATCATGAAGGTTAAATATTACCATCACAGGATCTTGCTAGAGGATCCTACCTGAATGACTTCAATCCACTTCATTTCTTCAAAATCTGTTTTTTTATGATCCATATTACTAATACTGTGGGCATGCAGTAGTGTAGTTTGTTGAGACACTATGTATACACTGGAAGGTCGCGAATTGAGTACCACCACACATATGCCCAAGTCTCCCAGTTCCTTCCACCAACTTTGCATCATTTTTACTTCCATGTATGTAATTAGTTATTGGAAAGGGTGGGTTTCCCCATGCACTGAGACCTGTATTGGTCCATTGTGCTTCCCTCTATGATATTCTACCAGTCTCTATATCCTACCGGTACTGGTGCTTACCATCAGTCCCGCCCAGCCAGCGAGACCGACTCTACTTAGCTGAGAGGTATCTATAATTATAGATGCTTCCCCCATCTACCGGAGGTATAAGTGACTGCTGTTGGGCGGGAAACGTTCGTTAATTTGGCTCAGTGATCTCCTTTGGAGATATGAGGTTCTTTTACATGCCGTAAAGCTACAACACGGGACCCACAGCTTAAAGTCCCTCCCGGAGGACTTGTTCCCTGAATTTTTCCGTCCTTAAAAATTCGACGACCTCCGCCGGGTATTTGAACCTGCGTACTACGAGTCATGAGGTGGGAACGTTACCTCTAGACTACGGAGGCTGCTATGTATGTAATTAAATGCCAAATTATTATAACCAGTTTACAAAACTGTCTGTTGTGTCAGAGTGTCTTACCTACTGAATCACCAGTAAAATGGACAGACATACACACAGTCCCAGCCGGTATATCTAAGCATTTCCTGAAGTCTGTAACAAAGTATTAGAATGTTTACAATGTGCTGGCCAAAACTTGTTCTTGAGGTGATATTTTGTTTCATCTAACAAATATCTACTATCTGAACCTGTCCATTCCACCTGGCAATACTGCAATAACAACAAATTCGTAACTTTCTTAAGATATTATGGATGTATTTACAAAATTATGAATAAGTAAAGGTATCCCTGTAACAGGCCGTGGTGGAGGCCCATAGGGTTGTGAGATGTTGAGGTTCCCACATTTTCTAGACAGTCGGCTCATAGATGGCAGCAAGGTTGTCAGCCCTATGCACCAGGTGCCCTTCACCCCCAAGAATATTCCTGGTACTCATTTCTGTTAAGAGGCTGAGTCGACCTCAGGGCCATAGTGCGGCTGGAAGGATTAGGTCAATTGAAAGAAATCCAATGACCTCATTGGGACTTGAACCCGCGCCCTTGTAGCATAGTTCCTCAACCAACTACACTACTGCATGCCCCCCACAAAATTATGAATACTAAGAGAAATCAGTTGACCTCAGAGGATGGCAGTGGACCTTGAGAATAACAATTTGGCTGATTTTAAGCTAACGTTTGGGTCAAACCAGTTCACTGCATAATGTGTCCTTGGTGGCAGCGAAGGACTGTTGACTGGGTTACATAATGTTCTTAGACAAAGAATACAATCATAGTACCTAGAGCTGAGATCAATACAGCAATGCCTTAGATAGTCCGGTTAATCGGTTCCGCCAATATCCTGGACTGTTTGAAACCGAACTAATCGAGGAACTAAATACATACAAAAAGTGATAATTGGTTCCAAAAAAATCTCCGTTTTTTCAGTAAATAAAACGCAATTAATAAATTCAAATGTCTATTAGAAATGATTTTTAAAAAGTAATATTTCTTGCAGTTCATTTTTTTATTCTCTAAAAATTGCAATATTGATGTCTGCATATTTTTCTTCTTTGGCCTTTTCTCTTCATACATTTCATCCATGATATGTATACAATGGCGGTCTTGTAGTGCACTCAGTTTCACCTGTTACTTCATGACAAGTTTCGGCAACATAATGCCATCTTCAGGTGCTTTATTTACGCTAAGCTATTGCATTGTTTGCCATCATATGTCTTTGTAAAATTATTTAAAAAGTACATTATTCGTCAACTATAATAAATTTTTATACACTAAAACTTGTTAAGATTATTTATCTTATGTGTCTTAATTCAAGCTCGCGTATAGTATGGTATAATTTTACAAAGACAAATGATGGCAAACAATGAAATAGCTTAGCATAAATAAAGCACCTGAAGATGGCCCTATGTTGCTGAAACATGTTGTGAAGTAACAGGTGAAATTGAGTGCACTACAAGACGGCCATTGCATACATATTGTGACGTGTTGCGCAATGGAGGACAACCCCTCACCCTGCCAGTGGTGACGTAACACTTTCGGAGTGTTGCCGTTGCTACGGTAATAAGCCAGTCAACACCCCGCTTCTCCCTGCAGTGACGTAATACGCGATACCGCCATTGCTACACAGCAGTAAACAACTCCCAACAGCGTTGCTAGCAACATGGCGCCAGACAACAGTGGTGCCTATTACGTGGCTGTTTTCTATGTTGTCCGGAACGAGGCTAAATAAGGAGCAGCGAAGATTATTCACAGTTAGTTCTCAAGTTCTCGAGTTACGAGTTATGAGTCAGCCAAGCAGTCGACCAGCATTTGCGGTCTAGTATTTGTGATACTGCCAATGGCAGTAATTGTCAGATTGTAAATTGTGTGATTGTAAGAGCGAGTGGAATAAATTAGCTATATCAATTACGGCGTGAAGTTATTTGTCGCATATACACCCAACACGTGACAATATCGTGGATGAAAATCAGTGCAACAGGACGCGAAAATACAACATTATTCATACATTTCTTTGTAGCACTGAATTGCATTGTTTATCGTTCAGCAAATTTTAAGGCTACATTCAATATTGGAGTCAGCTTCCATAATATGCTCTGACAAGGTTTCAACCATTCGAGTAATTTTTGATAGTTGTTCAGCTGTTAATTCTCGTGCAGGCACTTCAACACAGTCGTCGTTGTCTAAGTTGTCCTCCCGTTGTTCATCTGTGTTAATAAGTGTTTCATTATCTAGTTCATTAGTGTTCGATTTGATGCACTCAATTACATTGATGGAATCTAACTCACTGAAACCAAGTTGCTTTTTAATTTCTACTGTGTTATTAGTGACTTCAGCAAAATGAGTTTCAGAACCAATGAAATCATTTGCACAATGTGATATGATAAGTTTCCGTACTGCCCTCATATTGCTTGCCGTTAATTCATCCCATGCTTCGCCTATATTTTTGATAACGTTTCTGATATAGCTCTTCCAAAATTCCATTAAAGTAGTGTTCGCCCCCCCTCCTCCAGCGATAGCTGTCAGAGCTCAAGAACGAGCAACCCAAGCATAGGTACATACATATTCAATGGGGAACCCCAGAAAAAATTGAAATATGTATCGTATCGCATGGCTTTAAAACCACATAAAAATAAATCGCACAAAAAGAGACTTGACTGTATAAAGGGAAACAACCGAATATTTATGTATTAAGAATAATTTTGTGTACTAATTTTTTAGAATTTGTTTTTATTTTCCTCAATTAAAATTTAGTTTGTTTTGAAATTTTCAAACCGGACTGTGCGAGGTATTGTTGTATTTTGTATTTTGTTTCTCTCAGACGTATTATGCAACATTGTATTGCCTAACATAATATTTTGTTATTAACATCTTATACGTCTTGTTTGGAAAAGTAGTATGGCTGAATTAATTCTTTCATGAATCATTAATATTTTAAGATACCAGACCAGCCACCTTTAATTTGATTGAAAGGGTGGAGGGTCAGCTTGAATTATCCATTTGTTGTGGACTCTGATTTGGACATACTTCATTGTACATTTACACAGTTCTGGAATATTTTCATCCTTATTTCTGTTTAGGAGTTCCATTTTCTTAAGTCTGCTGTTAAGACATGATGTGAATAGCTTGGAAAATAATATCACTACCATGGACATTTTAAGTCTACTTCTCAAATTGTTTATACAGGAAGAACTCCTTTGTAATGCCTTGGGAATTCAGCCACACGCTGATTTTGCACATCAAGTACCCAGTGAACAACAACTTGTTGAATTTGAATTATACATCAAGAAGAAAATTGATGAAAAGGTGAGCACTGTTTGGCAAAGCATTTATAATATTGGCTGTTATGATCACTGACTCCAAAATTAGTTAGCACTGTGGGAAAATAGGGTATGGGTAACTTAGACCTCTTTGGTGGTGCAATGGTATTGAGTTTTCATTTATTTATAGTATGTAGTTTTTCCTGTTTATTTGTGGTATGTATTGAATTTTACAGTTCCCCCCACTACAAGACATAATACCTTCTTTTGAATTTCAGGAGCGGTTGATGTCAGTGTACCAAGAATCAAAGTCTGCAATTGTTACTATTGTGTCTGAACTTAAAATTGTACCAGTTCTGGAATTTGAGAAACTTGTTTTATGTGAAGAGGACACAGCTTTCAGACCAACAAAGGAGAACATGGCTGCACTAAAAGTGTGTAATGTTGCTGTTTACATATACAATATTTAATTTGGAAATTGTTGAGTTTATTTTGCTCGATGTTTTCTCTTAATTTATAGGAAAATTGTTTAAATGATTTTGAAAGCTTGATCATCTTTCATTCCAGTATTATGCCTCTGACATGTTATAGATATTGCCACATAGACTGTATCTTTGTGCTTTCCTAAATATCTTCTTGCTGCTAGTAGATACAGTGGGACCACTTTTAAGGAGACACTGCTTAAGATGTTTTCCCACCTTAAACTTTAAAATACATAGTCCCCAAATTTTCCCATATGATTTAGGTATACTCTTCATTTTCAACATATTTCTCATATATCAGGATTACTTACCTAAACGCACATAACTAACACCAGAGAACTAACAGTTTGCCCATTTAATACACTTTTTGTATCAAAATGTATGTATTTAAGTTTCCATCTTTAACTTGTCGGGGGCACACAGTAGCATAGTTAGTTGAAACACTATGCTACAAGCCAGAAGGTCACGAGTTCAAGTCCCGATGAGATGGATTTTTTTCAGTTGACCTAATCCTTGCAGCTGCTTTATGGCCCTGGGGTCTACTCAGCCTCTAACAGAAATGAGTACCAGGAATCTTTCTGGGGTAAAGGGAGGCTGCCGCGTAAGGCTGACAACCTTGCTGCCATCTGTGAGCTGACTATCTAGACAAAATGTGGGAACCTCGACGCCTCAACCCTATGGGCCCTCACGACCTGTTACAGGGATAGGTTTACCTTTTTACCTTACCTTTGACTTGTCACTTTAATTGTTCATACATTTGTTACTTTCAAACGTGTGTTGATAAGATGATACTTAGGCTCATTTTCCAGTGATAACATTCGGTAAGTCCTTTTCACTAGGTAAAATTCCCGGTTCTGTTATCCAGTGGCTGGTTTTAGAGATAAGCTTCATTGGTACAAACTGATGAACAATCCATTATCATTTCAAAGTGTCTGAGAAGCAAATCTAAGTGCAATTAACCAGTAACGAAGTACAGAGTAAAATACACTACCCAATTGGCAGACAGCATGGAACTATGACCATGTGTCATAGTGAATTAAGAGAACCATGTCCAAGCACAGCTACATAAGGGGGTAATAATTGTATCTGACTAACAGATGTATGAATGGATATACTGATGGAGAACTGGTAACAAGTGTATGAATTAGTGGATCAAGAATATTCTTGAGAAAACAAGGAATGCTTCTATTGGATGCATCCGAAGGCCATTTAACACTGGATACTGGTCTATGATTCATGCAGTTCAACACTAACCTTGTGGACATACCTGGAAGGATGACTTTGTAACTGCACATTCTCGTGAATAAGCCTTTTAATGATCATTTGAATTCTCACTAACTTTGGTAGAAATAGATAAGTTTAAACTGGTTGGTAAATTTTGTAAAAAGCGAAGTAAGAGTGGTGGATCATGTATAACTGTAAATAAAGAGGTGAACGTAAGGGAAGTCACATTTTTAAATGAACTGAGTAGTGAAAAAATTTTTGAGATATCAGGTGTGGAAATTGAAAAATTTTAATGTATATTGATATGTATTTACAGATCACCTCAAGGTGATGTGAAAATATTTTTGAAGAAAGTCGAATCTCTCATTGAGATAATACACAGAAACATGAAAAAATTAATAATCTGTGGAGACTGGAATATAAACATGCTCCAGGAAAATGAGCAGGTCCAGTCATTGAAAAATTTGTTAGTATCTTATGATTTAATAAATATAGTCTCCAGTCCAACAAGAGTTACTGGTAGCTCAGAATTACTGTTAGATATATTGGTGTTAAATAGACAGTTTAACAAGAATTACATTGAGATTATAAATATGGGCTATTCGGATCATTTGGCCCAGATTTTATGGGTGTTAATAGACAAAGGTAATGATGAGGAAAAAAAGCTTTAAGAAGAAAGTATACCAAGGACAGTATTGCTAAATTTATAACTTTGTTGACTAGTGAATCTTGGGGGGGAAATATATGAGGAAAGGTGTGTAAATGAGACACGTAAGCAATTTATAAAAAAATTCTTAGACTATTTTAATCAAATATTTCCACTGAAACCAGTAATAAAGAGAAATACTAAGAATAAGAAATGGACATCAAAAAGAAAAATATCTTGCCGGAAAATGAGGTTTTTAAACGATTTAAAACGGAGGATAGCTTTGCCAATCGAAATAGTAAGCTATATCGGTAGTTATAAAAGGGTTATTTTAGAAGCAAAAAAAGAGACAAAATTATAAATGGATAGAAGGGGCATCTAACCCAAATAAAATAACATGACAGATAAATAAAAGAATGGACAAAGTAGGAAAGGATGACCAGGAGATTCGGTTGCAAGGATATAATAAGAAAATATCCCACCCCCAGGAGGTGGCTGACACACTGAACTCATATTTTATAGACAAAGTTGAAGAACTCGTGGACAAAAACAAGAGTAAGACCAAAGAAATATCGTTAAAAAAGTTGTAACAGGAAACCCAAATTCAACGTATTTTTGGCCAATCTTGGAAGAAGAAATTGTCATAGAAGCATCTAAATTAAAGGGCAAAGCCTCAGCGGGAGCTGATGGAATCCCAGATTTTCTTATAAAAATATACATCTCAAGTATAAAAAAACACTCAATTTTATATTTAATGAATCAATAAAGCAAGGGGTTTTCCCTGATTTATTGAAAATTGCAAAGATCAAGCCAGTTTATAAAAGAGGAAACAAACATGAGGCGAGTAACTATAGACCTATATCGGTGCTATCAGTATTCTCAAAGATCTTGGAAAAAATAGTATACAATAGACTGGTGTCCTTTACTGCTAAATTTAAAATACTAACTGAAAAACAAGATGGATTTCAAAAAGATAAAGAGCTGTATGTCTGAAATGAATGGGAAGATGAAGTTGGGAATGTGGGCACTAGACATGAGAGTGTAAGCAGTGAGAATTGTGAAGATATTGAAGCTGAGGCAGCCTGTAAGAATGATGAACAGAGACTGGTGAAGCTGAATAACGGTTAATGACTTCAAGGCGGAAACTAACTCAATAAATTTTATGTGTAACATGTTTTCTGATATGTGATTTCTTTCACATATTTATAGTGAGGTTATGAAATTCATTAAAAAAATACTTTTTTTCTGCAGACATGTTTCCTAATGCAAGGTCATCTTGCGTTCAGAATGATCTTCCATTCAGGTAAATATGATAGAACACTTCAGTGCACTGTGAAAAGGTGGTCATTGTTATAAAATTATTACAGTGAAAAAATTGGTATACTACAGAAAATTTTTGTTCTCATCTTAATTCTCAGAATGTTTCAAAATTCTCATCTTGAACTGAAAAAAGCATTGCTGCACATGCCTAACGTTTATGTTTGGGTTTGAGTCCAGAAAATATGGTACAGTTCTGCATCTTGAAAAAGCCTTTATTGATCATTAAACTAGGCAGTGAAATAAGTCCCATTTAACACCCCTATACTTTGAAGCGTGCAATGACCATACACCTGGTTCGACGGAAATGTGAGGTGTTTTGGTTGATTTCAACATGTATGTCCATTAATGTAAGGTGGATTATCGTGATTTTATATATAATACGGTAAGAAAGTGAGGCTCAGTTCAAATGAAAATTCCTTATTCAAATAATATTATATTGCTTTTATAGGACCTAGCCTTTTAAGAAGTTTCCTTTCTAATAGATTCAGTTCATCGCTCCCATCCTCCCAGAGTCTTAAGAGGGTTTCTTTGTGCATTATCTTTGGAGGGGGATCTCTCAGAGCTCATTCTTTTGATATGTCTTTCCAGTTTCATATACAGGGTTATTCAAAAAGAATGAACCCATTTTATTAAAGGAAAGTAATACAAAACTCCAGCCAAGTCACAAGTATTCTACTCACAATCAACTTTTATTTCCTGTCTTACAAGTGTTCAGTGTGGCCACCATCTGCAGCACGGGCAACATCAATGCGATAAGAGAAGTCCTCCCAGGTGCGTATCAGCATATCACGATGCACTGAGTTAATCTCTGTTGTTATTCGATGTTTAAGGTCATCGAGGTTAGTGGGTAGCGGTGAAACATAAACGTGATCTTTTACATATTCCCACAAGAAGAAATCACAGATGGTGAGGTCTGGGGATCTCGCAGGCCAAGCACAAAGAGCAAGGTCTTGGGCTCCCTTCCAACCAATCCATCGCTGGGGCACTTTTTCATTTAAAAAAGCTCGGACCATCAGGTGCCAATGGGGCAGTGCTCCATCTTGTTGAAAAATGAAGTCATGCAAATCTGCTTGCAGTGAAGTGAAGAGCCAGTTTTGGAGCATATCGAGATAGGTTTGTCCTGTAACGGTGTTTCCTTCAAAGAAAAAGGGACCATAAACCTTGTCTTGAGACACGGTACAGAAGACGTTCAACTTAGGGGAATCTTTTTCATGCTCAACTGTTTCATGTGGGTGCTCTGTTCCCCAGATACGCACATTGTGACGATTGACTGTGCCACTCAAGTGAAAAGTCTAAAAATTAAACGTGAAATGAAGGTTTTGTCTTCCATCATCTCCAGCATCAAATCGCAAAATTCCATCCGCTTCCTTTTGTCTTCATTGGTAAGTGCCTGAACGAGCTGCAGCCTGTATGGTTTCAAATGTAGATGTACTGTTAGCACATGCCAGACAGTGGATTGAGGGATCGCAAGCTCATGGCTACCTCATTTTGTTGACTTCCGCCGCGGGCTCCTCTCAAACGCAGCACGGATTTTTGCCACTTGTTCCTCCGAGACTCGTGGTAGTCCTGGACTTTTTCCTTTACACAGACACCCACTCTCTTGAAACTGTCGAAACAATCTTCGAGTGTTCTTTGGACGGGTCGGAGTAATGTTGAATCGCCTTCGAAAAGCACGCTGCATCGTGACAACCGAATTTGTTTTCGCAAACTCGAGAACGCAGAACGCCTTCTGCTGAGGACTCGCCATTCTGAGGGTAAACGAACAACTGAAAGTTGCCGGAAGAACGACGCGACTTCAGCGCCCCTGTGGCAGCCATTCACAACTTAGATAACTCCTCTTTCAGATGGTCACTGACTCATTCCATGACGATGCTTGAGAACTGAAGCAATGCATTATGAAATCGGTTCATTCTTTTTTAATAACCCTGTATTATACTGTAAAATTATTATTGGAGAAATTCACAATTCTGTTGTTACTTCAAATGTTCATATGCACTGACACCTAATTTTTTCAAATTTGGAAGTCTTAGAGCGTTGTAGAGTATGAAGAATGCCGTCTTCTGGGATGTGGCACTGTGTAGATCTTGCGTGAACCGACTTTTGGGAGGAATGTATCGCCTCCATCTTCAGGGTATAAAAATCTGTGAACTAGGAACCAATGTGAGCAGATGACTGCAGCCACGCAAGATCTACACGGTGCCACATCCAGATAGACCGAGGAACCAATGTGAACAGGTGGCTGCATCCACACAAGATCATTCTTCATAGTCACTGCTGTGAAAACTTCAAATCTTACACATCGTAGAGTAGGTTACTTATTTGTGTGTTTTCTGTTAAGAAATATTTCCAGTGTTACATCATTCAAGACTATAGAATATCATGTCTGGATGGGCATCTGTACCACTGTTGCACTACATCCACTAATGATCTGTTATGTATGCATCCTTTACCAGAGCTGAAAATAGAAGAGAGTAGTAAACTGAAGAATGCCTAATTCCAGAATATTGAAATAACAGGACAGAGAAACAGTTAAAGACTTCAGAGATGATGAACTAGTGAAACTAGAAACTGAACCAGTGAGATTATTGTTGTTGCTGCTGTTATTGATCATCATCATCATTTAATCATACTACGTCTGTGATATTTCCTCCAGGATGTGTCACCATATGACAAAGATTCTTTCATTCTTTTTTTTTCCCATACAGAGTTCTCTTACATCCATATCCACAATCACCCTGCTCTATTTTATATATCTCGGTGATGACCCAGTACAGCATATTCAGTTACGAATTCTGCAAGCTCGGTTTTTGATCTTCTTGATGTGTAACCATCGGAGCCTTTACTATCATGTCATTTTTAATTTTCCAAGTTTGAAAGTTATTTATCTTATGCTTCATATGTGTAGTATGAGAATTAGCTACTCCTGACAAATCTTCTATATCTGTTAACAGCAGCTGCACATGAGATTAGAACAGCAGCTGGAAGACACAAAAGCTGAAGTGACTGAGTTGCGTGAGAAGCTTACCCAACTTTGGGATCGTCTTCATGAAGATTACAATCACAGAAATATTTTCCTTGGTGCTCATCGAGGTTACTCTGCTGATACTTTGAGAGCTGTATGTGTGGCTTTTTGTTCATTAGTAAAAGTAAAACATGTTTATGTAGGAGAAAGTGTTACATATCTGGTAAATACAATGTTGCTGCTGTGTCTAAACCTCTCAATATGAAGGCATGTGGGAGATGTACATTCTCTGCTCTTGACACTAGATGGAGGTATGCAGTTGATTTTTCACTCCAGCAACTTGACTTTAGGGATGCAGATACTGGTGCATACTGGATAGGAATAACACAGAAAAGCAAGCACCATTTACAATTTTTGTAATCTGCTAGACTGATGAAATGCATTACTAGAAAATTAAAAGTGTAACAATGGAGAAATCTGGGCCTTTTAGCTGCTGCCTTCTGATAATTGGAAAGAGGAATACATTGCTATAAAAAATGTTTTAATATTGTTCATACCAGTAATACAAAAATTGTATTCACTGCCTTATAGAAAAAATGTGTTACACTCAGAGTAAGAGAGAAATGGAAAATTCAGTTTCACATAGGTGGTGCCAATGGAAATAAAAGCCCATGGTACAGTGTAATCCTTAGCATTTTTTTATAAATATGTCAATTTTAATGCCCCACATTTGAAAATAATCAAGTTTCATCAGCTTATTTTTGCAGTTTGTGTGACTTAATATTCTAGAGCTGTTGAATGTTTTTATAATTGCAGTTGAAGGATGAATTAAAGAGATGCGAAGAACTCAAATGCCAAAACATAAAACGCTTTGTTGAAGAGATTCGAAGAGAGCTGGAATGTTGGTGGAATAAATGTTCAGTTGGAGAAGAAGAACGACTGCAGTTTCAACCATATTCATCAGACTGTTTCACTGAAGATCTCTTAGAATTGCATGAGCTTGAAGTGCAAAAGTTTCAGTCTTACTATGAACAAAATGTGTATGTTTAAATAATTATTCATCTTCTGGACTCAGCAACTGTTGAGTATATATGACTTTTTATGCAGTTCATGATTCAGAGTGTTTGTACATCCCCTATACCAAATTTGTCACATGTGGCACAGTGTAATTAATGCTCTTCCATGGTTGTCACCACTTGTAGAAGCTATGGAGGTTTATCCTTCTGTATAACCAGTCATGCTTGTACAAAGCCATTTTCACTGCCTGGTATGTGCAGGTCCCACTCAGATCCATTGGGAACCATTGATATCATAACTATAAGTAACCTGCACACTTATTTATTCCTGTTAGTTATTAGCTGTCTCACATGCAGCTTGTTTTTTAAAACCTTCAAAAGTTTTAAACATTAAAATGTCTTCTATGTCAACAGTGTGTGCACACTACATGTGTACTACTAGAAGACAGTCAATACATACGCATCATGGATGCGAATCAGTGCATGTATGGACTGCACCAGTCAATACATATGCATCATGGATGCGAATCAGTGCGTGTATAGACTGCACCACACAGTTCCTTGATGAACGTCAGGTCAAGAACTTCAGTAAACATAATTTGTTTAGAAAAAGTGATCAAAGTTGAATGTAATGTGGCAACTCAGTACAGGTATCCATATCTACAGTCTTCATGCCCAGTTAATTGATTAATGCTGAGTCAGAAAATTTCATACCAATGCATAATTTTCACAAAATACTGTGCTGCCACTATGACATCAGTATGCAGCTGTCAGATTTTCATTTATGCAGTAAGCTTTACTTTTCTTAGTTTGTGAAGTGTGTTGTTTGTTTTCAGTGTAATTTTTGAACTGGTAAACCAACGACAGGAACTCTGGGACAAAATGTTAGAGCTGGAAAATCGAGCAAATGATCCAAGCCGGCTGTTCCATAACCGTGGTGGCCAGCTGCTCCTTGAGGAGAAAGAAAGGAAGAATATCCAGAAGGTAATCCAATAATATGGCCCTCTTCAATAAGTGAAGTTTTAATTCCTAAAATTAGTTTTCAGTGGGACTAATTATTATGAATTATGATTGGTGATGAAAGAAAAAATCAGTGGAGCTGAATCCAGGACACTGAGGTCTACTTAAGTCCGTATCTGTCAGTCCATTTCCCAGTACAAATTCATAAAAAAATTGGAAGTTTTTAGTTTTTCACTTGCAAATGCTTCATTAGAATCTCCCAGACTGTTGAAGCTGAGTTCCCAATTCATATATCTTGTCAACTTCAAGGGGCTACACATATGCTTTTCAGGTGATCTGCTGTCTCTTCAGGAACGGTCAGTTATTCTGAATATTTGGCTTTACATGTACATAAATTGAAGGTTTTTGAAGGTAGGTTTGTTCCGAACAGTTCAGAACTATTGCTGGCTTGCTTGCTTGCATTAAACCACAGAACACATCTATTCTGCTGTGTGTTATTACTCTATATAAGTAGTTGAGTGCACGTAGATCAAACATGCACGTTGTTGTCCACCTAATGTTATGTTCTAAAATTTCATTGGTGTCAGCAGCTTTCATTTTTTAAATATATATTCAGAGGTACAAAGCTGTTTTTAATATACACGTTAAAATACTGTATGTTTGATTTTATTGAGAGACTATGATTCTGATCACTATGAAACAGATTTTTAGATACAAGGCGGTTCAAATATTACCAGGACTGGGTTCCCCCCCCCCTCAATAATTGCCAAACACTTACTTACACATGTCAGTCTTCAACGTACTCCCCTCCGGAGTCAACACATTTTTTCCAACATTCTGGAAGCATCCTGATGCCCTTTACAAAAAAGACTTGTGGTTTGTGGCGTATCCACTCCCAAACAGTCTGGATGATGGCGTCCTCAAACCGCATGCCTTGCAAGTCTGATTTGAGCCTTCTGAACAGCTAGAAATCACTTGGGGCCAAATTGGGGCTGTATGGCGGATGTGTCAGAAGGTTCCATTTCAATTTCCGGAAGGTTTCCAGTGTTGTTTTCGCCATATGGGGGCGTGCATCATCTTGAAGGAAGGCTACCTGTCTTCCGCTTGGATCAGATCTTTCCCTTCACGTCTCTTGCCAGGAGGTCTGAGTAATAAGCTACATTGACTGTTCTGCCTTCTGTCAGAAAGTCTACATAGATAACCCCCTGCCAGTCCCAGAAGAACGTTGCCATCACTTTTCCTGCTAAATGGCTCCTCCGCACTCTTGGGTTTGGGAGAACTGGTATGCCGCAACTTGCGTGATGACTGTTGGGGCTCGGGAATGAAGTAGTGCACCCATGTTTCATCACTGGTCTCTATAGACCCCAAAAATGCATCACCTTCGTCTTCAAACTGCTGTAGGAGACGACTGGCTGCTTGCATGCGCACCATTTTGTTCACGTCCATAAAAGTGTGTGGTAGCCACCGTGCATTCACCTTGCGATAGTGCGGGTGGTATTTCACGATGTCTTCTACACTACCAACACTGATGGACAGCATTGCTCCAAGTTCCTTGATAGTGATGCGCCTGTTCTCATGAATAAGCGCGTCTGCATGATCAGTGTTTGGCTTGGTGACGGATATTCACAGCCGACGATCATGCATTTCATTCTCCACACACTCTATGCCCTCTCTGAAGCACTTACACCACTCAAACACATGGGTCCTTGAGAGACACTCTTCACCATACTGTTCTTGGAGTCTGGTGAATTTCAGCAGACGGGACGTTTTCTCCAATGAGGAATTTGATCACAATGCGTTGTTCCAAACTCCGCAGTACCTTCTGTTTGCTCATCACTCTAGCAACCCCCAGACAGGACTGAACAGGAGGGAGGGTGGAGGTGTGGCTTGACTCTCTCAAGGTCACACAGCTGCTGCGCAGTGCGGCTTGTTTACACACAAGTCAGTCCCGGTCATATTTGAACTACCTTGTACTAAAAAAATAGAAAATATTTTGTATGTGCCTCAAAACTAAACATTTAGTTCTAAAAAGTAGAAAATATTTTTTTTTAAATACACATGATTACTCAAAGTACTCACCAGAAGTTATTAATATCTTCAACAGAAAGTGAAGCACTGTTGCAGAGAACAACAAAAGTCAGCTTTAGGTTGTGTGTCATAAAACTGCATCAGTTACAAGTATGTTGGAAGAGTGATTTGTATTGAAAAAAATGTATATTCCACATCACATGCTACCAGTCTTACATACTTGTAACACATGATGCCACTAATGCTCAAGTCTTTCAAGTCTTCAGATCAATGTTGTCTTCCCCCTGTAGTACACATGAAAACTTGCACATGAATTTAAACCATTTAATCCTGCTGAAACATGATCAGAAATGTTTTACTGCTTCAGCTTCAAAGCTGTATATTTTGTTCACCTTATCTTGAATGTTGTTGATTTCTTTTATTGTTTTTGACAACAGAGTTAGGACTATTCCAATTCTGTTGGACTTATTCCATGTCCTATGGTGATTTTTGACTAACTTTGAATTCATGGAATGTAATGACTATATGTATATATGTCATAGACTATGACAGAAAACTGAAATTTTGCATGAACGTAGATCTCGTTAGTCTTTAGCACCTTCTCTTCATTTGAATCATTGAACATTCCTTACAACATTCTAATACAGGAAGCATCTCTATCAAGGTCACACCACAGAATAATAGAGTTCAAAGTTTTCTGCATAGTAAACTGTGACATCCATCCAGGTTCGCCAGCATATAATTACTGCAAGTGGGAGGAAATGGTCTGCCTGGAGCTTGGTTCTAGCTGGCAATTTCCAAAGACTTTCTTTGCATTAACCACCAACTTGTCTGCAGCTGGTTAGACGCATAAATTTTTCCACAGTCCTTGTTCAAAGCATGCTCTACACGTGTAACATGTATCAGTCTGGGCCATGCCATAGCTTAGGCAGTTAGTTGCTGGCTTCCCACTATGGCGCCCTGGTTTCGATCCTAGGTCAGGTCATGTGGGATTTGTGGTGGACCAAGTGTCACTGGGGCAGGTTTTTCCTGAGTACTTTGGTTTCTCCTGCCATTTTTCATTCCACCAAATGCTCCATAGTCATCTATCATCTGGGTCCAGTACATAGGGCAGTTAGTGGACAATGTACCATGTGGGCTCAGTTTTATCCCACCCAACAAAATAAAAAACGTTAATTTAGGGTAGCTGATTGAAAATCCTGCTGCTTTCCTCATATGTGTTGCAGCATCATTAACTAGTAGTAACACATCAAATTTTACACCATTTGGCCACAGAGTCTGCATAGTTTCATTGAAATGTACTGTAGTCCTGTGATTCACTGCAAACATTTCCTGGCATGACAGAAGAAGTTAATCTGATAATGTTTGATCATTTCTCAGTACTCCAGTAACAGCATTTGCAACCCTCCAACTTGCATTGGTTGTTTCGTCTGTGGACACCCTGAGATTATCTTTCCTGCACAGCACTTAGATTTGGTCAGTGTATCTTCATAACACTAAGGCAGATAGTTTTTTCCTTAAAGGTGACTTGTTTAGAGAAAGGAAGATTCTATTTTTTTTATTGCTAGTGGGGTGGGACTAAGTCCCTTGCACTGCAGCCGTTTCTGGCCTATTGAACCAGTCTCAGATGACAGGTGAGGGTGATTGTGGAGCAATTGGTGGAATGAAGATTGGCAAGGGAAACCTTGTTAAGTCAGAAAGCAACACTATGAGCAGGCTTTGTGATGATCTATAGCGGCCAGTACTTACCACCTGATAGAAATGATTATAATTGTCTTGATTTGCTGATTGGTTAGATAAAACACAACTAGGTGATCCCCATCTGTCAAAGAATGGCTTTTATGCTCTTATTACACTTCAGTTAATGGAACCCTGAGCAGGGGATCACCATGTGTAAAGAAATAATGATACTTACCAGATGACATGTGTTGCTTATCTTGGTGTTCTGGTAAAGGCTACATAAATATAAAATTTCATTTATCAGTTTTTTAAGATGTATATTGTTCAATTTTATTTTTACTGTATATTCCAAAGTATATATTTACATTAGAATGTGGAAATATGTCTTTAGGTGACAGAACTGTCTATATAAACAGTAACTGTAGTGACTTGACAGTTACATTGCAAAAGAACTTTTCTTAATCTAAAAATTCATTCAAAACTGATTACTATTTAGTAACTGCAAATCTAAAGAAAAGATATGGGGTAGTCAATATAAAAATTGAGCAATGTAGAAGATAAACAGGCAGGAATCAATTTTCACTTTTGGAGAGGTAGAGAAAACTAACGAAAAGTTGTTTATACACGTAATCTGCTATTGTTAAGGTAGAAAACTATGATAGTTGTGATAAACTGAACATGTACCTTGTATAGAGGAGATAAGAAGTACTAGCAGAATTCTAGTGGGAAACCTCTTGGAAAGGGATCACTTTATAGACAATTTGTATTTTAGAAAACAGATTGAGGATTGGTAGATGGAATATGTTCATTGGTTGGTTTTGGTGTTTTGTTCAACCAGAGTTAAGTGTAACAATCCATATGTTGTTCTTCATTGTCCTTCCTCTTAACAGGAGTTGCCGAAGGTTGAGAAGGAGCTGATGAAGCACATCACAATATATGAGGAACAGCATAAGAAGCAATTTATGATCCTTGGGGAACCAGTCATAGATATTATAAGCAAACAGTGGGCGTTACATAAAGAAAATAAGGAACAGGAAAAGAAAGCCAAGGTGAGAAAATGAGTCTCACATTGAGATATACTCGTATGTATCAAGTTTTTTATGGGTGACACTGTTTGAAACACCCTCAGTCTATGTTCCCCCCTTATGTCAGAGACAAAGTTTCACACCCATACAGAACCACAGGCAAAATTATCATTTTGTATATTCTAATTGTTATGTTTTTGGACAGCAGATGAGAAGACAAAAGGTTCTGGCATGAATTATAGCAAGCATTACCCACATTCAGTCTCCTTTTAATTTCCTCCTGAATCAGGTTTTAATTTGTTATAGTCGTTTTCAAATGTCTGAACTGTGCCACATTTTCAGAACATCTGTTAGCTTTTTCTTATGTCATGATTTTGCCCTGCATTTTGATGACAAGACAGCAACATATACGTAGTTTCCTTTGTGTTTACTTCTAGACCAAACTCCTTACTAGCTTCAGTTAAAGTTTGTGTATTTTTCCATGGTATCTATATTATCACCCAGTAGATTCACATCAGCAGCATAGACCAACAGCTGATTTGTCCCATTTAATTCAGTCCCACCTGGTCTTCCTGGACCTTCCAAATGGCATATTCTAAAGCAAATTTGAAAAGCAGTGATAATATAGCATCTGGTTTTAGACCATTCTTGAAAGGAAAATTATCATACAGATGTTTAAATATACAGACTTTACTATATGCTTTGTTTAAACACATTTTCATCAGCCTAACTAGTTTCATGGGTACCCCAAACTCTATGTGAGTAGGGTACCCCAAACTCTATGTGAGTATTGTACAATACTTCCCTCCAAACTCAATTATAGAATTTCTTGAAATCGACAAATAGCTGATGTACTGTCTCATAGTACTCCCATTTTTTCTCCAATATCTGACAAATGCAAAAGATGTGATCATTAATTGATCTTACGTCAAAACTCACACTGATGATCCCCAATAATTTCATGTATATATGGACCTGAACTTGAGAAAAGAAAATTGTATAAAATGTTGTATGAAGTTGATAGTAGTAGTATCCCACAATGATTACTACAGTCAGTTTTACCACCCTTCTTGGGAACTGGTACAATATTAGACTCCTTCCACTGATCACGCAGTTCTTCCTTATTCCAAATAGAATTAATTGGCTTATAGATCTCAGACTGTAATATTTCACCTCCTGCTTGAATAATTTGTGCTGGAATTTGATCAGTACCTGGCAGTTTATACATTTCTGACTTTTCAGTGTCAATTTAAACTTCGAAAGGATACTAACGGCTCAACTGTATGTATTTCTATCTGCCTAACACCACTGACTGTGTACGTTCAATATCTGAGAGAAGTTCTTCACCTATTCAAAATGTTGTGGGAATCTGCAAGCAGATCACCATTCTCATCCTTCACTAAGTTACTTCTTGGTTGGTAACCCCTCTTAAAGTCATTTATTCCACTATACAGGTCTCTAATATTCTTGTTCTTACTGTTCATTGCTAGCTCATCAATTTTGTCTTTCAGATATTCCCTCTTTTCTTTTACTGAAACGCCTGCTGGCTTCACGTCTTGTATTGTTCAGATTATTTCCATTTTGTTTCACTTGGATTCTGTGACCACTACAGTTTGGCTTGTTTCCTTTGGCCTGATAATTTTTAACATCCTTCATCAAACAGTGTCCTATGCCTTTTCAGTTCAGAATAACTGATGCACTCTTTGGCAGAGATTTTGATATATTGTCTCTAATAGTGTCCAAAGCTCTATTAATATCCACCTCAGTGTATAAATTTTCCAAAGCTGTGAACCTGTTTGAGATTTCAACACAATACTGCTCTTTATCCTCCACCTCGTTTAATGTCGTGAGATTGAACTTCTTCATATGAACTCTGTGCATTGTTTGTTTGCTCACTGCCAGTCTCCCTAACTTTTGCCACCACAAGATAGTGGTATCACAATGTGCTGCCCTAATTGATCGGACATCAGGTATGTTTGAATGCCATCTCCTGTCTCTTAAAATATGGTCAACTTGGTTGTGCTTCTTTCCATCAGGACATACCCAAGTAAATATATGAACGTTACAATATGGGAACATTGTACTTCTGTCAATAAGATTTTTGGATGTGGCAAAGTTTACTACTCTAACTTTATTATCATTACTAATTTCGTGTAAACTCTCATTCCCAAATTGTAGGTCAGAAAATGTCTTCCTTGCCTACTTTGACATTGAAATCTCCTAACAAAATTTTCATATGATGTTCAGAAAATTTATTGAATACATGTTCTAGTTTTTCAGAGAACCTCTCCTTCATAACATAAATTTTATCTCTTGTTTGGGCATGAACATTCAGAGTGGTGATATCACACCAGCGACCTCTTATTATTATGTATGACATCCTATAACTAACAAACTCTACCTTTGTAACTGCAGATATGATTCCCTTATGTATGAAGAACCCTGTACCTAATTCATGATTCTCATTTCCCTTTCCATAGAAAAACATATATTCACCTGCTGGTTCGGTGCCACCTTTGTCCCATCTGATCTCCTGTACTCCCACTAAATATCGTTTATATTTTGAGATTTCTTCCGCCACTGCCCTGAGCAAAGTTGCCCTATGCATACATACATTCCAAGTACCAAATCTCATAACAGTTCTTTCGCTTAGGTCGTTTATCCAAGGAATCCATCCAGGTCTGAGGCTTCATATGATCTTTCATAACAAGCTTATTTTTTACAATGAGGAGCTGTAAGCCCCACACTCAACCCCAAAGCTGTAGGACCACTCCTTGTCAGCTGCCCGTGGCTTCTTATTCAGTATATTCACAGCTACCCTCCATCTCAGGAGGCCATCTCCTCCATCTGCAACCTGAGGGTGTGCCATGCGATAGTGACAAGGGACCCACATAACATGGAAGATATTAAGTAACTGCAGCTTAAAAACGGGCTTAAAATATTTAACAAAACAGGGGAATAGAATTTGAGAAAATGTAGAGTATTCAGAAACTACAACTCTGTTATTCCTCATCCCCCACGTACGTGGGGCAATCCAAAAGTTACCGAAATTTGAATTTTGCGAGCGAATGGTTATGAGTACATTGAAATACCGCACACATCCTTCTTGAATCAGTGTGGCAAGGGGCATCGAGTTGAGTGATTGGGTTCATTGTTGGTGAACATATTTCCATCGTTGTGTTTCCGTGAGTTTGCGGTTTTGTGATGGCTGACCTGAGAGAGCAGCGTGTCTGTATAAAATTTGTTTCAAACTTGGAAAAACCGCTGCAGAAATGCACCAAATGTTGAAGCAAGCTTTTGGTGAAAACAGTTTAGGCCAGACACAAACTTACAACTGGTATAAGGGTTTAAAAATGGCCGAACATTGACTGATGATGACGATCATTCGGGACAGCCGTCAACGGGCAAAACACCAGAAAATGTCGCGGAAGTTAGGGATCTGATTCTGCAAGATCGTAGACTGACCATCCAAGACCTCTGTAACACCTTGTACATGTCAACGAATTTTGTCAGAGGAACTGAACATGAGGAATGCGGCGAAGTTTGTGCCACGACTGCTGCAAAATGAACAGAAGCAGCATCGCTTGGAAGTCTGCAGGGAACTTCAGCAACAGCTTCAAGAGGATCCAAACTTTCTTTCGAAGGTTGTCACTGGTGACGAAAGTTGGGTTTATGGCTATGACCCTGAAAGCAAGCAGCCTTCGTCACAATGGAAGAGCCCTTCTTCACCTCGGCCAAAAAAAGCTCAACAAGTCAAAAGCAACATTAAGTCCATGGTGATCTGTTTTTTTTATAACGACGGGATTGTTCATAAGGAGTTCATCTCTCCTGGTCAGACAGTCAATAAAGAGTTTGTCACGATGTTCTAAGGCGTTTGAGGGAGGACATGAGGAGAAAACGTCCAGAGAAGTGGCGCACGAACGACTGGGTACTCCACCATGACAACGTACAACCGCATAAGGCTTACATTGTGCAGGAATTTTTGGCTAAAAACAAGATGGCAGTTGTTCCCAACCCACCGTACTCGCCAGACTTAGCTCCATGCAACTTGATTCTCTTCCCCAAGATGAAAATCAAGTTGAAGGGGCGAAGATTTGATACAGTTGAGGAAATTCAAGCGGAAACGCAGACGGTATTAAACACACTAACAAAGAAGGACTTCCAGGATGCATTTGAAAAGTGGCAGAAACGCTGGGATCGGTGTATGCGCTCCCAAGGGGACTACTTTGAAGGTGATGGTGCAGAATAAGATCTAGGTAAGATGTAATAGTTTTTATTAATATATTTCGGGAACTTTTGGATTGCACCATGTATGTTTAAGACTTTGTCTTGTTGTGCAGTTTTTTTTGTGCTAATGTTGAGTGAATTTTTTCTCCTGTAAGCACCATAATAAAAACTCTTGAATCTTGGCTGATTTGGTCATTTTGTATCAATATATACTGTTACTGTTTGTGAACCTGATAGCAGGTCTTGTATCTGGATGTATTAAGAGAAAAAAATGTTAAATTTTGAACAGTGGGAATGGATTGGAATTCCATGTTGAATTTAAAAACAAGTTTAATCTCTGTGTTAAATTCCCAAAAGGTTAGATGGGTGAAACATGTGACGTGCATAAGTAAGAAGAAATATGCATGCAAAGTTTTTGGTTAGAAAACCCCATAGGAGGAGCACTGTTAAAATAGAGGCACAGATGGGGGATAAATCTCTTAGAGAAATCGTATGGGGAGTTGCACAGTTGAAATTTCTCAAGAGAGTCTCCATCAGTGGGCTTCTGTGATGACATCTGATTAAGTGAGTTGCTCAGAAAGGACCCCATGCCATTGAGATGGCTGGATATAACATTTATATATGTAATTTTGCTTGTTTTTGTTTTTAGAAGTTTGCAAGAGACCACGTGCTTAATGTTGAATCCAGACTGGGATCTCAGTTAAGATCTTCTAAGCGTAAGAATGTACCAGTCACTCCTGTTCACAGTGCACATAAATTACAAAAGATGAGTGGAAATGACAGGACTGCTGCCTCAGAGAACAACCCTCATCCTGTGCAACAAACTGTGGTATGTCTCTTCACTCTTGCTTACTTCATTTCTAAGTAGAGTTTTTACTGCTGCTGTTTTCATTGGTATCATTCAGATGTATGATGAGTGACTTTTTAAGGTGAACATTAATATTTGAGAAGACAGTGGCAGGAATTATAGTGTATGGACAGATTCTTTAAATGGGAAGCCTTTTCGTCGTTTGAACATTTCAACTCCATGACTTCTACCAAACATGGAGCAGGCAGTATATAATGAAATGAGAAAGAAACAAAAAGCCGCTGAAAGAATTCGTGGTACTTATGGCCTTCATTTGCTTCAGTCTGTACTGTGAGGCAGACCAGATTCATAATTTACATTAGTACATGTTTTGTTGTGTTAAATTCTTCAGGTAATCCTCAAAGTTCTTTGTTGTCGCCATGTATGAGTTAACAATGGAAATCTGATGTAACCTTTATTTTACTTATAAAAGAAGAAAACATACCTGATAAGAGAAAAGGGAAGTGAGACTTTGAAATTTCAAAGGACAGTGCTTTAGATAGAGTAATGGTTAAGACTATGGTAAACTCTTAAGCAGCCTCCATAGTCTAGGGGTAACATTCCCACCTCATGACTCAAGGTACACGGGTTCAAACCCGGCAGAGGTGGTGGAATTTTTAAGGGCGGAAAAATTCAGGGAACAAGTCCTCTGGGAGGGACTTTAAGCCGTGTGTCCCGTGTCGTAGTTTTACGGCACATAAAAGATCCTCATGTCTCTAGGAGACCTCTGAGCAAATTTAGGCAAAAGTTTCCCACCCAAGTAGTTTCCAATTCCTCCGGTAGATGAGGAAGTATTGGGGACCATTGCCAGAGAGGGCCGACCTCGCTGGCAGAACGGGGCTGATTGTGAGAACCAGTACTGGAAGGGCATGGCGACTAGTAGAATAATTAAAGGGGGATGTACAATAGATCAACAACTGGTCACAGTGCATGGGGAACCCCCCCCCCCAAATAATAATAATAATAATGGTAAACTCTTCCCCTGTAACAAACAAATATTAAATTCACATGCAGCTATTCACTGATAGCTGATGCTCAGATTGGTGAGAAGTCAAATTTGTAGACCTATACTGAATGAATAAGTAATCAATATTAAGGCTTTACTAAAGGAAGTTAAATATATATAAAGTGTGTATGCTTCAGGATCGTATTATAATAGAGGATTACATTAAAAAGTAAAAGTCTTTGGCAGCACTATCAGTTATATCTTAATTTAACACATTGCGGACCGGTTGTTTTTCCTTTAGGGTGTGACAGGAAATGAGCGTGATCATGTTACTGGCTAAGCTAGCAAACATTCCCGAGGTCAACTACGCAGTAGTTATGATGCAACATGGCCACACAGCGAGATATAGTCGATTGCAACATAACGCGTTAGAAAAGGGCCAATTGGCCCGCCCGGTGCGCAACACTATAGAAACGCAGAGGGCCAATTTACCCCTCCGGTCCTGAATGTGTTAATATATAAAATGGTTCTAAATTATTATTGGGGTTTCTGACATTAATTTAGAATGATATATTTGTAAGTGGCTGCAAGAGATAAATGTGGCCAGAATCTGCAGTCACTGGAACCAGCAGAAGTCTCATATGGTGCTAACTATTGTGTAATTGCCAATGGCTTTCCATCCCTGATTTAGTACATATCTGTAGTAATATNGATACGTTCCTCCGAAACATCGGTTAACACCACTTATACACGGTGCCAAATCCCAGAAGACTGCTTTCTTCATGTAAATTGTTCTTTGTAAAATATACAGTGTGATCCTAAATTATTGTCAGAAAACCTGACCATAATTTAGAATCACCATATATATTTATATACATGTAGACCTGTAAATTTAAGCAGGAGAAGCTCTGTTCAATTTTTGTCAGGAATAGAAGACCTTGATAATCTTCAAATTGGTTCAGGAGGCCACTTTTGTTCGTTGAATATAGGAGTTTGCAAATGTACACACAGCATACTTTTTGTTCAGTTATCTTAAAAACTGCAAGACTTACACTAAAAGTACATTGAATATCAAATGCCTTTTATTTTGTTAAAAATATTTTTCACCCTGATAAATATTTAGTGACTAACTGTTAGGATGTGTGCAGAAACAGTACTGAACAACATGCAAGACAGTGTTATGTATGTTCTATCTCTCTGCACAATCAATCAGTGCACATTCAGAGTGGCTCATCTGCCTCCCAAAATGCCATGTGTCTTAAAATATGTACTCAACTGTGAACAGGATTTTTCATATTTTGGTCTGGTTTAACTATAACCAAATTATGAGGGTTTCCTGAAATTGGATTTATTGGACACTTAAAACTTGGAACTACAAGTGTAATGCTCTCGCTAATCTACACGCTCAACAGTTCACTATAGCACACACACTAAGTCTTTCAGTTTGTTTTCACTAGATGTTCCTAGGTTACAGCTCCCAGCAGTGTTCTGTTTTAGTACTCACATCCTTGCTGGCTGGTGACTGACTAACTGGATTGTCTAGTTTGTGCTTGCTATGTAGCCTTGGTACAGGCTGCACAGAAAAACTTAGTGTTACCTATAACACCCAACAAGACTGAAATCACACATAAGCAGTTAATATTCACATAACCATTGAAGGAACACATTCCTTTGCTTCTATATCACAGCAAATAGAAATTTGCTTCCCTGACCACTTTGGATGAGATGAACTCATACAAAGATTAATGAAAGGAAACTTGGTCCATCCCCCCAAGCAGGGGAAGGGAGGAGGCATGTGGCCTTGAGAATCACAACGCGCTAAAATGTTCAGAACATGACAGTATTCACATCCTTATTATTGAAATTGAATTATTTATATATGACTTCTTTTCTTTTCGTTTCTTAACTACAGAAGCAATGCTTCCCTTGCTTCCATGCACAGTACGCCACTGGGCTATAGTGTTGACACTACTGATAAGAGGGTATATCAAGTATGCTGTTGAGATGACCTCAGGTGGTATGATGTCCATACCAACTCTTATGACTGTCAGTTCTGGAATTCAAGTAAAATTAAGCTTAGTATCTGAACAATTTAAGTGGCTGCAGTGTTGGCATTACTGATGGGAGGGATTTACACAATATGGTATTGAGACAGTCTCAGGTGCTTGATGTTGTGGCATGTAGACCTGTTGGTGGGCAACAACCACAAGATAAGCAAATATACAGTGGTTGTTGCTAAGTAACAGCTTCACAAATAAGCTTGTTTCCATGGCAACAGCTGGTTACAGCAACAGAGGAACTGTGTTTTTGCTGAGTTGCTATAAGCATGACAGTTAATGGAGCTAAATAAATTGAGTGGAGTTAGAGAAGAGAGTTGGTTGGGGAGTGGTAGCCAGTCAGTGGAACTGCTGAGGTCCAGTTGTTGTGAGCGGTTGCTGTTAGAAGCTGATAGCTGAGGCCACAGATAGTTCAGGAACCCAGGGGAAGGAGAATGTCCGCCATTGGAAGCCACTTCCAAGCAATGACCGCTAGTGAAGACATGACTGGGCACTAGTGTGTGTGTGGGTTTGTTGTTTTTTTTTTCTTCCCCCCCCCCAGTGAATTGTAAAGTGTAGTCACATGCTGTATCGAAGTCCAGTAAATCTGATGATCAATATAAAACCCTTCTATATTCACTCTGTTAGATGACAGTATATATACCAAGTTTCATGAAGGGTGGTACAGGACTCAAGCAATAAAACGGTTTTGCCTCTGGAGTTTTGGATTATGGATGGGAAAGATTTTTAAGTAAGCCGTTGAGATGAGCTCAAGCGCCATTATACGTGGTGTGTTCAAAAAGTATCGAACCTTTGGTCAGCAGAAATACATTTATTGATTTGGTGGTACAAAACCCTAATCTCCTTCAAAGTAGTCTCCTTGGTAATGCACACGCTTCTCCCAGCGCTTCCGCCATTGTTGGAAGCACTTCTGCAATGCGTCTTTTGAAATGGTGATCAGCCAGGCCGTCGCATTCTGCATGATGTCTTCTCTTGACTCAAATTGGGTTCCTTTCAGCGGCATTTTCAGCTTGGGAAATAGTCAAAAGTCACACGGAGCCATGTCGGGGGAGTAGGGAGCCTGACGAACCACAGGGATGTTGTGTTTGGCGACGAAAGTCTGAATCAGTTGCGCAGAATGGGTGGGTGCGTTATCATGATGGAGCCCCCAAGTTTTTGCTGCCCACAGATCCGGTCGTTTGAACCGCACAGCATCATGAAGGCGACGAAGGACCTCCTGGTAATATTCCTTTGTGATGGTTTGGCCTTGTAGTGCATACTCATAATGCACAACCCCACGGGAGTCGAAGAAAACGGCCAATACGACCTTGACATTACTGTGGACCTGCCGTGCTTTTTTTGGCCTCAGGGATGTCGGATGTTTCCACTGTGACGACTGCATCTTGGTTTCCGGGTCGTACCCATAAACCCACGACTCATCGCCTGTGATCACGGTGTTCAGAAAGTTCGGGTTACTGTTTGGATTGTCCAGCATGTCCTGTGCGATTTCCAGATGGTGTTGCTTCTGCTCCATTGTTAGCAGTTTCAGTATGAATTTCACGGACACTCCTCATGCCCAAATCCTCGGTCAAAATTGAATGTACCGATCCAATGCTTACCCCTATCTTGTTCGCAAGTTCTCGGACTGTGATACAACGGTCCTCCATGACCAAAGTCCGCCCTTGCTCAATGACATTCTCATTTCGGCTTGTTGAGGGTCTGCCTGAACGCAGTTCACTGTCCACTGATGTGCGGCCATCTTTGAAGCGGTTGTACCACTCATTTATCCGTGAGTTGCTCATGGCATCGTCCCCGAAAGCCTGTTGAAACTTGCAAATGGTTTCCACTTGGGTATCGCCAAGCTTTTGGCAAAATTTGATGCAGTGTCGCTGCTCATGTTGTTCCGTCATTTTACACCGTACTGGAATCCGACAAGCGCTCACTACACGTCCTCACTCATAGGCTGACTGCCAGCGACTAACGCTTTCTGCGGGTGGGAAAAAATTCACAACTGCACATGAATGTCCCCTCCACATCTCCACTGAAGGGAGCCCCCCGTGCTTCATTGGTTTAAGTGCGGAAGAAGAAGGTTCAGTACTTTTTGAACACACCACGTATATGTACCAAGTTTTGTAATGATTGGTTCAGACATTCAGAACACATGCACGCAGACAACAAGGTGATCTCATTAGCCTAACTAACCAACCAACCAACTTCATGGAGCTTTTACCCCTACTTGAGAAGCCATCAATTGCATAACAATTTGTGGAACCCAAAGGTTCAATACCATGTTCACAAGAGCCCTCCACTGGTCTTTTTCCTGAGCCAGATCAATCCACTCTATACCATCCCATTCTAAGGTTCATTTTAATATTATCTACCTACCTACCTATATCTTGGTGTTCCTAGTGGTCTCTTTCCTTCTAGCTTTCAAACCACTGTCCTGTATGCATTCCACCTCGCCCCCATTTGAGCTACATGTCCTGCACATCTCATCGTTCTTCACTTCATCATTCTAATTTTACTTACCAAAGAGTACAGGTTGTGGAGCTCCTCGTTACACAGTTTTTTCCAACCTCTCATCACTGCATCTCTCTTTGGTCCAAATATTCTCTCAGCACCCTGTTCTCGAACAATCTCAGTCTGTGTTCCTACCTTAATGTCAGAGACAAAGTTTCACATCCATACAGAACCACATGCAAAATTATAGTTTTGTATATTGTAATTTTTTTGTTTTTAGACAGCAGATGAGAAGACAGAAGTTCTTGACTGAATTGTAGCAAGCATTACCTGAATTCAGTCTCCTCTTAATTTCCTCCTGAATAAAATTTTGATTTGTTACTGTTGTTCCCAAGTATCTGAACTGTGTCACATTTTCAAAACATCTGTTAGTACATACTTTTATATCAAGATTTTGCCTTGCATTTTGGTGATGAGACAACAACATATACTTAGTTTCCTTTGTGTTTACTTCTAGACCAACCTCCTTAATAGCGTCAATTTTTTTTCCTTTCTTTATGGTATCTATGTTATCACCCAGCAGAATCACTTCATCAGCATAGACCAGCAGCTGGTATATCCCATTTAATTTCAGCCCTGCCTGGTTTTCGTGGACCTTCCTATTAGCATCTTCTAAAGCAAAGTTGAAAAGGAGTAGCGATAAAGTGTCTCCTTGATTTAGACCGTTCTGGATAGGGAAATTTTCTGACAAATGTTTACCTATACAGACTTTACTATATGTTCCACTTAAACACATTTTAATTGGCCTAACTATCTCGTTAGCTTACTATTATTTTTTCAAAATAAGGAAATTAGGCCTACTGGACCAACACATGTATGGGCACAATATTGATGCTGTTACTTACTTTATATGGGTCTAAACTTTGGTCTCTCACATGTAGGGAAAGAGACAGACTGAGGATGTCTGAGAATAGAGCAGTCAGGAGAACATTTGGATCTAAGTGGGCATAAGTAACAGGGGTTGGGGAAAATTGTATAATGAGAATCATGATATGTACCCTTGCATAACATTAATAGGATGGTACTATCAAGGTGGATGAGATGGGCAAGATGTGGGTGCATAAATGCATACAAAATTTTGGTAGGGAAATTTGAAGGACACAGTCCACTAGTAAGACCTTTGTGTAGATGAGAAGATAATTTTAAAATAGGCCTTAAATAAATGGGATATCTCAGGAAAGAGATGAGTGGTGGGCTTCCATAAGTGCACAGAATTTCTTGAATAGCTGAGCAGCAGTTCACTTCTCAAGAAGGACTCTGGTCTCATCTGTTTATTTATTTATTGTTTATTTAACATTATCAGTAGCTCAGACTATATAGCACAATTGGTGCGGTGATTAATACGATGGGGTACTCAAAAGAAACCGAAGTAATTTTTTTTGTGGGCAGAGCTTTTGTAGTACCGCGTTTTGCCGCTGTGAGCGCATAGAACTAACTTTCCTGAGTCGATAAGCCGACTACCGTTGCTTCAGAAGGTAAGGACTAGTTTCAGCAGAGTTTATAGTGACAACTGTTTTGTGTGATCGTCGTTTTTCCAATGGCTTATTTTCGTGAACAGTGTGCGGCGGTTAAATTCTACTTTTTGCTCGGGAAAAGTGGAACAGAAACTCTTGAAATGTTAAAAATGGCGTACAAGGACGATGCTATGGGGAAAACTCAAAGTGTTGAGTGGTTTTCCCGTTTCAAAAATGGTGAAATGTCAATTGATGACAAACCTCGTTCTGGTCGTCCTTCCACGGCCCGAACACATGAAAATGTTGAAAAAATTCGTGAAATCATCAAGGAAGATCGACGACGGACCATTGAAGAAATTGTGGAGCTGTCAGGAGTGACTTGGAGCTCAGCAGCCAGATTTGTGGCAGTCGGGTGACTGGTTTTTCCATCATGACAATGCCCCTGCTCACACAGCCCTGTCTGTACGACAGTTCTTGACCAAAAATGGTATGACCCCTGTTCCTCACCCTCCATACTCACCCGACCTTGCCCCATGCGACTTTTTTTTGTTTCCTCGAATGAAAAGAGACATGAAAGTAAAAACGACGGAGGCGCTGTCAAGCATCTCAAAAGATGAATTTAGACAATGTTTTGAAAAATGGAATAAAAAACTAGACAAGTGTATTAGTGTAAGTGGAGAGTACTTTGAAGGGGATTGAAGGTTTGCGCTTAAAATTTGAATAAATAAGTTTAAAAAAAATAAGTTCGGTTCCTTTTGGGTACCCCCTTGTAAATGATGTATTAGGAAGGATGTGGAAGGAAATGGTCATGACCAACTGCAAGGCATTCTTCAGGCTCTTCATTTACTGGCGTTATCAGCCCCTAAATGTTTCTTTCTTACAATGATTTGTTTTAGAATATCTCAGTCACTACATGGTGCGTTCAAGTTCTAAGGTCTCCGATTTTGTTCTCACACAATAATCATACAAAAAAATTGAAACTTCTGTCACTTTTCAACATAATCTCCCTGCAGCCATACACATTTTTCACAACGTCGACGCCATGATTCCATGGCCGCAGCGAATGCTTCTGTAGGAGTCTGTTTTGACCACTGGAAAATTGCTGATGCAATAGTAGCACGACTGGTGAATGTGCAACCACCGAGAGTGTCTTTCATCATTGGGAAAAGCCAAAAATCGCTTGGAGCCAGGTCTGGTGAGTAGGGAGCATGAGAAACCACTTCAAGGTTGTTTTCATGAAGAAACTGCTGCGTCGCGTATGCCCGATGCGCTGGTGCATTGTCTTGGTGAAAGAGCACACGTGCAGCATTTTATGGCCGTTTTTCTTGCAGTGCTGGAAGGAGCTTGTTCTTCAAAACATCTTGGTAGGATGCACCTGTCACCGTAGTGCCCTTTGGAATGAAGTGAGTAAGGATTACGCCATCGCTGTCCCAAAATATGGCCACCATCATTTTTTCAGCAGTGGCGCTTACCCGAAATTTTTTGGTGGCGGTGAGTCTGTGTGCTTCCATTGAGCTGACTGGCACTTCGTTTCAGGATTGAAAAACGGCATCCATGTCTCATCCATTGTCACAATTGATTCATGCATTCATCACGTGTCAACATCGCCTAGCAAAGTGCCATGCGCGCAGCCTTGTGGTCGTCCGCCGGCATTCATGGCACCCACCTGGAGGACACTTTCCGCATTCGCAGGTCTTCATGCAGGATTGTGTGTACAGATCCCACAGAAATGCCACTGTTCTTGTAACGAAAACGTCGCCATTTTAGGTATCAAAAACTCTCCTCACCCTTGCCGCCACCACTAGAGTTCTGTGTGCCGTACAGTGCTGCCATCTGTGTCACACATTCACAAAGAGTGCACGTATTTTAAACTAAACCGCATGTGTGTATCTGGTCCCAGTCCTGAGAAAAAAAAATCGGAGACCTTAGAACCTGAACGCCCCTCGTATATGGTGTTACTTAAAACTGAACATTTTTCAAACACTGTGTTCTTTTGTGTTGATTGTATTTCAGATTCCTAGGAATATATTTGCAGAATTAGGCACAAATTCTGATTCTTCAGCAGCATCAAATTTGACAACATATACAGACTTCCAGGTTTGTGACAAATGATTCCTTTTTGGGAAAGGAATATACATATATATATTTTGCTTAGCACAAAATTTTAATTCCCTTCCTCCCTCCATTTTACATGCTGGTACCCATGTTTCTGTTTTCAGAATAGGCTACTGCAGACTTCTGATGGTGCTGCTGCTTCCACTTCTGGTGCTGTTGCATGTGGTTAGTGTATACTCTCAAACTACTGTTCCTGCTTACTGGTGGTGGAATAGAAATAACAGTTCATCATGCTTGTTTACTATAGTCTTCATGCAATTGTAATGCTAACTCCATATGCAAGTACAGGAGTGTTCAAGGCACACCTTACTCAAGTCCTCTCACTCACTCAAATGGTGCTGTGGCTCTCACATATATGCTGAGACCTGTAACCAGGAAAAGTAGAAACTATCACCAACATTAATTTTTATTTTTCCCTGGACATGTAGCAAAATATAGCTTTCTTTCTTCACATTGTTAACATGTAAGTAATGCTGTCAAGTGGTAATGTGTGTAAACAAACATGGTTTCTTTCAGCTGCAAACTGATTGCAAATGACATAAGGAACTTCTTATTTGCTGATTCTGAGTCTGAGGGTGAATTTATAATTTCTTAACCAACAGATTTAAATCAAGAATTCCCCATTTATTTATGCAGTGAATATACAGGGAATGGACAATAATATGGAAACACCCAACATAAAACACATTACCGTGACTAATATGGTGTAGGACAACCTCTTGCTTGCAGAACTGCTTGCAGTCTCCTTGGAATGGATAAATAGAGGTCCTGTATGATTTGCAAGGGAATCTTGTACCATTCTTCCTGAAAAACATGGTAAGTTCTGTTATCGATGATGGAGGTGGATAGCGTGCACGCAGATTGCTCTCCAAAACAGACCACAAAGGCTCAATAATATTGATATCTGGTTATTGTGGGGGCCATGGCAGACGTGACACTTCGTCTTCATTCTCAGAAAACCAGTCCTGGACGATGTGAGCTGTGTGAACATAGGCATTGTTGGCTTGGTAAATGGCATCACCATTAGGGAACAAAGTTTGCACCATGGGATGGACTTGGTTGCCCAAAATGGTCACATAGTCATTGGCAGTGATGTGACCTTGCAGAGTAATGATGGGTCTGACAGAATACCACGATATGGCTGCCCATACCATGATCGAGCCCCCGCCATGTTTCACTCTTGGCAGCAAACAATCTGGATTGTAAGCTTGGGATGTGTGTTCTCCAGACGTAAACTCGGCCAGAAGTCGGAAACAGTGTGAAGGTGGACTCATCCGACCTAATGACCGTCTTCCATTGCTCCATAGCCCAGGTTTTATGTGTTTGGCACCACACTGTCCTAGTGGCATTTTGATCACTGATGAGTGGCTTTGGAATTGCAGCTCGTCCAGAAATACTCTGCTTGTGGAGTTCCCTTCATATTGTTTTGGTGCTGACAGGGTTTGTGAGCGTGACATTCAGATCAGCAGTCACTTTTGCAGCTGTAGTCTTCTTATTTTTCGTCACAATCCTACCAATGTTCGTCTGTCTCAATCACACAACACACATTTCCGTCCACGCTGGTGTTTATTGGATGCGGTTTTTTCGGTCCTCCTGTATGCAGTCATAATCTTGGATACTGTGCCTCGCGAAACACCAAAGACCTCGGCTACCTTGGTTACGGAAGCACCCACCATATGGGCCCCAACAATTTGCCCGCGTTCGAATTCTGTTAGCTCTGACGTGATGCACAAAAATTGCACAGAACACTGTCTCGACAACAAATGAAGCTTGCAACGTATTGCGGAGGTTGTACAGGTAGTGGTGTTGGGCAGATACAACAGCGTGACCTACAAACGTCGCTAAAATAAACACTTCAATTCAGGCATGCATTTCACGGGGTGTTTCCATATTTTTGTCCATGCCCTGTATTTTGATTTAACAAAAATTGTGCAGCAAAAGAGTTAAGGATTTAAGCTACATGTCTTATGCCTTGCATGTAAGACAACCACTACTGGTTTTAGAGAACTCCATAAGCTTAAAGGTTTGCCTTACACATCAGTATATAGAAAGTATATTGTGACATGTTGCGCAAAGGAGAACCCCCCCCACCAGCAGTGACGCGGCGGGTGAGTCAGCGCTCCCCTCCCCCTCCTCCGCACGGTAACGTAACGGTGACGCAACCGGATTGTTACGGTAGTAACAGCGGTTACTACCGCTTGCGTTGCTAGCAACACAGCGCCAGGCAACAAGGGTGCCTATTACGTGGCCGTATTGTCCGATCGAGGCTACATAAGGAGCAGCGAAGGCTATTCACAGTCAGTTCTACTGTAGCAGTCGACGACGTCAGTTGTACTGTGACAGTCGCCGAGTGCGTTATCAACGACTTCTCAGTTCGCAAGTTACGAGCTACAGCCGCACGTGCGATAACCAGTGATAACCAGTCATATCTGGAGTGTGTAATTCAGGGAGACTTGTATAGCTCCCGCATTATTAGTAAGTGAAGACTCTCGAAGAGAGTGTTAAGAGATTTTGTTCTAGGGTTTGTAAAGTGTGGAAACCTGTAATATTGTGATAATTAATTGTAGCCATTATTTGAAGATTGTTAAATAAACCACTTAACCATCTCTACGGCGTCTTCTGTAACGAAACACGTTACAATATGATATAGAACACAATATGTCACGGTCTACTTCTAATGACAAAGCCCACATTGGATATGACACTGGGCCAATTCATTGCAGTTAAGATCCTCACAACTTAGGATCTTGTTAAAAAGAACATTGACAACACTTTCATGAAAATATTAATTTCAGTAATGCATGTTGTTGCATTAACTCTTTCATGTCATCAATGTGACTGATATTCCTGGGTATTGTTTCTTCTTTGTGCCAAAACTTCAAATTTTTATTTTAAATGACATGTCCCTTCTGTTAGTATATTATTATAAATGTATATGCTCAATAAGTATTGCCTCATGAATGAATTAATGCCCAGTGTTGTAACTTTATACTCTTATTTTTTCACTTAGGTATCATTTTAATTCTTGCAATGTGGTTTTACTCAGGTCTGTCTGGTACAGTTAGGACAGTGTGTCGTATCAGTCTGTGTGTAGTTTCTATATTGTTTAGTAGGTTCACTGCTAGTGCATTAGTGTGGTTTTCTAATTATCTTAAGTATTCGGCATTCCACTTCTTTAATCCACTGAGCGCTGTGTTCATTTATAGATCTTCATGGATTCTGTGGTTTATGTACCATGGTGTGTTCAGAATGGATCAGAGAAAAATTCTGCATTGCACTGAATGGCATTTCTTCTAGGACCATCTGGAAGTGCTAAATCAAGAAGTGACATGCAGGAGCTCTGTAATGCCTGGTCGCTGCCTACGTGAGCGTAACACCCCTACTACAACACTGCCACCAAGGACGAAGAAAACACCACAGCCAAGAAAAACACCAATGAAACCTCCACGGAAAGTTGTTGCAGGTCAGGAGTCTTCATCTAAACTCCCCCGAATGGTACAGCGAACTGCACGGGGCACACCCAACAGTCCTATGTACCAAAGAGGAATAACCACAACACCCCGCTTAACTACTCCTAGAGGAAAACTCCCTATAATTATTTGATTTGCGGGTTTTCCTGCTTGAATGTGGTGTAAATATCTTGTATAAATCTCCATATTATTTCATGTCTGTTAAGTAGCTCATTTTCCTTAATAATAGTGAAACCCATAATAATTTCAGTCTTGGAGACTGAGTAGATATGCCACATTTCAGTTAATATATTGTGTTTTGTGCTATGAAAGATTTCTCTTCAGCACATTTGATTTTGCAAACTCTGTAGTAAGGTGTCCTTGCTAATACATTAATTCATTTGCTTACATTGTTTTTAAAAACTCTTATATAAACATTCTGCAGGTTATTGAAACTTCTGTGGGTGTCTAAATGAATCTATGATGTCAATGTTCTGTTCCATTTTACTAATAAGATATGAAGTTATATAATTTGATTTTTAAAGTGATTTTATAACCTGAATTGTCTATAATAAATTAAAATAAAATATATAGTTTTGTATCTTAAAAAATTACACTTAATTTCAGTTACATGGTAAGATTATATGTTATCAGTTGAAAGTGATTTTAGTTAAATAATATCTACCGCCATCAAAAATGATTACATTTCATGAGCATAATTTTAGGCAATACTTACTGAATGTGAAAGTAAAGCCTTGAGTATTTTACTATTCTTCTCTTTAGCATTAAACTGAAGTTTTCATTAATCTGTCACTGTTGTAAGACATTTAGGGCAGGGGCACAACAAAGAAACTGGCAACTGCAATTTCTGAGAATTGTTATCAGACTGAGTTGAAGATATGGAACTGAATGGAACAGCGCAAATTGAGGAGACAGCAACACAACTTGTGGAAGACTGAGAAACTCAACTCCCAAGCAACCGAGCAAGCCATTCTTCTCACAGTTACACTGCCGCGTAGTTTCTTAGTGTCAGCTGTTCTAATGTTCTTCTGTGATTCAGTTGTTTCTTTTCATAGCATGAAAGGTTGATGTTGCTGCTAATTTTGTTTTTGTGCAGTTAATTGAACAGAAGCTTGGTATATGTGAAAAATGTCATGCAGACTGTGCTAGGCAGGACAAAATAGATTTGGCTTGGGAAAGAATTTCTCATGGAGTCTGGATCCTGGTTAACTTCTTTTGAAACGGTATAAACACCTGAGTTTAAATTGTCGTGGAAGAAAGAATGCACCCAACGTTTTCTTTTCCTAATATTGTATTTAAGCATCCTATTGCATTAATATTATTTATTTCACATATATTTCCATCTTAAATGCAACTTATTATCTAGTCACCCTTCTTCAACATTACATGGTTTGGCTGTATATGGCCATCATCAGGTGTCTTCTATCTTGCTGAAATTGTTGAACTGTATGCCAAAGTTTTGTATCACATGTTAACACGATGTTTCCTGATTAACATAAATTGACTTTAATTAAAACTAATTAAATTAATTAACATCTAAATGTTTTTCATATGATCGTTGCCCTCTCTTCTCACGCCATTTCAACCACCACCATATTATGATAGGATCAGTATTATTATCTGCCATTGCAGAAGATAAGTGCATGAAATTGAAAAGTACAATCACGCATTTAGTCGGATGTACACATCCAGTTAAGATGATGTGAGCAAATAATCAATATAAGTTTCCTCATTGTGCACCTGCTAATCTGGAAACCAATTGCCTGCTTGAAATTGATGATGTTTCTGGGAAATTGCAGTTGCCAGTTTCCTTGGTGTTCCCTTGCCCCTAAACCCAACTCACTTCTGAGGATGGGAATGTAATATTGCACTTTAACTGCAATGATTCTGGGGACATGCGGTAGCATAGTTGGTTGAGGCACTATGCTACAAGCTGGAAGGTCGCTGGTTGAGTCCCAATGAAGTGGATTTTTTTCAATTGACCTAATACTTCCAGCCACACTGTGGCCCTGGGGTCGACTCAGCCTCTAATAGAAATGAGTACCAGGAATCTTCCTGGGGGGTTAAAGGGCAGCCGACACGTAACGCTGACAACCTTACTGCCATCTTTGAGCCAATTGTCTAGATCATATGGAACCCCCAGCGTCTCATGGTCCTTTGCGCCTCCATGGCCCGTTACAGGGATAGCTTTACCTTTTTGCAATAATTTTAATTTTCACAGTTCATTCAGAGAATTACACAAAATCAGAGTATTGGTATTAAACTGTTTTTAAAATTAATTTTTGTAACATAAATGTGTAACAGGAAGAAGCAGTGTTGTATTGACATAATTATCCTATAAATTGAGCATGTGGAAATCTCAGAAACATACTACACAGAGCGTGTTACACATACCACCACCACATGGTATCCTTCATCTCATATTTCTGTCAATCAGCATACTGTCTCTTGTATTTCTCCTTGGATGGTGGAATCTTATAAAATTATTAATTAGTATGGCATTATGTTACATGAAGAATGCTGGCCTAGCAGTTTGAGTCCCATAACAACACTCTTCACGAAGTCCTTCAATCATTGAATTCCGGATTTTGTTATTCCCCTTTATTTTCCATATATCTATACAGGTAAAGAAAACCTAGGATGTGGAAATAGTCCGTTTGTTAATATATGTGTCCAGATACATTTAATGAATTACACGAGTTACATAATTAAAATCACATTAATTAGTCAATAAACATAATTTAAAAAGAACACTACTATAAAACTTAAAATTAATACACTTTAATTTAAATTACCTAAATTAACCGAATTAAATGCATTACAAATTTGCGCGCTTATGACCAATTATATTGATAATATTCATTCATGGACTAAAAAGAATGATGATATAAAAAGCTCTTCAGTTCAGTTTTATAACTTCTCTCATCAGTAGCCAACTTTTTTGTTGTTTGAGGAAGATGATTAAAAACTTTAATACCTGATATGTACGCACCTTAATTGTATTTTGTTAGGTTAACTGCAGGTAAATATAAATTATTGAGGGCTCTAGTTTTGTATTTGTGAATCTCATTATTAAAATTAAATAAATGTTTATTATTAATTGTGTATAAAAGTAATGAATATATGTAGAATGTCGTTATTTCCAAATTCTTAAAAATGTCCCTACAAGACTCTCTTGGTCTAGAATTCGTTATAATTCTAATAACTTTCTTTTGCAATATAAAAACTTTGTTAACACAAGAAGAGCCACCCCAAAACATTATGCCATAACTTAATTAGCAAAATAAATTAGCTTTAATGTATCTAAAGGTATAATATATTTGATATTTCTCAATGCATAACATGCAGTGGATATTATACTAATAACATAATCAATATGCTGTTTCCACGAAAGAGTATCATCAGTAATTAATCCCAGAAATGTAATCTCAGTCACATCTGTTAAATTTATCTGATCATTAGCGTCCATTGTTTATCTTCCGTCAAAATTGCAACACTTCAACACTGCATATTTTGGCCTCAAACGGCCATCTTCAGGCGTTTTTATTTTACAGATATTTTACTAAAACTGTGTTAAACTGCTACATTGTCTTAATTCGTGTTAAAATCATACACTGTAGTCTTCTTAAATAAAACGAGATAGAATCCTTTAAAATTTCTGTTGCATATTATTTCACCTCACCGGGGGTGTCGTCATTTTCGTAAAGGTATCAAGGTGTTTTTCTCGGCAGCTTGCCCCTCACGTTCCTTGTCTACTTTCAGTTTTTGACTGCCACGTGCTCCTGGTTTGTGTAAGCTTCCTCCACAGTGTGTCGTGACTAGTAAAGACAACACCACACACTGTGGAGGAAGCACACACAAACCAGGAGCATATGGCAGTCAAAAACTGAAAGTAGACAAGGAACGTGAGGGGCAAGCTGCCGAGAAAAACACCTTGATACATTTACAAAAATGACGACACCCCGGGTGAGGTGAAATAATATGCAACAGAAATTTTAAAGGATTTTATCTGGTTTTACTTAAGAAGACTACAGCGTGTGATTTTAACACAAATTAAAACAGTGTAGCAGTGTTTAAGACAGTTTTAGTAAAATATCTGTAATATAAAAACACCTGAAGATGGCCGTTTTGAGGCCAAAACATGTAGTGTTGAAGTGTAGAATGTAAAAGAGTTGCAATTTTGATGGAAGGTAAACAATGGATGCTAATTTGAACAATTGCAACAGGATGCTAAAATACAGAATTATCTGATCATTAGGGCCCGGATTTCTATGACATGTCATATTTTTATCCTAGGGTTTATTCCTATTTTTAAATGTAATTATGCATGTTTCCAGTCATTCTTATTGAAATTATGTCGTTTTTATTGTGCATATAAATGCATATTTTAGAGTTTTATTGGTTTTACAGCATATTTTGGCATAATTTTGAAATAAGGTCATATTTTTGTCATTTTAGAAACAATTCTTTGATAATGTTTAGTATTACAAAATAAATTTCAGGCTGGACTGTTGCTTCAATGTGGAATAGAGTTCAAGTACATGAAGTTCGTATTAAAAACCATATTTTTGACTGGACTGTATTTGCAGTTACAAAGGCGAAAATTTGTGAAATGCAGCATTTATGACCTGGCAAGCCGGCCTTTCCCAGTCGAGGCAGGAGGGAGGCAAGTGTAACGGGTATTCTCCTATTGTACTCCGTCTTACTATAAGGTATATACATCCCATTCTTTCTTGGAGGGCTTAGAAGTATTCTATTTATATATGTGGAGGGCGTTATAAGACTTCAGTTTGACTTTACAATGCCTAAAGTGAGTACATGTAGTTCAAGGAGCGCAAAGTTGCGTAGTTTTGTACAGGAGTTTGGTGAAAAAGTGTTTAGTACCGATGGCAAGATATTTTATTGTAAGTTGTGTGGCGTGAAAGTTAAGGCAGAAAAGCGATTTACTGTGCAGCAGCATTGTAAAACTTTTAAACATGGTAAATGTTTAAGCAGATTATCTACAAAGGATAGCAGACAAAGTTTGTTGTTTAAAAACAGTTCCACTAATTCTTCTTCTTCTTCTCCTCCTCCTCCTCCTCCTTCACCTTCTTCAACGAACAATGGGTCGGAATTTTCGAAGGATTTGTGTCAGTGGATGGTATCTTCGAATATTCCATTAGAGAAATTGCATAATCAGCACTTCAGACAATTTTTGGAGACATACACTAGTCATCCTATCCCAAGTGAATCGACATTAAGAAAGAATTATCTCTCTACATGTTATCAAGATATGTTAAATAAGATTCGAACATCTGTTGCTGACTACGAGATATGGGTTTCCTCTGACGAGACTTCTGACGTAGATGGGCGGTATATTGCGAATGTTATAGTTGGGACCCTGAAACAAGATCAACCTGGTGAGAGATTTCTTCTTGACTGTGAAGTTCTCGAAAGAGCAAATCATTTGACTATAGCTGTCCCATTTGATAATTCCATGAAGTTGTTGTGGCCAAATGGAATACAGCAAAATAATGTCCTTCTCCTAGTAACAGATGCCGCTCCATAGATGAAGAAGGCTGCCAAAGGACTTCGAATCTACCCGAAAATGGTCCATATTACTTGCCTCGCTCATGCATTGCATAGAGTGGCTGAAGAAGTTCGAGGACATTTTCCTGATGTAGATAGGCTAGTTTCAAACGGAAAGAAAATATTCATCAAGGCCCCTCTTCGAGTGCAGAAATTTAAACAAGAAGCTCCTCTACTGCCACTTCCTCCACAGCCTGTCGTCACACGGTGGGGTACATGGTTGGATGCTATGGCATATTATAGTGAAAATTACACAGCCATTGAGAAAATGTTTAATGGCTTTGACATCAATTAAAGCTGTCAAGGACTTATTCTCTATCACTCTAGCACAAAATCTGACGTACATAAAGCCAACTTCTGTTCAATTTCAGGTGCAATAACTCGCCTGGAATTTGTAGGGACTGAACTCTGTGACGCATTGGACACTGTAAAGAGCATTGAGAATGAAGTAAACCGAACTCGTGGTGAAATAAATGACAGGATTAAAACCAAAATAGAAAGTGTTCTTCATCGGAATGCTGGTTATTCAACATTATGCAAGATTGTAGATATACTTTTCCANTAAAGCTGTCAAGGACTTATTCTCTATCACTCTAGCACAAAATCTGACGTACATAAAGCCAACTTCTGTTCAATTTCAGGTGCAATAACTCGCCTGGAATTTGTAGGGACTGAACTCTGTGACGCGTTGGACACTGTAAAGAGCATTGAGAATGAACTAAACCGAACTCGTGGTGAAATAAGTGACAGGATTAAAACCAAAATAGAAAGTGTTCTTCATCGGAATGCTGGTTATTCAACATTATGCAAGATTGCAGATATACTTTCCGGTAAACTAGCAACATTCGAAGATGATACAGAACTGTCACCAAACGACTTGACATTCTTCAAATATGCTCCTGTCACATCATGTGATGTGGAACGAAATTTTTCCAAATACAAAACTATCCTTAGTGATAATCGGCTATCTTTCAAATTTGAAAATTTTGGAAATGCATGTAGTTATAAATTGCAATTGTAACAGTGAAAATTGAGACGTGAATAACTCAGTGAAAATTGAGACGTGAATAGCTTGTGTTCTTTTAAATGGTGTTTTTAGATAACAGAGTTAAGTTAGTGTTCATACCATGTGCACCAGTGTTTGTCTAAAATATGAACGCAAATATCAGTATTAAAAAGAAAACAATGAATGGTTTAATCCAGTATGAAATGTCGAAATTCCATCAGTTTTCTTTCCTTCAGAGACATAATAGGGCTAATTTGGTAAGTAGGACCTACTATCATATATTCATTATCTTCATTCTTAAACTCTAGTAAAAGTTGTAATTAAAATTGTGAAATTTTATGTCCCATTTAATATTTAAGGTCATATTTTACACTTTTTAGGTCATATTTGACATAATTTGGGGTCATAAGTGCATGCATATATTTATAGTTTTTAGGTCATAAAAATCCGGGCCCTACTGATCATAATTAATTTGAGTAGTGATATTACAATACTTCATAGGTCGAAACTCTACATATTGAGTCTTATTAATATTCATTGTGAGCAAATTAGCATTACATCATGTATAAGACTGCTGTCATCTGCAAATAATACCATATTATTTTTGTTTATTATTTTAGGTAAATCATTAATATAAAGTAGAAAAAACAAGGGACCAAAAATTGAGCCCCGTTGAACACCGCATTTATTTGTTTCCCATTTGGAAGAGTTGTTACTGTCAATTCTATTACCCAGTACAACTCTTTCATATCTACCTGTTAAATAAGATCCAATAAGTGTTTTGAATTATCCTTCAATTCCATAGAATTCCAATTTATCCAATAATATTTTATGGTTAACACAACGCCTTTTGTAAATCAAAATGACTTAAAATTTTCACAATTCTTAAAGAAACCAAAAGCCAGACAAATCAATACGTAATCTCTCACCCTGTTTATTTTCATTTATTTTCAATTTTTAAATATTCCCATCTATTAAAGAAATTCTTTTGGTTGTGCTGCAAACCGCCCATCCATAGCTAATGTGGCCTCCTCAGTACATGAAAACTTTCATCCTTTGAGGTGTTTCTTGAGGTAAGGAAAGAGGCAGTAGTCTGAAGAGGCCAAATCAGGTGAGTAGGCCAGGGGTTTCAGAACTTCAAAGTGAAGAGCTGCCAATTTCTGGTATGTAATGGCCACCTTGTGAGGAACAGCATTGTCTTGAAGAAATAAGATTCCTTTCAGAAGCTAGCCTTGATCTTCGGCAACCAGTTGCTGCTTCATTTCGTTTGTAAGTGCAACATAGTACTTTGCCATGATGGTTGCACCCCTTTCCAGGTAGTCTACAAGCAAAATTCCATCTTTGTCCCAGAAGACAGACACCAACACCTTGTTTGATGACTTATGTGTCTTGAACTTCTTTGGACGTGTGGAACCACTGTGCCTCCATTCCTTGGATTGTTCTTTGGTCTCTGGATCATATATATGGATCCAAGTTTCATCCATAGTTACAAGTAAAGTAAAAAAGTAAAGGCATCCCTGTAACAGGCCAGTGGAAGCCCATAGTGTTGTGAGATGTTGAGGTTCCCACATTTTCTAGACCATCAGCTCGTAGATGGCGGTATTGTTGTCAGCCCCATGAGCTGGCCACCCTTTACCCCCAAGAATATTCCTGGTACTCATATCTGTTGGAGGCTGAGTTGACCCCAGGGCCATAGTGTGGCTGGAAGGATTAGTTCAATTGAAAAAAAAATCCAATGACCTCACCGGGACTTGAACCCGCGACGTTCCGGCTTGTAGCATAGTGCCTCAACCAACTATGCTACCGCGTGCCCCTCCATACTTACGAGATAGTTAAAAAAAATCACACAGAATCTCGTCGAAAATGGCTTGTGAAGCAAGCACTCGATAACTCTTCTGAACAGCATTGAGACATTTGGGAAGGCATTTGTCTGAGATAGCCTAATATAGCCTACTTTTTTCTCGGGATATCGCTAGGGTCTCTGCTATCTTTTTAGCGGATATTCTTCGATCATCCAAGATCGTGGAATGAATGACACCCACGTTTTCTGCAATTATCACTTGAGTTGGTCTCCCAGAACGTTCATCTTCAGTGCTCAAATATCCTGTTCTAAACCTAGCAACCCAGTTCTTTACTGTGGAGTACGATGAGCACATCGCCAAATGTAACCGACATACCATCGTCATTTTTTTTGGCAGAGTTCCGTTTTAGGAAAAGATATTTCATCACCATTCGCCACTCTTTTGCTGTGAAATCACTGTTGTTTTGTGCCATTATCCCTTCATATCGGCAGCAAACACTAAATAATCGGGCTACAATTAGGTCAGACATATATAAAACTGTAAACTTCGATGTGATATAGAAACTCCGTGATTTTAGTCCGCAGGCGAACTATACCGACCGAGCGACCGCCGCTTGACGGCGAAGTTTAGTACCAACTTTTGCGAACAGAGGGTGTCGCGGGGTCAGCTCAATGAATCCCCCATGGCCGTTAATTTGGGTTTTCTAGACCGGATCCGCTATTTCCTTGAAATAGCTCCTCAATTATCATCACGAGGCTGAGTGGACCCCGTTCCAGACCCACTACTACTCAGAAAAGAATCTGGTAGCGCCGGGAATCGAACCTCTATATAACCAACAATGCTAACCACTAGACTACAGAGGCGAAATTATGTGATAAAGCTAAGTGAAATAGGAAAAGTCAAAGACTTATCAGCACCCCTACGTACAACTGCCATCCCATCCAGATATGTCTATGGTGAAACTGAACCCTTAGACACCGCATTTCCAGCAACAATCCATTACCTACTGGGGAAACAATGTAAGAATTACCACGTAGTTATGTACTTAATCAAGTCAAGGCCGCACCATAGCTCAAGCGGTTAGTCGCTGGCTTCCCACCGCGGTGGCCCGGGTTCGATCCCGGGTCTGGTCAAGTGGGATTTGTGGTGGATCTGGGGCTGAGTACAAGAGACTTACTCCCACCCCACTAGCAATAAAAAAAAATACATCAAGGCAACACAAGAGGATTTTCACGTGTGGACCAAACGCGCTTTGACTATGCATCAACTCTTGTGAACGCTCTTCAGCATGTTTATACCGGTGTGTAATTTGAAGATTTCTACCGTTGAAATTGTTTCAAATGTCCTCCAAGTAACTCCACAACCGGAAGTTTATATGGTTTAGATCGCTTCCTCTCGCGTGAACCTAACAGCAATTAGGCATACATCGATACTAACGTGGTTTGTCCGTTATACTAATCCCTGCACATAACACGTGCGTGGATGTAGATATAGCATGATACGGAATACATATTGTAACGTATTATGTGTCGTCCGTAGCTGAGCAACGAAAACAATGGTAATTGCTGAGTTCCCAGAGCGACAAATCGAATACCAACAGACCGTTGCTCAGGAAGAACCGTGGCAACGATTTATTGAAACAGCGGAAATAATGCATTTCCACGGTAAAGGGCACAGAACACGTGAAATCAAATCCTGGTAAAACCGCCAGTCGTAAAGTAAGACTGCTCTGGCTAAGTGAGTGTGGCCAGTAAACTTATTCGCTAAGATGATTCAGTCAGTGTGGAAATTCTTGTGTTACTGGTATTTTCGTTATCTAATGGTAACTGAACTCTACATGGTAGAAAGATGGGAGCGTGCGGTTATCAGTATCCTTTAAATATGCTGTTCGACGAGTCAGTTTTAAAGTGAGACGTCCAGTTACGCGGCTTGTTGTGTAATTTAATTTTAAGAAACCTCTGCTTTCTTCTGTCAGGGAATAGTAAAGTTACCATAGTGGGTTTATCTCTTGTTGAGTGGCACTTCTGAATTTAATTTTAAACTTTATTTTGTACACAGTACATCTTATGAATTACAATCGTTTACTGTAAAGTAGTATTTAACAATTTGTGTCCATTCACAATGGGGAATGAACACTAGAATAAGTAAATATTGCTTATGTAATGCATGTTATCCATTTTGTTTTGTAGGTTAATGCAGTTACATTTGCATTGTTGCTCCATGAGGAGCCATGAAAAGTGGTTGAGTAAATATGTTTTCCACATAACTGTCTTTTACAGCGATATTTTTAAGTTCGAATAGGAAGGGCCCCTTCTGAATTACAAGAGAGGTGTTGTGTTGAAAGATGCCAGCATCACTGCCAAATGTAAGCCATAATTCTGTCTTTTTCATCTTCTCTTTTGGCCTGAGGCCCCCTGATGTGGTTGTATCATCATTAGAACTTGAGGGATGATTCATTTTAGTGCCACCAACTTCATTTAAATGGTTTTCAATGAAATGAAAATTGTGGGAAGATCATTTGGCCTGCACTAGTTCTTTGGATAGGTTTGTCGTGGTAAGTGAAGACCTGTTCTTTTATGCCATCTGTGTTTGAACAGGGTAATGTGGCCAATATGGGGAAGACAAACATAATTACACTATAAGAATCTGAGATGTTGTCAGAGCACAATAATGGAGAATATGAAAAACCCAGGAAAAGTTATAACTGTGCAACATTTTTTAAAAACTTGAAATCATGTACAATTTTCTGTCCTAACCCCTTGATTGCCAGGCCTCACCATAGATTCTGGGGCAGCTTGGTCACAAATTAAATTGCAGAAAGGAGCCACATTATTTCCTCAGATTACCTTCAAAGGACCCTAAGTATATGTAGCTTGAAAGCCTATTTTTTCCTTTAAATTTTGCTGTAGTACACTTGATTTCATCTTTAACAGAAATGCTGTAGTAAGCAATTAACACTGTGCCAGTCTCTGCAGCTATGGCAGTTCTAATGCAAGTATATAGATTTGAGGGATGTGAAGGCTTAATTTGCAGTTTTTCCAAATAATGATGTTAGCCGTGCCTGCCACAGCGTTCTGTTTGGACACAGCATACACTGTCAGTATATTAGTAACTGTGTACCAAGAACTGCATGAACATATTAATCTCAGGTAAGACCTCATGTGATGTAATAGTAAATTTGATATTTTTTACAACTTTGAATTCACATGTATATCTTTCCTTAACACATACTCATATGTTGCATTTGTACTTGTGTTCCTTATGCTGTCGTATTTAAATTATGCTGTCCTTCTGTATGTGACATCATCAGTAGTTAGATATACATCAATATAGCAAATGCCAAGCTTGTTGCCACAGAACCGTTACAATCATAATACAAGTACTACATACCAGCGGAAGTGGACCAGAAGATCAAGATTATTTCAAATTGCAACCTTTTATTGATCAATATAAGTGAATTGTCTTTGTATGGTAGCATATCATAAATTCTGAGAATACATTACATTCCTTATTTTATTGTGAATAAAAACATGAATTGAAACTTTCTGTTACATTTTATGATAATTTAAAGTTGTTTCCAGATCATTCATTAGTTTGGAATTGTATGAGCCAGTGAAGACTGTACCTGACATGTTATATATATATACATATCTTCCCACATAAATGTATTACATACAGGTATCCTATGTTATATAAACCTCACTTTATACATATTAATTAAATAGATCAGTGTTGTGATAGTGGAGTTATTATGATGATGTGATGCACTAATAACTCAAAAGACATGTGAGCTGTTTCTGCTTACCATTAATAATAGGCATGCTCAGTTTCTCTGCAGTTGTAGGCCATGCAGCATCTCAAGTGACATTTCATTTTATCTGCTTAATTTTGTGAAGTCTATAAGTTAAATTGATTGTGGGCAAACATTGGAGCAGTGATAAAAGAGTGCTGTTGGCAGCAAGAGGCAAAAAAAGTCTTTTACCCTTTAGGAGAAATTAGATGTGATTAAGAGGGATGAATGTAATAAATGCCATTGGAATTTTCAAATCGACCGTAAGAACCATTAGGAAGCAAGCTGATAAAATTAGGAATGTTGTAAACAGAGGTGTAATGAGGAACATGGTTAGTAAGATGACACAAATTAGGGTGCCAATAATAGAGAAATTGTAAAGGTATGCCGGCCTAATGGATGGATCATGAATACCAACATGCCATTCTACTTTCCATAATGATCATTTGGGTTAAGGCAAAGCGCTTGTTTGATGAGCCAAATGTTATTGACCCAGATCCAAAACTTCCTATGTTTGCTGCCTGTACTCGGTCATTTTAACATTTTAAAGGATGACATGGATCCTACAACCTTATGTTAACAAGTAATTCTGCTGAGGAATTTCCATCTCGCCAAGTGACAATTGAAGAGCACGCATATATGCTCTATTAAGGGTTTTTTTTTCTTTCCCCTCTCTGGATGAGACCAGATTGTTCTGGAAGTGGATGCAGAATAGAGTGTGCACAAGAAGGCATATCAGGCTGCAGGGTTGCCAAGGATTTCTGCCACGGCTGTTAGGTGGAAACACATCTAGAGATATAAAGCCAAACCTCTGCTGGCATACCACTCAGAAAATGCTTGAGCATTCAAGAGTTATTCTGAGGCAGTTCTGCCTGTTGTTTGGAGGTCCAATAAGGTGTGGGTAACAATAACCTGGTTTGAATTCTGGTTCAAACAACATATAAAGTAGCTCCTTTATAGTGTTGGGCATTCTTTCTGATGGTGCCCAGTAATGGTCAAAACATTTACTTATTCCTGTTAAATTAGTTACACCTGATGGACTTATATTTGTTTATGTATAAAAACTTCTCACTGTTGTAGCAACATATTTGACTTCACCATTTAGGTGTTCTTCACCACTGGTGGTGTCAACATGGTTGCTTTACTTAGTACATACACGTACTTTTTTTTTCCCCCTTGGCACTACAGCCCCAGTGGGCCTAGGCCTACCTCCATGAACTTCTCTGTTCACTTCGGTTTTTCTAGATCTTACACATACGGTAGGACTCCTTGGGCGAGTGATCAGCTCGTCACAAGGCCTCTACCTCTAGACAAACACAGAAAAATGCTCACAGACATCCATGCCCTGAGTGGGATTCGAACCCACGATCTCTGCTTCCGAGCGAGCGAAGACAGTGCATGCCTTAGACCGCTCGGCTACCATGACCGGCACATACACATACATACAGTGTTAAATTTTTGTGGACTGAAGGTACAAGGGTGCGGAAATTCAACAGAGAGTATCAGCGCAGTACAGACACAGTATTCTGCCACAGCAGACAATGTACAAATGGAATGACATGTTCAAAAATAATCAGACAAGTGTCACTGATGAACACCCAGGGTTCCCGTCCACATTGATTATTAAAAGTACCATTGAACAAGTCCACATGCTAATTTTCAACAAGAGGAGGATAACTATCGATGAAGTGGCAAACCAACTGCACATTGAAGAAAACAATCTTGGTCTGCTTTTACCGGTTCTCACAGTCTCTTCGCTTGTGGATTTCTTATATTTTTCCTTCTACCCTGAAGATGGAGACTATACGTTCCTCCAAAACGTCAGCTAACACCACATATACATGGTGTCAAATCCCAGAAGACTGTTTTCTTCATAGTCACCGCCGGGAAAGCCTCAAATCTTACAACTGCACATTAGTTACAGTCATAAGGAATCATCCTCAGTAGACTTCAGTTTCGTAGTTTGTGTGGGTTCCAAAACAGTTCACAAAATGGCACATTTGTAGTTGTTTGGACATCTGTAATCACTTGGGACCAGTATTCTTGAAGAGGGCAGCATATTTTTAAATCATATTGTTGCTGGTGATGAATTGTAGATTCAACACTATGAGCCAGGGAGCAAATGTCAGGAGTATGGAATGGAAACACCAGACATTCTGTGCGAACATATGTTCAAATCTCAGCCAGCAGTGAGGAATGTTATGCTCACACTGTTCTTGGATATGAAGTAACTGCTCCTTGAGCATTATCAAGAAAGGTCCAACAATAAACAGTACACGTTACAGTGAGAATGCATGACGAGCTGAAGCCAGTGATCTGGAGTAAAGGCATGTTCCTTGATAGAGCTCATCTCTGTGCTGCTACTCACATTATTGAAACACTAGACTGAAATTGGAATAGACACCATACAGCTCTGATCTTGCTCCACTGAATTTCAGTCAACTTTAAAAGGCCATCGTTTTTCCAGCAACCACATGTTGAAGGTGGTGGTGCATATATTCCTTTACTACGTGTGCACACGTAGTAAAGATAAGCAGCGGCCGCACACAGGGAGCTTACACGGAATAACAGTGCTGGAAACAAGAAGTAGCCACTGCAGCACTACAGACATAGGGCAAGTAACCCTGAGAATTTTAATTTTTAAAAGAATTTTAAATTAGAACAAGATTTTAAAAGTGCCAGTTCATAATATCAAAATTGACGAGCGTAGGCAACAAAGATAATGCACAAAGCAGACAGTTATCAGCGAAGTAGATTCTAATAAATCGAAACCTGTTAGTAACGACGAAAAGAACAATTGGGAAGACTTATGGTTTTAAATTTTAAACTAGATGCAGTGTAACAGCTACATAAGTGCATACACCTGATGATGGCCGTTTGCGGCCGAAACATTTAGTGTAGAAGAAGGCAAGACAAAAGAACTACAATAAATTGTTGCACTTGGGACAGTGTTTATGTCATATATTGTATAGAGTGCAACAGGATGCTTAAATATAATATTGTTTTAAGTAACCCAAAGAACAGGAATATCAGCAAATGGGATTATTTATAGCTATGTTATATAGATTAAAGTTTATTTGTAATGATTGGGAGCTCATTTAACCTTTTGCCACCATAGATGTGGGAAAACAGTGTAATTACCGCTTGTTGCACATATCATACCTGTAATAAAATATAAAGTACAAATGGTGTTTAAATTACTGAAACTGGATAGAAGACATCAAGATACAGTGCATTTAAATATCAGGACAAAGCGTTCATCAAGGTGACCCTAGGTCTCAAATGGGATGTAATGATCAAGATTGAAATGTCATATTTTAAAGGTTTGTTTAGACAAGTGACATTTTTAGGACAATATATGGCAGCAGGACAGTTTGAAAATATTTTTGGCAGTTATTGACCAACACTGTAGAACAGACTACAGATAACTGTTGTATGTTGTGCAAACTGGACAGTGTTTCTTGCATCTCTTCTGAGATATGAAATAGTTGCAGATATTTGATGCATGTCTGGGGAAAGAGAAAACAAATAGCAATTTCCGGATTAGTGTGTGGTGACAATAATTGAGCCATCTAACATCTTCAGTTATATTTATGTGTAAGTGGCTTTTAATAAGCAGATAATTTCAGTAATATTGTTTACATACACCTAGAACTAAAGGAGTAGCACAGTTCTAGTATCAGGACAGAAATGTTAAGGATACTTGGCATACGTTTTCCAGCATAGTGTGTTCAGGTTATAGTCTTCTGCAGTGTGAGACACTTTGTAGTATTGTAGGTGGATGCCAACATGATCCTGAAGAGGGATTGAGAAGTAGCTCTGGTCAGTCCAAAAAGTTGGGAACGAATATCAAAATTGGGGGAGGGGGCATCATTAGAAGAAAAGTTAAGTGAAGCTTTGAAAACTAAAAGCACATGGTTCACAGATAACATGAAATTCTTACTACAAAATGTACCTGACAGGAAAATGCTCCAGATCAGTATAAGAGGTGAATTATTTTATTTTGTTTTGAGTTTACATTAGTAAATATTGCCCAAAATACACAGTATATGCACATGTCAGTATTACATAATGTGACTTCATCTATTTGGATGACACTGTTCACTTAAGTTGCATCAGTAACTAGACTTCTAATAAATAATTCTGAAATAATTGCTTGCACTGTTGCATGGGAGATCTGATCTTCACATGTAAACCCTCAATGGCACCTAAACAATGAGGAAAATTCCATCTATCACTAGGATATCTTGCTATTTTCAGCCATTCACTTTCACAAGTATGCTGCAGAACAGTAACATGTATAAGCCTACTATATATTAGTAACATTTATTATGTTTATTGCAGAAATATGACACAAAAGTGGGTGTTTCTGGCAACATGGCAGAGAACAATGACACAAACTCGAGTGCAGAATTTTTACAATCAGTTACACTGGATGAAAAGTCAGCTACTCAGAAAAACAGGTTTGAAGAAGAAAATGAAGACATCAGCAACTGGAGGAGGGATAATTTTTCACACTTTGGTGATCACGTTCCCTGTAAACTAAGCAGAGTTAAAAAATATCACAGATTTGTCTGGCCACCTATACCCCTTCTCTTCCTCAAGCATTCTCTCACTTGATTCATCAACATACTCATTACCTATACCAATGTTTTTTCTTCCACCTTCGAATTCATAACTTCATTCTAATCCTGCACATTCTCATAGCCCACAAACACAATCATACTCCAGAAATAACAGAGTTGTTGTAAATATTCAAATCAGAATGTGTCACAATAAATAAGCCTTACTAATTGATAACTTGGTAGACACGGGAATTGCTTTCATTATGTTGGTAACCATTCTCTGAATCTTGGGTCAAATTTTATTTAGTCACTGTGTGACATATTCATGAAATTCTGAATTCACTGCATAAAGCCATTATGTGGCTGGAAGGATTAGGTCAATTGAAAAATCCAATGGCATTGGGAATTAAACCTGTGACCTTCCGGTCTGTAGCAGTGCCCCAAACTAATTGTAGGGAAACCTATACTTTAGATCCAGACTGATTTAATTATCAGCTCTTGAAAACACTAAATCTGACAATGACTTTACCACATACAATTTTAATGCTCTTTCACCACTAGTGCATGTGATCCAGAAGAAGCAGATACTGGCACCCCAGACAACTACAAATAAATGCTAATTTCTTTTGATAATCCATATACATCTTACCTGTATGTATGCATGCACCATATGCTTCAAGAAATGGCAAGTTAATATTTTTATTGGTACCATAAAGTTTTAACAAATGATTTTTTGTAATTTGACCTTCATGGCATGTTTAAGTCAAGCTGTGTATGAAAATACAAAAGGGTTAAGAGACTAGACCATGCCAACCTAGAAGAAACTACAGACTTGTGATGGAAACTACACAAATGTGCAATGATAATGATACAATGAAGTCTTGTCTATATCAATCCCTGACAGAAGTAGAACCATGTACATGTTGGAAATTCATTTCATATTGATACAAGTCATCACCCAAGAAGACTTCATTGCATTTGGTATTATATTAAACTGCATATGACTTTTTTTACTTATCCTGAAATGTATGAAGCTTATTTGCAGATGTTACTAAATGCTTCTAGCTCTTGATACCATATGGCACGTTAGGTCGAATATCATTCATATCACAGTGGTTATACCATAAGTCTTACATAGATCATAATTATCTCATGCTTGTTCTCTTTTTACCTTTATATCAAGAGACTTGTGAAAGTATTTGCTTTTACCTAATACCTGTGTCCACCCGTACTGACATTAATGTGGCAAAGATAATGAAAAGTGTTGTTTCTTAAAGGCTGAAACATCAGCTCTGACAAAGAGCAACAAAAGATAATGCAGGTATGACAGTAAGACCAATCACTCAATATTGTCTACTTCTGTCATTCTTAACATTTATTCAAAGAAGGAAATTATCTGAGAGCCTGCTGCAAACCATTTTGCCTGTCCAGTGGGAGGGATGCATGTTCCTAGCATCAACTTCACCGTGCACATTTTGACTCAACGCATAAATGAGAGGCCAATATCCTCTACACGTAAGATTTCTTTTCAGTATCACCACATTAAATACTGAACAGCTACTTTAAAGAAACCTTATGTGTCACATGCTCATCGACTGTAACTGCTACTCCCTGCTATGTATTAAACGTTCAATCTTCAGTTTACTTTATGTTGAAATCCCTTGTGAGTTACACATTGAAATGGCTGTCCAGATATATAATACCCATGTGAGAAATAAGATGATTCTGGCATACAGTTCTGCTGGGGTTTAAAGTCTGCTCTGCAAAATGATGTGAATGTGAACATTTTACAGGGAAGCCAAGAAAGTGAAAGTGAAAACAGCACAGCAGCCATGAGCAAACCTTGGAAGATATAAAGAACCTCCGCATAAAGATAGACAGGTGGCACAATATCTGCCCCATACAAGAGGGACGATGGGAGGAACACGAGCCTGCATGGTTTATGAATTTTAATTATTGACAATGCAAATTTTAATTAGCATCAAGAAATTTTAAATAATTTTTTAAAAACTTTACATTCCCAGGAAACTGCTGTGTTTGTGAAATGTTCTATTTTGTGTACTATGCATTGTAGCATATAAGTGTACGTACTTTACGTCTAAACAACTTATGTGATGGTGGTTTCCTATTTGTAGTGATGTTTGCCCTCTGAAGATGGTCCACAGAGACCGAAACATAAGGGTGTTGAGTTTTCATGTAGTAATAAACTTACAGGTCACATTGGACGGAGTGATTTATATTTGTAAGCCAAGAATGTTTGCAAAACAACACGGAGCATTTCTCATATATGCTGTGATCTGGGTAAAAAGGTAAAGTTGGCTCTGTGCTTAACTCATTAAGCACTATGCCATGAAGGCATATGGGGGAGTGGATGTACAGATTCACATTTTCTTGACCTCTGCATTAGCTGTAGGTGAGTGGTCAGCATTATGCCCCAGCCACTTTACCTCCAGGGAAGGGCCCCTAGTACCCATTGGATAGGAGGTTGGGTGGACCGCAGAGACAGTCTGAACAGTGTGGAGAAGATTCTTGGATGCTATCGGGACTCAAAATCCGATTCCTCAGTCATCCAGACTGTAGCCAGTCGCTATGCCAACTACACTATCCTGACTCCTGTGATCTGGGTTCGTTTTTCTTTCTTAAATAGTTGGTCTGTGTGCTTGCCAATTGTGCTGTCAGTCTCAATGTGTGGTAAAGATGATGTAAGGAGTGTATGTCCCTCCTGTCACATGGACCAAACAATTTGCAGCAGACACTCAGATAACCTCCCTGCTCTTTATCTTGTTTGTAGATTTGCAAATGCAGATTTAACTATTCACTTAGTTTGAACAGTAGACCTCTCGGCTAACAACCAAACCTGTAACTTCCTCAATATTAAGAAGTGTTATAAGGTGGTATGGACTGGATTAATCTGGCTCAGGATATGGACCAGTGGAGGGCTCTTGTGAACACAGTAATGAACATTTGGATTCCATAAAATGTTGGGAAAGTCTTGAGCAGCTGAGTGACTGGCAGTTCTTCAGGAATTATTGAACTCCATGGAGTCAGTTTAGTTGATGTTAACCATTTAATTGCAAGATTCAGTAGTACATGAAATTTTTATTCTGGAAGCTTATACTGGTAATTTTATTCATACTAATACAATATACACCCTCACTGATGTTCTATAAACAGCTAGAATTTGTTGTCAGTGATTTTTTTCAGTGAGTAAAAAGGCATTTTAATGGGGATGGTCATTAGATAGTCATGCTGTTGCTTTAAACCCAGTGCTTGGGCAATTGTTTACAGATGCACTGCCCATTAGCAGATGGTTTAAAATGTGCTACACAAAAGATATTACTATCACTTACACAGTAGCATTTTCCAGTTCAGAACAGATTTATGACAGTGTACAATGCACCAGTCTTTCAGATCTGCAGACTGAAATGACTTGCCTACCATCTGAGGTACAAATAATTCCACAATATACATAGGGATTCCAAAGTATAACAAGATTACCACAAGAACTGCCCTAAACTTTACAGAGAGGTACCTTCTGCAATATTAACAGACCCAATTCAGATTCCTCATATGGTAAATACAGTTTGTAAAATCAAATGGAATTACAGGGTGGAACTAAAGCCCCCCTCTTTACGTAGCTGCTTTTTTTTTNTTTTTTTTTTTTTTTAATTAGCCAAGTATAGCATTTTTCACTGGAAACTGTGGCTGAGGCATGCACCAGTCACGTATACTATGGCTTGGAAGGAAGCAGAGGAGAGGGGGAAAGCATGGAAACATAGAATATACAATTGTGCACAATGTAGCATTGTGGAACGTTTATTTTCAGTTAATGTTTTGTTAAATGTATTTGCAAAGAGTAAAACTCGGCTCAGACGCCAATTCTCATGAAAAATACTATACCTAATTTCTTTCTCATTCTTGTGTAAAAATGGTGACATTACTTGTTACCAAGTTGAGTATTTGGTGGGGAACTGTCTGCAATCTTACAACTTCATTGTCCATTAGGCATATGAATACTGTCCCACAACTCAAGCAAAGGATTAGTTTGCCATTAATTTTTGAGAATGCATACAGGAACAGTTATTGTGAGCTGCACCACCTTCTCTCTTAGTACCAAAATGTGAAACTGTGGTCATCAATGTTTCCCATAACAGCCAATACATACCACCATCACTAAAGGCACAATATCAAATGAAGTATCAGGCAAAGGGGTAAGGGAACCATCTGTCCCCCCCCCCAAGAAAGCCCTAAATTTAAAAAATAAAAACTGAGGTGAAAAATATAAAAAAGTATGTATACCAAATATTAATATGAAAGGATCTTGAACAGTCTCTGGTCCCATCCATGTTAATATACAGACCTATAACTCTAGGCGATATGTAAGAATATTCATAAATGGCATAAACAGATAAAAACACTATGACAGTTGTCACAGAAAATACATTAGTATAGACAGTGTCAAATAACTTCGAACAATGCCCATCATTCCTAGTCAAATCCCGCACATAGCTTGTGGTGGGAGGAGTTTCTTAACACTCGTTCTTCCACTGGCTGCTTGTCACTTCTCACACCCTCCACCCCCTTGTCTGAATTTTTCTTCTGCGCATTCAAGGTTACTCTTGGCCTTGTTCAAAGTTAGGTGACATTTGCTATAGCATACTTGAAGATTGCGTGGAAATGCAGTAACCTTTTACCTCTACTGCTGCAAATTCAATAAAAATTGCATGCTTTTCTATTGCCTTTGGACACAGGCACTGTAGAGGCTGAAGAAAAGAACCATGAAAATGGAGGCAGCAGGTTTCTCTGCAATGTTGGAGTACAAGTGGATTTTGAACCCTTGCCACAGAATATATGAGCTTGTTTTGTTTAGGTTTAGCATACCAGTAGCAGTACTGTGAAAAACTGGCACAGAATGTGGTTTGTTCCTCCTTCCTGAGAACAATTTCAGAGCATTACAGTCAACTATTTTATATGCCCCCCCCAATCAAAGCTTGCAGGCAACAAGGGAAGATATGTTTCTCAATAAGCATCTACTTCACAGTCCTACTATATACAAAAACAGAGGCAGAATATGAAACTCATCACTATTTACAAACAAAGAAACTCTGAATATAAAATAAAACATTTATTTTCATGCTATTTAGTCTCAGAAACAGTGACCTAAGTTTATTCAAGCTCTTAACTTTCCAACATAAGGCAGTCCTGGTGTTGGAAATACCTATTCTGGAGCAGAAACCTGACAGAAAGAAAACAGTTTATCACCCCTGTTGTGCCGAGTGTCACTACCTATATCTTTTTTATTAACTACTGTATTACTGTAATACACAAAGACTACCATTCAGCTGCAGAACCACTGCTCTTTTTTTTTGTGCTCATAACAGAATTGACAGTATAATGTCATAGTTAACAATTTTATATATAATTACATAGATCATTAAAATAAAACACTAGTTCTGAAGCGGATTCACTGCTTGAAATTGCAGTTCTATGCTGCTGTCTCTCTATACATACTGGTTAATGTTGGTTCTACACCTAGTGAATTTGAAACTGCTCCTTCGCATATCATGCAACAATATATTAATTGAAGAATTTGTTCTGCAGTGATTATTCTTGGATATCTTACTAACATTATGTACATACATATCTATGTTCATTGGTAGGAAACAGTGACTAGTCTATGTATATAGGATGGCATGTCAGCTGCACCAGGTACCAACAACAAAAGGGTTAAGCTATTTTTAACCAATGAGCTGTCTAGAGGTCATTTTGAATTATCACTCCTGCCTAGTGTGACTACAGCTAATTAGTTAGCATTGTACACTGATCTGCTTTTGCAGAATACAGGTAAATGCACTGTAACAAAGGTTGGGCTTGTAACTTCTATAATTATATATCTATGTATGCATATGCTGTTATATATTCTCTTCTTCAAACAGCACTCTCTTTGGTTCTTGAACTTTAAAAGCATGTTCCATGGTGATATGATATTTACTTCATCAATCTAATGTTCCAGGTCAAATCTCCTTACACGAACTCTTTGTTTATAATGGTATTCTTTCAAGTATCCTTTCAATGCTTTTGGAAGGTGGAGTTGGTTGATACCATCATAAGTAGCCTTGCTGCAGACAACAGCTCGGCACAAATGTTGCAAAGGAAAAGGAAAGTTACGATGCAGAGGAATTGTGAGCATGGGTTCAAAAAACATGCAGCAAGATGGGTCCTTATAATGCTCAATAAGACCACAAACTGTTGGAGATGCAAATACACCGGGATCATGTGAATCAAAGCTGAAATGATGATTCCACTGTTCAATGCGGGCATGAAGCGAACGCCCATATTTACGGAAGCTAACAGAAAATAAATATTCTTCTTGTGCTGAGTCACGGAGCAGGAATGTTCCCTCAGGACGACCTTCCAATAATTTCTCTGCTTCATAACGGTCCATTTTACCCCAGTAAAAAGAGCAAGATGTTATCTGTAACAAGTCTGGCACTAGACAATGAATGTAGTCCACCTGTGTGTGAACAACACGTTGAACAGATGGAGAAAGACTCACATCCAACTGGGACAAAGCTGTCAGAGCTGCTGAATGTATGCTTAAGTGTGTCTGGAATAATGCTGTCAGGTTGTCGATGGTTAGTTCTGGGGGACACAGCAGCTGGATATGCTGCCCAGGACAGAAGCCTGGAGGAGGTTCGACACCCTCTGCAATTTCCCGGGCACGTTCCTGCCGGGCTTTCTCATCACAGTCTTCTATTGGGTAGTCTTCGGGATTAAACTTAGACATGTCAATTAAGCGATCTGCTGGTGATAGGACTGCCAGTGTTGCATTATCCTCATTGCTACTTGTACCTGACTCACTGCCTGGACAAAACTCCTGTTGTCTTGGCGCTGCTTCAAATACAACACCCGCTCCAAGGTGATGTTCTTCTGTTCTCCGATAACTTGTGCACATACAAGATTCACAGCCCACATTAGGTTCTGGAATGTCTGTTTCTGTTCCCACTCCCCCACAACTACCTCCACCTTTCAACCGAGCACAATTGAATTTAAGAACCCAATTATTGCGCTTCTTCTTACTACCTGAGCTTCCAGTTTCCTTTGGTGACCTTAGTGATTTAGTACGAGCCCTCTTGCTGTTCACAAAAGATAAAGTCCTAGATGTACCACGGCGTATACCTCCCACATTATGTTCTTCAAAGTTCTTGCAAAGAGGATGCACATTACTTTCATCTTTACACTTCTCTGAGCAAGCAATGTCTCCTTTATTTTGGCATACACATGAGTACACAGACCCACCTTGCTCTACCATATTCCCATTTTTCTCTTCACTCTCTGAAGACTCAGTACAGTTACTATAAATACTCTCGAAGTGCTGATCTACACCTTCCGCATTATTACCATTAACATTACTATGTGAAATGGCCACATCTACAGTTAATTGTGAAGAATTACTATTATCCATCGCACTTCGATCACTTCCACCTAAGATACGTCCACTTGAATCAACATGGTTAGTCAAGATATTACCAGCAATCTCTGCTGTTAATGCACTTTCTCTGCTTTCCATTGATCCAAAAAATCCTTTCAAATCACTGAACCTTTGGCCCATCACTATCTCCTTTCAGAAAAGCTTCCACTTTTCCATATATCAAGGCAGTGTACATCCATTTTAAATACTGCTTGCAACCCTGAAACAAAAAGTATTATATTTTCAATAAAGTTTTCAATAAAACCAATTACATCAAAATTCATTGGAAGGAACTTAGCATTACTGTTTTCCATAATGTTTCAACCTTAATACAGGGCAGCCAAACTTAATTAGCACGAGTGGACAAGTGTACTCCACTCAGAAGAACACATTTTACATTATTTGAGATTTTGCATACTGCACTAACCTTGTTCATTTACTGGAGACACCTACCTGGTACTGCAAAACTTACAACACTAGATTTAACACAGCACAGTCATTAATCAGTTTTCATGCATTTAATTAGTTAAGTCAAATATATTTCAAATAATAGTTGTAGGCTTTAGCAAGACCTAGTTGCATCAAAATGGCAATAGTACCCGCCAACCTGTTGAATGATCATCTGAACTTAAATGAACAGCCAGAATGCTTCGGTTATTCAGTTACTACATACCAAATACAAATTCAATTAGATTTCGAACATACCAGCATCAATTCTCGTGATTTTTATATAATTTTCCAATGTTTTATTGTTATTCAATTCACAGATATTAATTAATGCAGTTTGGCAGTTATAGGCATGCAGTAGGCCATTTGTTTTTTCACAAATACTGGTATGTAAATAACTCCTTTATTTAAAAGGTCAAGTTTTTGTGTCCAACATTACATTCTCTCTCAAAAACATGCAACTTTTTACATAGTTTGGGGGTTATGATCTTTGTACACAATGTTTTTTAAGATTAAAAAAGTAATGTCAGGCTGTAAATTTTAATCAATAAAAACGTTTTAATCTAGTAAGAAAAAAAGACAGGATTCTTGCCATATTTCCAAGAAATTACAACCTGAAATTACGAACTAGCAAGTGACAGTATTTCTGTAACATTTATTTCCACTGGGCTCGGCCGAAAAATGATAAAATTCACACTTTCATTAAATCACTCTTAAGAAATTTTCTTCAACACATAACCTAAGTATTATAACTGTAAAATTCAGGGTAAATGACTGGAGGGCCAAGGTGTAATATACTGTGTTGGGCTACTCTGATTTAAAATAACCGAACATAATCCAAACGTCACTGAAACAAAACTTCTTACCTCAAGCATAATGTGGCTTCAATTTTAATGGTCTGAATTACGTAATTGAATTGGTTCTGGTCAGCCTACAAAGTAATAAATAAAAATAATGCCAGAAGAGCTTGATTTTTAAAATGTTGAACGTAGTAGAGGGCCCAAACATTCATATCGCAGTTTCAATGAATTCAGTCACTAATGACAAAACACAATAAAATAATATATGGTAGCCATCTTGAGCTCAATTAATGACACACGTTTACACATGTATCGCAATCAATTTATCACAAAAATGTGTAAGTACACATTCGAAACTTGTTACGTAATATGCGCACATTTTTTTCGACGCCTTAAAATCTGTGAAATAAAATCCTACTGTCCTACGGCTGGATATTACTTTATATAGGAGCATTCATTAAAAATTACTCACATCACCCACTGATAGATGATGTTATAATAAAACATCATTATTATAATCACTTATGTACTATTGCTAATCATTTTGTCACTAAACATATAATACTTTCACGACACAACAACATTACGAAACTACGCTCCTAGCCTTTTGACCCATCTGGCACCTTCGCACCATTAACCGGAACCCTGGGAACATGGATCACTAGAAAGTCCATGGCCACCACGGTTCGTATGAGAGAAGCTCCAGGTAATCTGGGACGACTGAGATCACTGCCATCACTACCGATTCTACCGATGCCAAAAGTAACGTAGCGCGGCAGTGAGGCAGTGAGGGCAAGGAGCGACGTTGGTGTTGGTTCGTATTGCTGTTGGTTTGGATCGGTTTGCATTGGGTCGGCGTGGAGTGGTATTGGTTTTGTTCAGTTTTAAATAATCATCATCCAAGATGGTAAGAATATAATATAATTAATAGTTAACTTAAAACTTTCATATAACTTCATATATCGTCATTATACCGTGAAATTGAATGCTATTGCTTTTTTCATTGAGTTTGATTTGTAGGTTATGTATAGTTGTACTATAGTTCTGTTAGTAATGATGATACTATCTTTTCAGACTATCAGCAAAAACAACAAAATGCTGCAGCATATAAATTACCGAGTCCGAATAATTTTGCAGGATTCGAGGACGTTTATTGGAACCTTTAAAGGTACCGTATCATAACAGCACGCCATTCGTCATGTAATGAATATTGTATGAACACCATCAGAATACGGCAACAAATACATATATGGCATTGTTTTCGTAAACTGTGGTATGAATGGTAAATAATTGGCGAATTATATTCTATTGAAACTCAAAGTAGAACACTAATCAATAAAGGTAAGGTAAAGGTATCCCTGTTCTTAATTAATCAATATGTCATGAAGGCATGTGGGGAGTGGAGATATAGCGTCTCTATTTTTGACCTTGGCATTTGATGGAGGTGAGTGGTCAGCTTCATGCCCCTGCCACTTTAACTCCTTGGGAAAGTCGCCAGTACCCACTGGATAGGAAGCTGAGTGGGTCCCAGAGTCAGTCTGAACACTGTGGATAAGAGAAAAATCTTTTACTGCAGAGAACACTAATCAGTTCTATGGAATTTTGATGGTGGTATATTAGACTCATGAGTATTGAGTTTCTGGGCTTTGTTGATTGTCTCACATTATAAAAGAAGACATTGCTTCAAGAACTGAGTCTCTGTCTGCTCTCAGGTGAAATGGTGGTGAGGTACCCACTCAGTTGTGTTGATGGTCAGAGTACCACAAATCATGACACAACAGGATTAAAAACTGTAAAGAAAAGTGTTTTATCCCTTTAACTTTTGAATATTTCTTAGTTAAACTTATCCAGACTGTAAGAAATGTACAGATACACTCAGCTCTCGATTATCCGGGATAATGGTGGGGATGGAAATCATGATTAATCAAAAACCCGGTTAAGNAAGTATAAGTAAATCTGCAAGCGACAACACCGTGAGACACGGTCAAGCAGACTAAAGAACATACCGTTGAGCAGAGAGGGAAGGGGATGAACTGCAAGTAAACAAGTGAAAGCAGTGGTGTGGGAGGGGTGGGGGAAGGGAGCCGGGACAAGCGTGATTTTGTGTAGGGGAGAGTGTAGCAAGGTTAAATGGCTGGGCTTTAACTGTGAGCTGAGGGTGGGGGGTTGTTATGTTGGTTGGTCATGGCCTTGTGGCTTCCTGGATCTGGCGTCATATCCCGGTGGGGGGTTTTTAAGAGAACAGATAAGAGGTTTCCAAGACTTGCTGAGACGAAACCCATCCTCTCTGTTCATATTCCCTGGATGCAGTTCGATCTCAATGGCTTCCCTAATGATGCGATCCATATAGCGCGTCTTGGTGGCGAGGATGGAGGTATTCTGAAGCTGAATGCGGTGTCCCAGTTCGATGCTGTGTTCAGCTACGGCCGACTTGTCCGGATGTTCGAGATGGATGTGCCGCTGATGCTCCTTCAACCTCATGTCCACGGAGCGGCCTGTCTGCCCAATATAGACCTTCCCGCACTCACATGGGATACTGTATACACCCAGTGTCCTTAGGCCCAGGCTGTCTTTAACCGGCCGGAGGAAATTGGAACGTCGGTTAACACCACATATACATGGTGCCAAATCCCAGAAGACTGCTTTCTTCAAAGTCACCGCCGTGAAAGCCTCAAATCTTACATTAATATTGTCGTTTGCTTTTTCGCGGCATTTTCCTTTTTACAGATATCCGTACAAAGCCTACATAATATTAGCTTGTCATTTAATGAACTGTTCTCTTCACTCTCAAGATAGTCTAGTAAGGATTCCAAATGATTAAGAGCAGCACCATGTGATATTTTCTTACTAGCAGCACTGTCCACCTCTTCCTCATTCTCACTTTCTTCCCACTCTTCTGGCTGCACCCCGACTGAACTTACGATTTTGTCACTGCTTAACATTTTGAAGCTTGAATACTTAACACAACACGCTTCCTTTTACGCCCTGACATTTTGCTAACGCACTTGAAGATCGATACAAAGAGGCTAACTGGGGCAGTGTATCTGTCCTTGAAACTTTCCACAAATCCTTGCATTCTTTCAGCCCTACCCTAGAACACTGTGTTAGCATAGCGGGACCAAAAGATGCAGAGCTCGGTTCACACTAGTGCAAAAATAGTGTTACAACTCACCATGTGAAACAAAAGTGAATGAATATTAAACAACATATAAGCCGCAAACTGGTTAATCTGCCCCCGGATAATCGAGAGTTGTGTGTACTTCCATATATGGAATAGAGCAAATAATATTTCACTCACTATATAGATTTCTTCAGAATTACAAAGGTGAAGATATGTGTAAGTTACAGACTAAGATATCTTATATGAAGCAATGTACTATTGTCGGCCATAGCTCAGATGTCTAGGGAGTAGTAGCCAAATGGTTAACAGGAAAAAGAGGTTCAGAATAAGATTGATAAGAGGAAGGATAATGTGAACTGCTGTATTAATGTATGATGTAAATCTGGTAGTTGTGTTAGAAATTGCTTACAGCACAGTCTGTAATTTTTTTCCTGAAATGGCATAACATACACATGAAGATGGGATCATCATCGTCAAATTTATTAGAATTCCAGAAGCAAGCAACAGGACTTTACCAAAGCTCATTATACATGTTAATATACTTGAAATAAATCTGGTGAATTCATGTAGGTTGCCTAATCATGGCAGCTGGCACTGAACCGTGTTAACACGTAAGAACTCCTTGTCTGTAGGGTACTTCTACAAGATCTTCAGAAAGTTTCTGCACTTTTCATTTTTCAACAAAATACATCATTTTACTACATAATCACCCTGCTTTTCAACACATTTTTCCCAGTGTCCTATCAACTTCTTAATGCCATCATACTAGAAAGTCTTTGGTTGTGCATTTAGCCACTGATGGACCGTGTTCATTACGTCCTCGTCACATCAAAATCTTCTCCCTCCTAGAGCTTCTTTAAGTGGTCCATAAAGGCAAAAACTAGATGTTACCAAATCTGGACTGTGAGCTTGATGTTCCATGACTTCCCACTTAAATTTCCTGAGGGTTTCCAACATGCGGGCCGCTGTATGGGGACAGGTATTGTTATGCAGCAACAGGACACCCCCTGACAGTCTCCCTCATCTCTTAGAGTGGATTGCAGGCTTCACTCCTGTCTGAAGCATGTCACAATAGGTTGCACTTATGACAGTTCCACATTCCAGGTAGATCTTAAGAATAGGCCCTTGAGAATATCTGATGATGGTCCACATCAACTTGCTTGCCAGTGGTTGCATCTTGAATTTCTTTGCAGCAGGAGATGACAGATGCTTCTATTGCATCCCCTTCCACATGGTGTCTGGTTGATAGTGGTGAATCCAGGTTTAATGACCTGTGACAATCCATTGCAGAAAAGAGCCACACCATAGCTCAAGTGGTTAGTCGCTGGCTTCCCACCGTGGCTGCCCAGGTTCAATCTTGGGTCTGGTCAAGTGGGATTTGTGGTGGACAAAGTGGTGCTGGGTCGGGTTTTCCCTGAGTACTTCAGTTTCCCCTGCCAGTCTTCATTCCACCAAATTCTCCATCATAATCACCTGGGGCAGGTACAATATGCCAGTCAGTGGACCGTGCTGGACTTCACCCCCCACTAAGCAAATCCATTGCAGAAAATTGTCACCTTCTTTGCAATAGCAAGCCAAATGGCGGGAACAAACGTCTAAGTGAATGTGCTTATGCTCATCTGTTGGCCTCTTAGGTAACCCACCTGGCACAGACTTTATGGAACTGAAGGTTATGCACCACAGAATAGGCAGGCCCAATGCTGATATTCAGTTGTTTGCAATTTTGTCCACTGTCACTGTTCTGTTTTGAAGAATCAGTTCCCTATCTCTTCATTCTGTGCATTTGTGGCTGTGGTTGGATGACCCAAGCACTCTGCATCAATCGCACTCATACAGCCATTTTTACATATTTCAGTCCATTCATGCACAACTCCACAAGAGGGAGCGCACAAGCACTGATGAATTTGTTTACTTTGTACACCTCTGCACACAAAGAAAATGCATCAAAGATCATTGTTTCTCCCTGGCACAATTCTCAATTTTCGCTGCCATGATCACCACTTCATAGCAACTCTCATACTAACTGCAAAGTCAACAGACTTGCCTTGCCAACTAGTCACATGACACCCTACAATACCTCACACCCACCCTTCCCACTCTGCATTTTCTTTGAAATTATGTAAGTGTGGAAACTTTTTGAAGATCCCTCATAGGTTTCAGAATATGCATAGAGCTAGACATATAATTTAATCTATAATGGAGTTTGTATGCAAGTAGCATTTTAGATTTGAAATTTGTAATTGCCTGATGAAGAAGCCCCCAGAAATCTCCCAATCTGACTTACGGTGTATCATGCATAAAGTGTTATGCTTTGGAGTTTGTTTTTATTTATATAACTTCTGCAATAATATCTTATTCGTGAACATTCAAAGCAGTTTGTGTATATACACTTGGGACAGAATATATTGGGTTTAAATTACTGTAACATCTCTCTTTGTAATGATCCTTGCTTTACTTCAGCATTTGACAAACATATGAACCTTATTCTGGGAGACTGTGAAGAGTTCCGTAAGATTAAACCAAAAAACACAAAGCAGCCTGAGCGTGAAGAAAAAAGAGTCCTTGGATTTGTGTTATTACGAGGAGAAAATATTGTATCCCTGACAGTAGAAGGACCACCTCCCCCAGAAGAAGGACTTCCTCGTGTGCCAATTCCAGGAGCAGCACCAGGCCCTGGCATGGGACGAGCTGCTGGAAGGGGTGTTCCCACTGGAGCTACAGGAGTTCCTGCAGGTATACCTTTTTATGATTGTTAGAGTGTTGATAATATAGGTCATACGGACATAATGGATATATCATGACAAGCTGTATAACTGTTATGGAACTGCTCATTTTATTTTTTGCACTAATTCTGGAGAGTATGTTTTAATCATATCTTACCTTGGGTGTGTGCAGGAACTGCAGACTTTCAATTAACACCTGATTTTGAAACAGTATGAAGCTAGGTTTGATGATTTGGTCCCACAAGTAATTGGGATTTAAAAGGTCACCACCCGCAGAGCCCCTTAGGGGTGGAAGGCATAAATACAACGGGGTGCTACCTGGTGCCCTGAGGGGATCGTTCACGACACTGGCCAATAACCACCCCAGTGCCATGCAGCCCTCAGCACAATGCCTCACACCTTGGCTTAGGAGGTTGGTCCTTCATAAATATAACCCTCACAAGCCTCCAGGACCAAGAGTGCATGTTCGGGGGGAGAGGGGTATCCCAGATGATAAATGGGAGTGCGGCACCAGTTAGTCATGAGGTTGCGACCAGGGCATCCTACATGATATTATCGCCCCTGGGGGTTGCTTCTGAGCTCCCCCATTTCCACCCCTCCACATGGGTTGGTCAAAACCATTTTAGAATGTTGAGCCCTAAGGCTTGTGGCACCTTATCGGTACTCTAGGGAGACAACTCAAATAGCCGTAGCTACCCCCATAGGAGTGCTCTCCCGCATTCGTCCTGGGTACATCGTAATGAAACCCAAGAGTCATTATGCCGCCGCGTGGGAGGCTCTGGTCAAATAGCCATCGCCCTTTATGGAAACTCGGCCGCCAGCCCTGGAAGCTCATGCTAATGCAGACCCCCAAGACTGTTGTTGCCCAGCAGGGCCACGAGGAGGTGTTCCAAAGCTGTGTCTCAATGCATCCCTGGTCTATGATACGCCCCCACCAAAGACACAGCCACCCTGCCTTACCTCCTAGTTAACTTGTGTTCAGAATTCTCGGTCAAACAGATATGACTTGAGTATTCTAAAGTATTTTATAGGGAGCACCTTTTTGATCTTGAATAGGAGTCCATCATGCCAAACCTTATCAAAGGCTTGGCTTACGTCTATAAATATTGAGGTGCAGTATTGTTTGTCTTCTAATGCTTGATTTATTTTATGGATGATTCTGTGTGTTTGCTGTATTGTAGAGTGATGATTCCTAAATCCAAATTGATGTGGAGGCATCCATTCATCTGGCTTTAGGTCCATATTTAGTCTCCGAAGTGTAAGCTTCTCAAATAGTTTGTTTATTATGGACAGTAAGCTTATTGGATGATACGAAGATAATTCTTACGGGTCTTTTCCTGGTTTTGGNTTTATGGATGATTCTGTGTGTTTGCTGTATTGTAGAGTGATGATTCCTAAATCCAAATTGATGTGGAGGCATCCATTCATCTGGCTTTAGGTCCATATTTAGTCTCCGAAGTGTAAGCTTCTCAAATAGTTTGTTTATTATGGACAGTAAGCTTATTGGATGATACGAAGATAATTCTTACGGGTCTTTTCCTGGTTTTGGTAACAAGATAATTTCTGCTGTTTTAAATTGTTTCGGCCAAATACTCGGTCTTAGCATAGCATTATACATGGGTAGGCTGNACAAACTTGACGCCGGAGGTGTTTTAGAGTCTGTATGTGCTGAGAAGAATTTACCGTTGCCCCTTGTTCCAGAAAATCGGTCACATAAACTCGGTGAGCATCCCAAAACAGTCAAAGGAAGTTTTTTGGCGGATGGTTGTGTTTTGAACATTTTCGCCTGAGGAGAAGACGAATGTCGATATTCAGCGCTCTGTCTTTTCTCTTCCGGGTCATAACGATGGACCCATGACTCGTCCCCCGTCACAGTATACAAAAGAAAGTCATCTCCTTCATCACGGTAGTGCTGCAAAAGTTGCTCGCAGCATTCCAATCGACGCTGTTTGTTCTCATCTGTGAGACAGCATGGTACCCATCGTGCACAGATTTTACGGTATCCCAATTGTTCAATAATGAAGCCAACACGTTCCTTGGATATTCCAATATGGTTTGTGATACGCTTTTGAGTGATTCGCCGGTCATTTTGAATCAAATCATCGACGAGTTTGCGATGATTATCGTCTGTGACAGTGATCGGATGTCCACTGCGTGTTTCATCAACAATTATGGCTTTTTCAGGCTCGTAACCACGAAATTTTATTACCCATCGATTTACAGTAAACCTGTCAACAGCATCGTCACCATAAACAGCCTTTAAACGGCGACGAATCTCAGTAGGAGTCACCTTTTCAGCAGTTAAAAATTCGATAACAGCACGCTGTTTAACTCGCGTTGACATAGCACTAGAACACGTCTCCATACTTCCACTTCTTGAAATACACTGGATGAACACAACGACCTCAAACCTGTGCATGCGTATTGATGGGGAATGTTACTTCCACATGCCACCTGGCGCGCTTCTGAAGGTCATTTCGTTCGCGCTCTAGAAGCATGTGTGCATTACTTTTCAGCCTACCTATGTAGATGTATGTTAGCATGACCAATCCCCTTTTGGCAACTCTTTCATCATTTTTGGAGTGATTTTGTCAATACCAGGTGCTTTTTTGATATTTAAGAAGCTATTTTCTTCTTTGATCCCTTTTGGGCTGAATACTTTTATTGTCTGAATATTTGGCAGTAATGTGGTAATATTGTCCTCAGTCACTGCCTGATGGCAGTCATCAGGATGACTGCCATTAGGCGTAAAGACTTTTGATAAGTGTGCTGCGAAGAGTTCCGCTTTTTCTATATCGCTACGAGCCCATCATTCTGGATGACCTATAGGGTTTTTAATTGACTTCACTGGCGTCCAAATGGAGTTGTCTTAGTGATTGAGGTTTCGGAGGTAATTGTGTAGTGTCAGCTCTCTTGACTTCTTGATTTCCGCTCGTAACTTATTGGTGGCCCTGTGTTATGTGCAGTTCTGTCTGATGGGGCATAACTTAGTTGCCATGTCTTCCTAGCCCTTCTTTTATCTGCTATGTGTTTTTTGATTTCAGTGGGGATATTTATATTTCTTGTTTGTGTAGTCAGAATTGGAGTGGCGTGTAGAGCTGCTTCTTTAAGAATGTTACTGAAGTTAGTAAGGGCTATGTCTAGTTCTTCAGGGCTTTTAAGACTGATGAAATATTATATGAACAGTGTTTATCCATAATTACTGAGCAATAACATTTATTTTTTTATTGCATTGGCTCCATTTTACACCCATACAATTTTTAGCTGCTTTCCTTTCTTAAAGAACAAAAGAAGGAGGAAGAAAGCAGGTCTGTGAGACCGCTATGCTACTCATGTATGCCCATCTGACTGTTTCCCCCTCCCTTTCCACTTTAAATCTGTGGTCCATTTTTCACAAGACTTGATACAAATATTACTCTTTAAGGCTACCTCAAAGTCATGCGTTTAATTTCATAATGTGAATGATAACATGACACACCACCATAAATGCCATAAAGTAATAGTATGTCAAGAGAACTTCAAAAAGCAAATAGAAAATCACTAAAATCTCTGCTGAAATTATTGAAAAAAATGTGAGCCAGTAATTTTTATACCCATGTCAGTAATCCAAAGATTAGAGTGATTCCCATTGTGGCAGTAAGTTGACAGCTACCATTTCATCGCCACCTGCCTGGCATATGTTCACATCTGTTTCATAGTCATTGTGAACATCTTACAGTTGATCTGCTGCGGGCATTACCGATCAGAATTTCTCATCTCCTTACAGGACTTCCTGAGCATATTTTTCTTCTGGAATGAAATTCCAATTTATATATGTGTCGCTGTTTCTGTGGTTGTGTCGGGGGGGGGGATTCTGGCAGCATGTTCTCACCAGTTTCTCATGTAATACTGTGTAACTATGTCTTCAGAACAGTGAGTCCTGCCAGTTTGTTGCTATCTAATAAATGACAAAAGTTTCCTCATTCTTCATTTAAAAGGTTTTATGCCAACTCGTTCATTTACCAGTGACTCGTGTTAACCACTGCATATTTCCTGACCTATGTGAGTTGTGACACTATTCGTGTTTGTCATTGCCATGCCCAGTAATGAATAGTCAGAAAGATCATGAATGTGGAAATAAACTCATTAGAATGATCAGCAGTTTAGTCTGGAAATAGTAATGGAACATTTATGCATATGATTAAATAGTGTATGTTTCCAGCTGGGTGACATGTTCTCAAGAGCATCTACAGTGAGCCCTAGCTTTGTTCCAGCTATGAGCAACATTATAAATTTAATACTTCCAGAAGACTCCTTAAGCACACCACCTTTGTATCTGACCTTATTGCAGGTCTTCAGGGCCCAGTCCGAGGTGTGGGTGGTCCTTCCCAGCAGGTGATGACTCCTGGAGGCCGTGGAGGACCACAAGTGTCAGCTCCTCCTCAGATGCGGCCACAGCAACCGGGTCCGCCCCGCATGCCTGTTGGAGGGCCACCACCTGGTATGATGGGACCACCTCCTGGCATGATGGGTGAGTAATGCAGATACTTCATCATTGCATTTATAAACTTAACTGTCTTGTTGTCAGGCAGCATTCGAGTGTTTAGCATGTTTCCGATAGCACATCAGAACCACCCACAAATTTGCCAGACTGTCAGTGGAACTTCCCCACTCCCAACAAAATGGGACCAACCACATTATCGAGCAAGCCTTGAAATATTGATATAGTAATGAATCTCTGGGGGGAAAGTACAGATTCATTAAATACAGGAAAATAATAATAATAAATTGTTTATGTACTTGTATGTCAGGCTTTGGCCGAGACCAGAAAGAATTTTTACCAAACTGGGGTTTCCTTATATTTTAATAAGTTTTCTGTTATGTTTTGCCTATGCTTTTATCTCTTGATATTATGCTATGGGACCTGTATATAAGATGCAAGAACAAATGCCAAACCCTTCACCATATTAAAAGTTTCACGCCACAGGTTCAAATGTGTTAATAATAACCACATTCTGCCAACAAACAGTAAGTATTACATAAGCTGAATGGGTGAGTTATTTGTTGGTAGAAGTTTTGCTGAAAGTATATATAAATTTTAGTTTGATTGGCTGTATTTCCACTTACACCCTTTAACCTTTAACGGCCGAATGTAACGTATATACGTTGCAAGCAGTAACCGGAGTTGGCCGAATGACCTGTGTACACGTCGCAGGACACATGCTCTCTTTGGGAGTGCTGGCAGTTTGACCTTGGGTTGGAAACCAAAACAAACCTATGTGAGGTCATGTCAGTGGTTCATTCCTTAGCTCTGAACAAAGAAATTATTTATCATGGTACTGGTTTCGATATTATTTATGTTTAGATATGACTGTTTATGACCTGCTCAGCCAAATACAGCCCAGCTTTGTTTCGAGAACTGATGAAATATTTATCGGTGCTTGCATAAGAGCACTTGCGAAGTCTTCAAGGAAGTCTGACACATTCAAGGATTGGTTTTCAGTGGCGTATTATTAGTCAGGAAGTCAGTGTCGGATTGTCTAATATTTCTTTATCAGTTAGAAAGTCACTGTCAGACTGTCATATATTTCTTT